AATGGGGGGGAGGGCGGGGTGCTAACAGGGAAAGTGTGCTGGAGAGCAGGGAGAGGTAAGCCCAGGAGGTTCGCAGCCTAACAGGAGTCACAGGAGTCAAAGGAGCCGCAGAAGCTACCAGAGGCACTGCTGGAGGGGACAGCACTCAAGAGCTGAGAAATGCAGAAACAGGCCAGTGCAAAAGACAAAAAATAAATAAATAATGATGCTAAACAGGGCAAAACTTATGCAGCCGAGGTTTTATGGGGAAAAGCCTGAGCTCTTCTTAGAGAGTAAAGCAATAAAAGGAATTCTTGTCATAGAAAGTTCCTCTGTAAAATCTGTAGTGACCAACAGCTCCATTTTTAAAAGCTTGACCTCTTTTCAAGACATTCCTAAAATCTGAATCACTCCTCAATCTCCACGAGTTTAAAGACTGATATTGAACTTGTTCCCCAACACGTGCCTCCCTCTCCGCCTGCCCCTCAGTTAGCTCTATTACAAATGTGTAGCCATGCATATGGACAGAGATATCGTAGATATCGAAAAAGGTAAATATATTAGGTATTAAAATAAGGAGTTACATGTGTGATACAAATTTGTTAGGAACATTTATAGGCAAAGTAAGTTTTTTTTTTTCTGCCAATTTGCTATGAACTTTAATTTTGCTGCTTAGGCACAGTTTATTCTCTTTTCTGCACAAAGTAGGTAGCTAAACATTCTATAAAGAGATATTGTTGCTAATCTTTAAAAGGTGCTTCTAAATAATGTTTAACAAGTCTATTACATAAATATTTAAAGTTGTCAATCTTTAAAACAGCAAAATAATTTGATATAATAAATGACAATTACTATTTATTGAGGTTAAGTGGTTACATAGTTACCTCTAAATTACAGATGAAGGTAACCAGGCTAAGAAAAGTCAGCTAATATACTGAAGTTCAAAACATTATTAAGTGACAGAGCTGGAATTCAAATGCAGGCCATTTGGTTCTAAACCATTACACTTATGTGAGCAAAATAAATAAATAAATAAATATTCCCAGTCAAACTTTGTAAAGACAAAAAGAATACTCAATAACAAGTGAAGAAAGTCAGAACACTTTTAAAGCAACAACTGTTTGATTCTCAACAGCAGCAATATAAAAGAGTAGATGACATTTTCCATATACTGAAATAAGTTCATTTCCAATCTTGAATTCTCTATTCTATAAAAACTTATTTCACAAATAAATGTAAGACAATAACATTTATCAGGCAAACAAAAATTAAGAGTGCCTGCCTCCAGAAGAGCCCAACCAAAGAACATTCCATAGTACATACTTGTACAAAAATAAAGAAAAAAGATCCTAGATTGGAATGTCTAAAATGCAATAAAACATTAAAAAAAACAAAGCAAATAATGAACATGTACAAAAATATACAGGAAAACAATTTGTATAAAACTACTTTAAAATAATATTATTTGGGGTTAAAAATGCATGGTAATCTATATACATAAGAAGGTCTGTAATGTCCAAAACAACCAAAGGCTCGAACGAACACCAGAAGTCAGTCCTACAGTCAGTGCTGGGTCGGCAAGGTGGAAGTCAGTCCTGGCAACCCACCATGGACTGCCATGCTGCGGACACCTTAGTGATCCAGCACTGACTGCCAAGGGGGCTGTGATCAGGCCTGACAGAAAAGCAGGGTCTGATCGCAGCCCTCATGGCAGTCAGTGCTGGGTCAGCATGGCAGAAGTCAGTCCTGCAGTTAGTGAACATAAGGTCAATTAATATCTCTTTGAGAGGACTTGAGAATATAAAATTTAGTGTAGAGCAATTACTTACATTATTTCACATAAAACTCTCTTCAGCTAAGATATTTTCCTTTATTTAAAATGTATCTTTGTTGTTGAAAGTATTACACATGTCCCTTTGTTTTAGTTCCCCCGTCCCCATTGATCTCCATGTTGCACTCGCCCCTTCCAGGCCTTTGCTAGACTATTGTCTGTGTCCATGGGCTATTCCTATCTCGTACATAAAAAGATTAAGAGGAAATAAAATAAAATATATGCCAGGTAAATACTGGACAGAAGAGCTGAAGTTGCTGCATGAATACTGGATACAGGCTTGAAGCTAAAACACAACTCATGAGATAGTTATTCATTATAACATAACAAAAAGTTCCTTTCACTGAAGAGATATGATAGTTCCCAATACTTATACACGTAATAGAACAGTGTGTGGGTTCAGAATGAGCCTCACCAACATGTGTCTCAGTGGTATGCAGATTTTTGAGCTAAGGACAATTTTAGCTTCAGGCCCAAGTGAAAATTCTGCCCCCTCCCTTTAACTACCTAAAAAACAAAACAAAACAAACAAAAAAAAAACAAACCTGAATTAGAGGCCTTGCCCATAATAAGACATTATCCTATATTAAAAACGGCTAATATGCAAATTGACTGAACAGAAGAACCACGGGTGCTATGACATGCACTGACCACCAGGGGGCAAATGCTCAATGCAGGAGCTGTCCCCTGGTGGTCGGTGTGCTCTCATAGGGGGAGCACTGCTCAGCTAGAATCAGTGTTCAAGGTAACAGTGGTGGGATAGGGAGCAGTCCTAAGCCATCAGCTGGACATCCCCTGAGGGCTCCAGGACTGCGAGAGAGTGCAGTCCAGGCTGAGGGACCCTCCTCCAAGTGCACGAATTTTGCACCAGGCCTCTAGTATCATATAAGCTTTTAGAGGGGTAAAAACATTTATTAACTTTAGGCTATGTTAAGTATGTATGTTGTCCTGACAGTACCCACTATAAGCACAGAAAAGGAGTAAATAATTTCAAAACTCACATAGAAACAAATTAATGATAAAAAATAATCAATCCAAAAGAAAAGAAGAAAATTAAAAACAGAAATCTAAGACAAGTAAAAACACAAAGTAACATTGTAAATTTAAAACATTAGTATTTACATTAAATGTAAATGTATTAATATCTCCAATCAAAATAAAATATTGTTAAATTGTCTCTAGAAATATTTAGAGACATAGTGGATTTAAAAAGATAATACTAATGCATACCTCTTATTTAAACACAAAATTAAAACATAACTACACAAAAGGGTTGAAAGTAAAAGGTTGGAAAAGATACACTGAAAATAATTCCACAAGATAGCTATTTTCCTCCAATAACATTGAATAAAACAGAGTTTATGAGGAAAACTCCACATTATTACAAAAAGGCTATGAGTCACTTCACAATGATAACATTTTCAATTCACCAAGAAGATAACAATTAGCAATCAGACTGTACCTAAGAATACAACCAAAGATGGTGTAAAGCAAAATTTGACAGAACTACAAAGGAACAGTAGATGACAACAATCACTGTGAGAGACTTAAACATACGTCTTTTAGCAATTGATTCAAAAGAAATAAAAAGGCAAACAAAAATATAAAATTAGCAAGAATATAGAATATTTGAACAAGAGTAACCAAGCTGACCTTTGAAATATATATGAACTGCCTCAACAACTGAGGAGCACCACATTCTTTTTAAGAGAAATGGAATATTTACATAACAAACTCTTTCCTGGATGAAAAAGCAAGTTTCAGCAAATATCAATCATACAGAGCACATTTTACTATCGCAGAGCAACATAACCTAGGAAAAAATAAAAAACAATAACTAGAAACACTCATATAGTTCAGAATTTAAGAATCACATGTTGAAATGGTTCATGAGTCAAAGAAGAAATCATAAAAATTGAAAAACGATTTTTAACTGAATGATGATAATACTATGAAAATGTATAGGATAAATCCAAAGCAACGTTTAGAGAGAAATTTATGGCCTTAAAATGTATATATTAGGAAAGAAATGAATGAATATTGAGCTAAACAGCTACCTCAAGAAGTCAGTAGTTAGGAAGGTAAAGTAGTATATATTGATTAATAAAATAAAACTAACCAATAAGAACCTTTGGTGACAATGATCAAGAAAAAGTACACAAATAGCCAATGTATGAAATGAGAAGGAGAAATTCACTACAACCATAGTGGATTAGAAAATGATAAAAATTTTGAATAAAATGGGGAAATTCCTGGAAAAAGCAACTTAAACAAAACTAATTCAAAAGAAATAGAAAACCTAAATGTTCTATAAATAGAGGTTTGGTATAATTACTAATTATTAGAACATATCTTGTCCTAAACAGAACTGTTACCAACTCTGAACCAGTACATTAGTAAAGACTAGTGCTTAATAACTACTTCTAACTATTGAGAATTATATCACTAGTCTTATATTTTCACACACACACACACACACACACACACACACACACACACAGCTAAGAACAGATGGCTTTCCTGATGTGGTCTTACCAAATAGATATTTGAAGTAAAGGTTACTACAAATTTCACCAGGAAGAGAAAAACATGATTATATTTATCAACACATTTTATGAGTCTGGCAAAAGCTTGAAACAAAATATTATCTCTCAATGACAGTATGAAAAGGAAAATTTATAGCCCAATATTACTCTTGAGAACAGTGGCGAAAATCCAATACAAAACATAGTAAAAACTGAATCCAGTAAAATTAATACATTATGACCAATTCAAGTTTATTTCAGAAACACAAGGTTGATTTAACATTTAAAAAATACATTAACATATTATAAGACAAAAATCACAAAGTCATCTTAATAGACCCAGTAAAATATTCATGATGAAAATCCTTAGCAAAGTGTCAGTAGAAAAAAAGACTTCCTTAAATGTGATAAAGAGTAATTAAAAAAAAAAGTCAAACATTATATAATGGTGACACCTTGGAAAATTTCCCTTTAAGATTAGGCAAAAGGAAAATGATCTCAGCTTGAAGACTTTCCTAGGATTTTCTTGGTCAGATTTATTCTATTAGACAAGATCGTTTATATATGGCTGTGTTTTTTAGTCTTGTATCAGAGGATATTTTCTACTCTGAAAGTTAACCATTATCTCTAAATATAAGATTCAGCTTTGTAATTATGTTTCTTACCATAGGTTCTACTTCCCTTGGAGGTCTTTCCAGGGGAGGGATGTACCATTGAAAGCAAAGTTCTTTGTTTAAAGCTTGTATTGCCATATCTGACGAAACCGACTCCATAGTACTTTGGCTGGAAATCAACTTTAATGATAAAATGGAATTTATGGAACTGTCACGAGTCCCCTGGGGAACAAACCAAAACATCAGTTTAATTGCTGGTAATGAATTCATTCACTATTTCAAACATTCATTTCATACATTCAATATGGGCTACATTGCATAAATCTGGGAATTGTTTCAGCTTTTGTTATAGATGTGGATCTTAAAACTGTACCTGGTTACCATGGAGAGGATTCTCCTTTAGAATAAACTGGTGAATATAATAGAATCAGGGGCATATAAAGAGAGCTGACTGACAATACTCAGGGGGAAAGGGGTGTGGGGGTGTGGGAAGAGACTGAACAAAAATTGTATACCTATGGATGAGGACAGTGGAGGGGTGTAAGGGCAGAGGGTTGAGTGGGAACTGGATGGAGGGAAGCTATGGGGGGAAAGGGAGGAACAATTGTAATAATCTGAACAATAAAGATTTGTTCTTTTTTTAAAAAAGAAAAATATGTTTTGAAACCCAGAGGACTCAAATGTTTTCTACTTTGTTTTTGTTTTTTTAAATATATTTTATTGATTTTTTTTTTTTTACAGAGAGGAAGGGAGAGGGACAGAGAGTTAGAAACATCGAGGAGAGAGGAACATCAACCAGCTGCCTCCTGCACATCTCCTACCGGGGATGTGCCCACAACCAAGGTACATGCCCTTGACCAGAATCAAACCTGGGACCCTTTAGTCCGCAGGCCAACTCTCTATCCACTGAGCCAAACCGGTTTCAGCAAATGTTTTCCACTTTGATGAGTCTCCCAAATTAAAGATCTAGAAATGAAAATGTCCATGCCATCATTTCACTCTCAAGGTCACCATGGATTCTAAGAACATCCTCTTCTACATTTTTTCTGATTTATTTACTAGAGAATCTACTGCAAGTATGATCATCATTTATTATCTGTTCCCAATAGCATTTTTTGCAGTGCCATAGCAAAATAAGATATAGCTTTTGCTCTAAAATGTTAAATCCATTATTCTCATTCCCTTTGTAAATCTGGACCCAGTTTCTTTAATTAAACTTTGTCCCTGAATCAAAAGTTTTGAAGAATCGTAAATGCTAGAATGTAATTGGCAATTTCACAAATTATTAGTTTTTTTAAAGTTGACTGATATCAACAAAATAAGTCTAACCAGAGAGATGATAATAGTGTTAATAATATCTGAAGCCTAAAAAGAACCTTCTTCAATGGAGTGTGAACTAATTTCAAAATTAACTTCTTGTTATTTCTAATGTTACATCATGGTGGTGGGAAAGCAACTCTACCACCCTCTTGACACCAAAGTTATCTCAAGGCTCGGCGACCAAGGAGAACATGTCAGTGGCCAGAAAGAAATACCTGTTGTTTCTATAAGGCTTTGTACCTTCCCTTATTTCTGAGCCTATTCAAGATACAAGGCTGTCAATGCAAGTTTTCAAAATAAAATAAAAAGAGAAATAAAGACATTGACCTTTCAAGTTGTCTACTGATAAAAGAAAAAAATGTGTGTTGACTGAAAGGTAATATTAAATGTGAAAACTTCAAAACTGTCTAGAAACGATCATAAAAGGATATGATAAGCCAGAATCTTCACTTGTTAGCACTATGATACTAAAAGCACAATCAAAATATACAACAATCAAAAGCATCAGAGTTAAATAATCATTTTAAAATGCTTAATTAAGATTAATTCTGCCCGGTTGGGGTGGCAGTGGTTAAGCTTTGACCAATGAACCAGGAAGATATGGCTGATTTGGGTCAGGGCACATACCCAGGTTGCAGGCTCAATCCCCAATGTGGGACCTTCAGGAGGCAGCCGATCAATGATTCTCCCTCATCATTGATGTTTCTATCTCTCCTGCTCCTTTCTTTGAAATCAACGAAAACATATTTAAAAAAAATTAATTCTATGTCAGGCAGTTCACCAAAAGAATCAGATAAACAATTGAGTCATAAAAATAATTTATCATATTTTTCATATCTGCATGTCTTTTAGGGGTCTGATAACTCTCTCAGCAAAGAAATTATATTTAATAACTAGCTAAATGGAGAAAATAATCAAGTAGCTTTCTCTTTAATATATACAGTGTTTATTGGCATTGACATGAAGGTCTAGCAATGGTGAATTTTAACAGAAACATTATCTAACTGCTAATGGGATTAATTACATCTGCCAATAGATGAGATATACTATATGAACTGAGTACTATACTATGTTTGATTTATTCTTTGAAAGGAATGAAATCCAGACCTGCCAGGAAAACTCTTGTTTGCCACAGTTCTATGCACAACAAATCACTTTCCACAAATAATTTGACCTTTCACAGTCTGTCACAGGCTCAGTCTAAACATGGGTAATTCAGCATTGTGCACAATTTTAATCAGATCCTTCTGGGGGGAACTTTTAACCTGATTTGTGCGGCACCTTTGTTTGTCCATCACACAGCTTCAACAGACCTTACAACATGCAGACCCACAAAACTGAGGGGCAGGACACACAGCGAGGACAGTTCTGATAAGGCAGCTACTCCTTCCTGGGGGTGGGGGTGGGCGGGTAAGCAGATTTAAGTAGCAAATCATGAAAGGAGCTTGCTTGAAACAGTCTCCAGAATGATTAAAGGCTCAAAAAAATTGTCATTACAAAAACCAACCAAGCTTGGAGTTTATTTTTTTAAAAATCTAAAAGTCTTTGTGCGTTAGCTGTCTCCCCCAGTGAAACAAACACATGATTAGGTGGCTTACACCTGTCAGCCAAGCAGCAGTGAGTGATCCCCAACTGACTATCCTTGGCAAGTGTTACACTAATTACATCCAAAAAAAAAAAAAAGAGCAAAGAGGGTGAAATGACCCTTTGATAACATTGCTGCCACTAGCGATGTCTCATGTAGCTGCAACGTATTCAGGGCTGTACATTGGAGCATGTCCTGAGGAACTGAGCAATGAAAGTCTGCCTTTACTACCAAAACACTCAAGCAGAGCTCCTTTCAGAACAGTGTTGAAGAAGTCACACATACTAGTTTCCAAACTCCTGTAAAATATTCACATGAATGCACCTGTTTACACTACAGTTCTGACCCTTCTCATTCTCTGGCCCCTACTCCAAATGCCTGAGGCACCTGGACACTAGAATCCTCAAAGGCAGTCTCAGTTCCCAGGGGGGTCGGGGAATGAATCAGAATCTGGTGTTCACTGGAAACCATTTCATCCCACTATCTCCTGCTTCCATCCCCTGGGGAAGTCCAGGCATTGACATTACATCCCTGCCCTTACCATGTCCTCTCATTCATCTCTTGATTGATGAATTTGGAGAAAAGAATTTTGCATATGCATAGTTCTGCTCTTACGTTTTAGGAGCGAATGATTTGTAGGAAGTGAATATTCTATGCTCCTTCATATGACATATTTTAAAGGGAACTGTGTCCCCACAGATTTTAGGGAGGCCTGTAGTGACCAAAAACAAAGCAAAAACAAAACAACACGTGGCTGGATTGGTAAAGCTGTCTACTTTGCTACTGACTACTAGGAAGCCCATTTTCCAATAAATATCACACTATATCCTAAAATGTCAACTATATGATTCATAAAGGCAAAGCATGTTTTAATCCCAATCTGTCTTACTCTCTTATTTCTTAAATTATTTAGAATCCGGGCAGGAAATGACAGTGCTGCCAATACCCCAGTATCTAGGAAATAATTTGAAAAATTCTTCCACGTGGATTCCAATACATTGCCCTGGGGACAACTCCATAACCCCAACTGGCAATCACTTCTTTAACTGAATTCTTAAATATTCATTGGTGGGTCCTCCCATTACTTTTTTTTTTTAAATCACAGTATATTAACAGTCATCCCCACTCTCTTGCTCAAAACAGAGATTTAAAAAAAAGTATTATCTACCTAAAACATAAGGTTACTACAGTAGTAGGATATAAGTTATTTTCTATTGATAGTAGGACAAGATGAGCTAAGGTTCTCAATTTGGAACAAGCCAGTTTTTCAGGCTGCTTCTCCGAGATGGTTGACAATAGAAATATGGACAGGTCTGGCATGGGCAAGACTATAATTGCAAAAATTAAAGTGCTATAATGGTGAAGTCCAAAGACAAAATAATTCAAGATAAATGAGTACTTTTTTTTCTTCTAGTTTTGAAATAATTCTATGCAATTGACTTATTTATTCATTTCATATACCCAATGGAAACATACAATACACTATGTCCACATGAGTTTTCTATTAGAATCTCAAACTCTTTATCTACAGAGCAGAATAAACCAACCTCCTCCACAATGTTCTCAGCCTCCGGCCTCTGTATATATCTGCTAACCATGTTACCATGCCCTGAGGATCACAGACAGAAGTTCCATCGTTGGAATAGACTTTGAGCATTTCCTCTTCTTTACTTTCTGTCTTCATAGGGACACTAAGATGTTGCTTTGTTTCCAATTTTACTTAAGCAATACCTTTTATATCTACCCTTTCCTTCCCATTTCTGAGATCATACACTTCATCATCTCTCTTAGATAACTCTCTTTCATCTATCCTTTGCCAATCAGCCCTACCCACTATTCACAAAATAACTAATAGATTTAAATTGTTACATTCTATCTGCTACTAATCCTGCCATTTTCTCTTTTAAAAAATCGATGAAGTCCTGAGATTTTCTTCTGTTCTAACTATACCAATGCTTCTCTGCTACCCCAACAAACAATGTGCAAGGAGGAGGCCTTATTGATTTCTCTTTCTCTGCCAACTAGGACTACCTGGTATACTGTTAGTATTCAGCATATGTTTGTTGAAAGATACCAAACTGCAAATACACATTTCTACTTTCAATACAACCCTATACTTTTCAGTATCTTCCAATCCATCTATTTTGGTAGCTTATTGAAACATTACTGTTATTCAAGACCCTAGAAGCTTTAAAAAATAAAAAATAAAACTTCATTTATACTCTCTTTATTTCTCTTCAAGATGTTACTTAAAAAAACTCCACATTACATATTTTAGGAAAGTCCATCCAAGGTAATAACATTTTGAAAAAAAACAACAAACTTTAAACTTTTAATTTATTTTTAAAATTTACCCTACTTACTCACATGTATGATTCTTAAAAAATACACACAATGAATAATTTTTATTATGTATTAAAAACAAAGAAATTGGGCAAGGACTTATGAACTGTCAGCCTAGCGTCCTTCATATAGTTATAATATGGAAATTTTGTGTGACTTCTTAGCAACGTGACTGCCAAATATATGTTATTTGCAGGAATAAAGAAAATTCTGAGGCATTCTGAAGATTTATGGGAGCAGCCAAACAGACCACTTGAAATGTGAACTTTCCTAAAAATCAGGATGTTTGGTTGGCTTCTAGATATGGTGAAACAGAAGTGGCCTCCCACTCTGAGGGAACCTAGAAATTTTTGTACAAGCATTGAGATGAATATTCTCCCTTCAGAAACAAAAGGATGGCTTTAGAAGTTTTATGACAATCTCTAATGTTTTAAAACATTACCTTGGCTGATATCTCAAATATGACTTTTTCTGGAAAAAATGGGGATTCCAATCCTTGAAATAGTTCTCTTGGAAATTCATCAATACAAGAAGAAGAATACAAAAGTAAAAATCTTTTAAGGAAGTTATGCATTTCTTTTTGGCGCAAAATCAACCCAGAGTTGAAAAGGGACGTGAGAAGTGTATCATCTGGCAAAGAAATTCCAGAACCTGGCTTTGGAGATGCTGAAGGAAGAAAAATACCGTGGTTTAGAGATGTTTTAGATAGCAGAATGGTCATCTCAATATTATTGGGTTTTATTCACTAACCACTATCTGTACTTCCCACCTCAGCTCCCAACAACTGTCCTCCATTTTTAGAACTTATACTCTAATGGAATTGCCTCTTGCCACAGAAAGGAAAGGAAATCTCAGAAGCATGTAAGGTTGTTAATTCAGGCTCCAAGTTTTAATAATGTAAGATATTCTATCTTGTTGGAGGCTCTTCCTTTCTCCCCAAAGATCTTAAAGTAAGAATTTAGGTGCAGGAATTTATTTCAAGTTATCTAAAGAGCACAAGTAAGGGAATCGGCAAAGTGTGATAGAGGAAAGAAAAGAGCCAATTAGAGTGAGTTAAATAATGGGCTACAACTATGAACAATAAAGGCTCAGTCTTGACAGGGGCTTTTGGAGAAAAGAACTATCCATCATGGGACTGGGAAGTTGGAAGGTTAACCAAGCAGTAACCCCCATTCATTCATTGAAGGCGATTCCTGGATGTATGGAATCCTGGTAGATGGTCCTTCCTTTGGGCCTCAGTAACTTAAGAGAAAACTCAAAGCAGAAAAGCAGTACACTGTGGGCACCTGACTTGGGAAGTGCCATCAGGTGAATTCAGAGGTGAGCTGAGTTGATATGGGGCAGGGACTCCTGTACTGGCTCATGTCCACTTCCTTCACCACTGAACTTACATCATTCTCCCACCTTTTGCAATGTACCTTTTACCCCTGATGCCTTCTGAGTGCCTTTTTCAGGAGTTAACAAACTCTTGATAACTGTGCTTAGTCACTCTGTGACTATTAGCCCTGCTGGCTTCTCTTCACTAGAACCTGGGGTGGGTATAATTGAATCACCAAGTTCATGGGCACAGATTAAAAGCAATAATATACACTGTCATGAAACCACAAAAGGGACTGATTTAAAGAAGATTTTACCATTTTTTTTCTGGATATTCTTTAGATACATCAATGATAAAACAAAACAAAAAACTTAATAAAACTACTCCATGGAGATAAATATTCCTATCTCAAGTCATACATTTCTTCTATTTTATATACCAGATACTAAAAGATTCTCTCTATAAAGCTAAACTTTTACCTTCTTCATTTTATAAGCTTGTCAAATTATGATCACTTTGGTTCTTTTGTGTTGTTAAACCTCACCCAAGGACACTTTTCCATTGGTTTTTGGAGAGAATAGAAGGGAGAAGGAGAACAGAGAGTAAGAAACATCAATGTTAGAGACACAAATTGATTGGTTGCCTCCTGCATGCACCCCAACCAGGGTTGGAGATCAAGCCTGCAACCTAGGTACCTTCCCTTGACTGGAATCAAACAGAGGACCCTTCAGTCCAAAGGCCAACACTCTATCCACTGAGCCAAACCGATTAGGGTAATCACCCATATTTCAAGCCATGGGTCAATTTGGCAGTCAATAATGTTTTTAAGTGCATGGAATAAAACATATAGAATATCAAAGGAAATCAATTATATTGGAATATTATTGTATTCAAAGGTCTGTGTGTCTCAGGTTAAGAACCTCTTAAATTTTTGTCTTCTAATGAGAATTCAATCAGGAAGATATCAAAAGTATTTTATAATTCTAAATAAGAAACATGACCTAAACAGAAATAGGAAGGACGTATGTTCTTTCTTAACACATCAAAGACTTACCTAGAAGCTTACTCATGTTATTAATCCTCTGCAGGTGAATGTAGTAGCGTAGTAGAAGGATCCATGTAAAATCTACTTTAGTTGGAGCCTTTTTTATGGCATCTGTGTCCTCAGGTATGTTATCAGTAGTCTGGAAGGCAACTTGGTACTTATCTGAAAGTAAACAAAAATAAAAACACGTATTATTATGCTTTTCTTGAAAAGTAACAACATGAAAAAGTCCAATTTATAACGGAAAGACCAACACATGGATTACATTTGATTTTTTTAAAAATTTGTGCCACAAAAAATAATAAACACAAAGTTAAAATATAAACCTTATACCTAGAAAAGACATTTAAAGCACATGTAAATTTATTCTAATATATATTACCCTTGCATCAACCAATAAATAAAATCAAACAGACCAATAGAAAAGTGAAAAAAGACCTGGTGTGGCTCAGTGGTTGAGTGTCCACCCAGGAACCAGGAGGTCATGGTTTTGTTCCCAATCAGGACACATGCCAAGTTGTGCCTCCATCCCCAGTGTGGGGCATGCACAGGACACAGCCTATCAATGAGTCTCTCTCATCATTAATATTTCTATCTCTCTCTCCCTCTTCCTTCCTCTCTGAAATCAATAAAAATATTTTTTAAATGGAAAGAGAATTTCAACAGGAAACTCATAGAAAAGAAAACCCAAATGGCTAAATTTTTTAGTATCACTGAAAATCAGAGAAATGCAAATTAAAATCAAATATCATTTTACTTCCCTAAAGAATTGACAGGCACTAAAATCTGAAAGTGATAAGTCTTGGCAATAATATAAAAAAATCAGAATTCATATATACTCAACATACCATGCAAATAATCTGTGTATGAAGACAAAAGGTCCACAGTGGCAAATTCTGGGATGTTAAGCAATGCCTCTTGACTGACTTGATCAGTCCTAACGTTCTTCTTTCCAATAAGCAAGTTAATTGCCAACACAGCTTTACTGACCTTAAGTAAATGCATGATTATAATTATAAATGTAAGCTTTCTGATTCATAGATCACTCATTATGTAAATAATGTTACGGAAACAATTCATAAAATAGCACTCATCACACATTGGAAGACAATATAAAGACAACCTCAAAAATAATGTTATCCATGTATAATACATGTATAAAACATGTATAAAACGTGTATAATATATCATAGTCAAATAAATGATCACTGTTATCCATTTAATTAATGTATAAATCACTTTAAAGAGGCTACCTCACCTAGCTATGACAGAGGTTTGCCAAAATGTCAAATATGTGCACGTGTGTATCTGCCGATATTTTTTTTTAAATAAAAGTTGAAACAAACAAAGCCAGATCTGGCTAACAGTGATTAAAAACACTATCTATATTGAAAGCATAAGTCTTCCCAAAGAAACATCATTGACCCAAATCCCAAAGGACATGAAAATTTCAGGTAACACAAATACATTATGTTACCTTAACAGTTGGTAGGTGAAAAATACAGATATTACAACAAAAAGAAGATTAAATAAATATCACACCAACCTGTGCAGCAGCTCTTATTGCAATCCAGGCCAGTGAACTGAGCATTTCAAATCTGTTTACTGTTGGTTCTTTAATAGAACTATGCCTTCTGGAAGAAATCTAAAAAAATGTGGACAATGTTTTATAATAAAGATATATATAAAGATATCATAAAGTTTCATGATCAATTTTCTTATCTTTTGAAGATGACAATTTAGTAGAATAGTATGTAGCCATTAAGAAGAACAATGTCTACTATCTATTGACATGAAAAGTTGTCAAAAGTATATTGGGGCAGAAAAGTGTAGGCTACAGTATAGGATGCAAAATATGATCCCATTTTAGTAAAGATATGCCCATACACATATCCCTTGTATATACAAGCAAGGAAAATTAACAGTGTTCCCAGGTTTTAAGGGTGATTGAATTATTTCTAACCATTTTTTCTAATTTTTTATAGATAATTGCATTATCTGAATAATAACAAAATGAACACCAATGACATTTTAAATAATGTGTTTACTTATAACTATATTTACCATTTTAATAGAAAATTCATAAATTGAATCTATTATTTGTAATGATATCAGAAATAAGAATACTAAAGATTTTTATAGTATTGGCTATCATAATTCTAAATAGGAAACTATTAAAGGGAAGATGGTATCTATGAATGAAGATACACTGAGTGTGTGCATGTGTGTTCTGTTTTTAGACATAAGAAAACCAATGCTACAGAAAGAAAGTGCTCAACATTATATATGAGATTCTAGCCCATGAAAACAAGCAAGAAAAAGAAAAAATATATATCTAGATTGGAAGAAGTAAAATTGTCTTTGTTTGAAAAAGACATGACCCTATATGTAGAAAATCCCACGTTACACACACACACACAAAACACACATACACACACACACAACACATACACACACCTAGAATTAATAAATGAGTTTGGCAAAGTCATAGGACACAGAAATAAACAATCTAAAAATGAGATTAAGAAAAATTCCATTCACAATAAAAATAAATGTAACAAAAATGTATAAAACTTGTACACTAAAAGTAAAACATTGTTTGAAGAAACCATTCATATTATGAATTAGAAAATTCAATATTGTTAAGATGGCAATTATCCCCTAGTTGATGTATAGATTCAACAGAGTCTCTATCAAAATACTTAATTTTCTATAGAAATTTACAAGCAGATCCTAAAATGAAAATGCAAAGGACTCAAAATAGCCAAAACAATTTTAAAAAGGAAAAGCATCATTGGAGAGTATGCAGTTTCTAATTTTAAAGTGTATACTAAAAGCTACAGTAACCAAGACAAGAGTATATTCTTGGAAAGACAGACTTATAGATCAGTGAAAGAGTACTGGAAGTCTATATGTCTACATTTATAATCTCTATTTAGATTTATGATCTACTAATTTTGACAAAGGTGCCAAGGAAATTCAATGGTGCTGGCACAATTGGATCTCTGTGCAAAATGATTAATTTAAATACTTCATATTTTATGCAAATATGTATTAAAAATAGATCACAAACTAAAAAGCTAAAACTATAAAAATTCTAGAAGAAAACATAGGTAAAAAGCTTCAACATCTGGGGTTAGGTAAAGAGTTCTTAGATATGACATCAAAACACAATATATGAAAAAAAATTATAAAATGAACTTTATTAAATTAAAAACTTGACTCTAAAAACACCATAAACACAAGGAAATACTGATGTGAGAGAGAACATAGATTGGTTGTTTTCCATATATGCCCTGACTAGGAATTAAATGCACAACCTTTCAATATACAGGTTGAGGATCCATCTAACTGAGCCACACTGGCCAAGGCAAATTAGTCTCTACAATGCTTCACTTTCCTACCTTTACATATCTTGATTATAGTTCTCATTATATTGTGATATAATTATTTTTCTTCCTTCCTCTGTGCTCCTTGGGGAAAGAGAGTAACATGCCAGGCATATATTAAGCACTCAATTAGTGTTTGGTTAATAGATGAATAAATAAATGAATGTTCAAGAAAATCAACTTGGAAACTAAGATGGTGGCATAGGTAAGCACCTAAACTGCTGCCTCACACAACAATTTCAAAACTACAAATAAAAGACAGAACGGACATCATCCAGAACCACAGGAAAGTTGGCTGAGTGGAGATTCTACAACTAGAAGAAAAGAGAAAAGCTCATGGAGAATCTGAGGAGCTGCAAAGGGCTGAGGTATGGAGACACACATGCAGAGAGGAAGCGCGGATGAGTGCCTGGCTGGCTTTCTCTGATGGGAGGAAGAAGGAAGCCCCCAAATGCACTGAACCCCAGTTCTGGGTAAATCCCCATGGACCCAGGCTCATATGGGGGAGTCTGAATTGTCAGGTAGAGAGAAAGGCACATGGAGACTCAGGGGAGCCATGGCGGGCAGGAGTCTGGAGGTGAGTGTACACAGAGAAGACTGACTATGGAGGTTGCCACTGTCTTTCCTCAGTGGAAGCGAGTCGGAAGCTCCTGACTGCACTGAATTCCAGTTCCAAGCAAGCCCTTGTGGACACATGCTCTTACAGGGGGATTGTGGACTGTCAGGTGGAAACTCAGGGGAGCCACGAAAATGCAGAGACAAAGAAACAGATCACAAACAAAAGGAATGAGGAAAACAAATGACTGGATGTAGAATTCAAAACCATGGTTATAGTTTTTCAAGAATTTCCTAGGCCAATAAATTTAGTGAGACCCTTGAGGATATGAAAAAGGACCAACTAGAAATTAAACATACACTGACTGAAATAAAAAAATATTATACAGAGATCCAACAGCAGACTAGAGGAACACAAGAATCAAGTCAAAGAATTAAAATATGAAGCAAAAAATACTCAAGAAAAAACAAAAAGAAAAAAGAATCCAAAAAGTTGAATAGTGTAAGAAGCCTATGGGACAATTTCAAGCATACCAACATCAGAATTATAGGGGTGCCAGAAGAAGAAAGATAGAAAGATACTGAAAACCTATTTGAAGAAATAATGACTGAAAACTTCCCCCACTTGGTGAAAGAAATAGACTTACAAGTCCAGGAAGCACACAGAACCCCAAACAAAAGGAATCCAAAGAGGACCACACCAAGACACATTATAATTAAAATGCAAAGAGCAAAAGATAAAGAGAGAATATTAAAAGCAGCAAGAGAAAAAGAGTTAATTACCTACAAGGGAGCACTAATATGATTGTCAGCTGATTTTTCAACAGAAACTATGCAGGCCAGATGGTGCAAGAGATATCCAAAGTGATAAATAGCAAGAACCTACAACCAAGATTACTCTGCTCAGCAAAGTTATCATTCAGAATGGAAGGTCAGATAAAGAGCTTCACAGATACGAAAGAGCTAAAGGAGTTCATCAACACCAAACCAGTATTATTTAAAATGCTTAAAGGTATTCTTTAAGAAGAAGAATAAAAAGTAAAAATAAAAGTTATAAACAACAAATACATATCTATCAACAAATGAACCTAAAAATCAAGTAAATTAAAAATCTGAGGAATAGAATAAACTGGTGAATATAATAGAATCAGGGGCATAGAAAGGGAGTGGACTGATAATTCTCAGGGAGAAAGGGATATGAAGGGTGCAGGAAGAGACTGGACAAAAATTGTACACCTCTGGATGAGGATAGTGTGGGGGAGGAAAGGGCAGAGGATGGGGTGTGAACCAAGTGGAGGGGAGCTACAAGGGGGAGGAGAGTAGAGAAATAATTGTAATAATCTGAACAATAAAAATTTATTAAATTTTTAAAAAAGAAAATCAACTCAACTTAGCTAACAAATAATTATTAAATAATTACTACATAGAAAATACTTTAGAATGTAAATGTTTAACTGAAATTACATAGTGATGGAAAACAGTTCCCTTGAGTACCTATTACATGCCAAGCCCATTACATTAATTCTCCTAGCTAATCTAAGAGATATCATAGTACCATTTCACCAGATGAAAAAACTAAGCTTAGAAAAGGCTCCAATTATATTGCTAGCTTGCCATGAAGCTCAGATTCAAATTAAAACCAGTGCTAGAAAAAAACAAACAAACAAACAGAAAACAGTGCTAGGCTCATTCTGCTATACAGATTGCATAAAAGTGAAACTATAATGCTTTCTTAAGGGTTTATAAAGCATTGACTGTATGTAGACAAATGTCAAATGTTATATTTCAGTGGTGTAAATGTGCTCAGGTGAAATTTTTTGTTTATTATGGCTGCTTTCTGTGTTTCTAGTAATTATATGAATTGCTAAAATATTTATACTGTGCCAACATATATAGAAAATAATGATCATATTGTATGGACTTATAATATTCTTCTCATTCAAATCCTAACTTGCTCAAGCTCTTCATTATAAACCCTTGTCCAGTAAAGGCCAAAACGATGTTATATAATTATCCTAACATCCTATTATTTTGTATTGCTACTTGCTATGGAAAAAAATCTGTTTTCTCTTACTGGAAATAAACATGTTTATACACCACAAGAATAACTTCTCTATGAAAGTATAGTTTTTGATAGGAAAAAATATTAGTTGCTATCCACCAAAGGCAGCTACCATATGACTAACTCAACTGTCTGAAAGCCCATTTGCCTAATGGTTTAAAATCATGTTTATGTTCTCAAAAAGTAGAGATTTGACATTAAAATTTTCTAAAAATATCTCTTGGAGGGTCCATGAAAACAAGAACAGAGTTTGAATTGTACACTGCTTAATCACTTTCCAGAATACTGCCTGGGTCATATAGGTGCTTGTTAGATGTGTGATGTCTGAATTAATGACTTTATCAAGAGGGGATCTATTTGTAGCCACATCAGTAATGAGAACCTTACCTGACCATCACTGAAGTTAAATTTCGTTTCCTGTAATTTCCTGATCAATACTAATGACTTAGAGTACATACATGCACCTACACTTCATAGATAACATTTTTAACAGACAAAAAATGTCTAAATGAAGCCTATTTCCAGAGCTTCCCATGAAATATTGAAAGAGACACTTATGTTTATTGAGTATGATCACAAAGTACTGAATTAATTTCTCTAAGTCACACAGGAAAATCAGTCTCATTATTTCAATAGCACAGTAACATAACAAGCTCAAAAGGTAATTACCTTAGGTGTTAATGGTGCTGATGAAAGTTTGTGCTTTACCCTTCTCATATGTAGGTATAATAAGGCAATCTCTAGGTAGGAGTCCCTTATCAACCTGAAATGATATATAGCATTGTACTTAATAAATAGCTTTACCACTCATAATTACCATTATTTGCCAATAATTTCTGAAAGGTAGAAACAGACTAAACCAGCATGTGTCCCAAACTCCTACTCTCTTCACACAGAACTTTTTGCATAGACACTAGCATCTGCCTCCCTACTGAAAGGAGAAACTCTGGAAGAGAGCTGAGCATCGTAACTTGTCCTTACTGGCCAATAACATCAAGGCCAGTCTAGAATAATTCAGCCAACTAGGCAGTAAAGACATGAAGATCAAGTCTGGAGGAACCTGCCTTAAAAACCAAGCCTCAGCCCGGCCGGGATGCTCAGTGGATTAAAGTGTTTTCTGGATACATCAAAGTTGAGAATTTAATCCCTGGCCAGGGCCCATAAAAGAAACAACCAGTGAATGTGTAAATAAATGAAACATCAAATCCGTCTCTCTCAAATCAATAAATATTTAAAAACAAGCCTCTTTCAACCCCCTTACACTAATATCAAAAGAGACACCTAGACTTATGCAGAAAGCAGGGATTTGGTATGTGGGCTCATTAAGAAACCTGTTAGTTGGGGAAATTTAGATCAGTGTCATTGTAATAATGGTGGCTTACTTTGAATCTTGAGGTGATTTATTTTTACAGAATTAAGTTGACCAGCCCTGGTACTGCTGACCAGAGTGAATATCCACAAGTTCCCTTCTAGATACAATTTCACATCACAGCCGCTGTAATCCTAGGACTGACAGGAGATTGATCTGAGTACAGGGAGGCACAGTGTAGTGTGCTAACTGTGATAATCACATCATCAACCATTACTGGGTCAGAGTCAAGAGCAACCAGCTTGAAAAGAGAAATTGGTAAACCTGCTAGTCAACGGACACCAGGAAACTAGCCCTACTATGGGCAGTACAATACAGTGTCTTACCAGAACACGGGCTCAAACCACAACACACACATCGTTTCAACAGTGAAAGATAATTGTCTTTACCGTGAGTTCTGATCATGGCTCAAGCTTATTTGTATAGCTTCATATAAAGTGTCAAGTGGCAAATTTGGAGATTTATCCTCGATCCACATTTGACATTCTATTTTGCCTGAAAGAAGAAAAAGATGGACAAGGATGGGTTTTCTCTTTTCTGTCATTTAGAACTTAAGAACATATATCTCAGGCTGGAAATTCAGAAAACTGGGCATGCTGTCCTTTTGGTTCACCCATTGTTTCTTGCTGAAAGAAAAGCCCATAGGGAAGAAGCTTTTGTTTTCTTCCCTGGGCATCTCAAGACACCTCTGACTTCAGGTAGCAACACTGCATCAACCTCCATTGGCTTTCCAGACATGACTGCTTCTATCATCTTCCTTTTCTCTCTTTACTTTGTGCTTGCTCTTCTTCCTTGGGCACTCGTTCCCTTTTTTGTGTACATATTCCTCTTTCCTCTGTCTGCTATCACAGATACCATAGAAAACATCTCTAAAAACAAAAAGTCCTTAAAACTCAGCAAAATCTTGAAAACCACCACGATGATGGAAGTGCTCCCGTTCTCACTCAGCGCCCAGCCTTTATGGGGAGCTGCAACTGTCAAAGGTGGGGACTGGAATGACGCTTTTGTAACAAAAAGGGCAGGAAAGGGAAATCTTATAATTACTCTAAAAAGGATCCACAGTTTTGGTGCAGCATGTAGACGGGGCAAGAGCCACCCCTTGTTAAGTTCATGTCTGGGCACTATCATTTAGAAGCTGCTGATTTCTGAAAAGTTACTTAACCAGACTGCTCCACATTCTCCTCATCTGTCAACCAGGAATGGCCATACTTACCTTGTAGAGTTCCTGTAAAAATCAGAGATATGAGATGTGAAGCATTGACTAGAGTGCCTAGCACCTATTAGATGCTCCAAAGGAGAACACACACAAACATCACCATTTTTCTCATGGCTAAAATGGCCACAATAAAACCTTATGGACATACTATGGAAATATGTGTTGTATAAAAGTTACAAATATAAATATGCCATAGCACTTTAATTTAAATGGGTGTGTATTTTTTTGTAAAAATTAAAGTGTTCAGCTACATAATGAAATGCTGTATCTCCCAAGCATTATTTAAGGAACTTATTTATAGTTAAATGGCTGATGCTGACATTTTTTAGTCAATCATGAAACCAATGAGGGGTAATTGTGATTATAAGAGAAACTAAGGAGTACCTTTTTTTTTCTTCTAGATATGAACTAAAGATAAGCAGTGTTCTCTTTATCTAAAACTTAGTTTGTATTTTGTCATTACCAAGCCCTTTGTAAAAATTTGGATCTTTTTTTTTTAATATTCATTGACTAGATTTTCAAGAAGCCTACTGTAAATAGGGGGGAAAAACACACACACAAAACCTCCACAAACTTTATCCTAGTTCTGACCCCAAATACACTGTACCTTTCTGAAAAAGGATTTCAGCTTCCACCTCATGTTCCTCTGTTGCTGAAATTTTACAGAGCTTAAATGCTGTTTCAAAAAGTTGAAGAGCAGGTGACCACTTTGAAAAATCCTTCTTTTTACTGGTATAGTAGATTTGCTTGGCCACTATATGTCCTAAAGAAAGAGAGTGGATAAGAAGGGTAAAATATAGTGTCAAAATAGGTGACTAGACTTCTCTCACATTATGGTATCAACTGAGAACCTGGTGGTCTTTAGTTTTTAGTATCTAAGAAAATCTTTAAAGAAACGCAATATCCAAGTATTTCAGTGAACTATAGCAATAGTCTTTTAAAACTTAATTGTTAGATAAATTTCCATTATTCTCATTTTTAAAAAAGAAGAGTAGCCGAAACCGGTTTGGCTCAATGGATAGAGCGTCGGCTTGGGGACTGAAAGGTCCCGGGTTCGATTCTGGTCAAGGGCATGTACCTTGGTTGCGGGCATATCCCCAGTAGGGGGTGTGCAAGAGGCAGCTGATCGATGACTCTCTCGCATCGATGTTTCTAACTCTCTATCCCTCTCTCTTCCTCTCTGTACAAAATCAATAAAATATATTTTAAAAAAATAAAATAAAAAATAAAAAGGAAGAGTAATCTCTAAAATCTTTCATTCAGTTGTAAAATTTTATAATGCTCTGGAGAACAAGTTCCCATGTTCCTAAGATGAGGTTGTAGTAGGGAAACATCTGGAAGTTTTAAAGTTTTATGCTCTTTCCAATAAAATGTGCACATATTAATAGGCAGTAATGTTGCTTCTACTCAGCTCTGGAGTGGCTGCTTGCTATGCATATTTTGTCATCCTAACGAGATGGTAACCCATTATGGATGAGGGCCACATGCTACACTTCTGTGTGGTCCCATCATTACTTAATTACATAACAAATGGTTGCTGAATGGGAGAGGCATTAGATTCAATCTGTGTGGCCTCAAACACAGATACTATTCAAAAAATATATTTTCTGAGTGCTTAGGCACTAGATAAAAATGAGAAAGGAGGTTAAGGTTTATTAAGTGATTCCTACATGCCAGGTATCACCCAGATACATAATAAGCATTATCTCATGTAATCCTCCCAACTCCAACTCCAACAACTCCAACTCCAACTGGATGCCATCATTCAGAGGAGTAAGCTGTGGCACAGTGAATGACAAGGTCAACTAGTAAGTAGCAGGACTATAATCTGAGCCTATGCAGTCAGGCTGCAGGGCCCACACACTAAACTATGATACTGTAAGTTTCTTTAAGAGAGATATCATGGAGCTTAGTGTTTAATGGCCAGACAAGTGAGTAAAAGACTGTGCGGTCAATTGCATGGCAGGGAAAGCAAGGGTACTGTGGTAGCAGGAGAACTGGTATATCTGTGCACAAACTTCATTTCTTTAATGTGATCTTTTCTCCTTTGCTTCCTTTGAATTCAAATTGGCCTCATCCAGCACGCTGACTCAGCCATCTCCTTCTCCTTCCCCTCCCCATCCCTGCTTGAATGTCCACTCCCTTAATCATTAAGCCCTCAGGACAATGAGGCCCTGGCCAGCATTACACAATCTTTGGGACAAAGCCATGGGTATATTGCCACAGAGACAGAGTTGCAATCAAACTATAGATTACATCTAGCTAGAGCTCAGATGAGTTTTAGCTCCAGACCCAGAAAAGTGGAATGACTCCACCAACCATCTTTGGAAAACCAGACAAAGCAATGCCATGGCTGATATCAGCACCATATGCACTCATCAGCTAACTCCTACCTTAATGCTAACCAATCAGTAGAGACCGTGATCTTGACCAGGACCTAGCTCCCTTCATCTCCTATATAACCTACCCCTAGGAGCCATTGGTGAGCCAGGTCTTTGACCCCTGGCTTAACTGTGACTCTGGGCTTGATGCCATTTCCTTAACTAATAAACCTTTACCTCCTTGGCTGCAAATTCCTGTTTGTGTTTGATTGGGCATTGATGTGTGCTGGCAAGTGGACCCTTTCAGTCCACTAACACTGATCCAGACCTGGCAGAGGTCAGAAAGCTTTCTCAGAGAATGTGACTGTCGAAGCCAACAGCTGATGACTGCCTTGAATTTGGTAATTTTAAAGAATAAAAATTTGGGGATAAAGAGTAGAAGGCAACTGGAAGAAAAATTACATTGATAGGGCAGTTTACCATACACAATAAAGGGATATGAACAGAAAGGCAATGTAGGATTGCAGGATGAAACAGTTGCTGTATACAAGCTAAATTATTGGTTTAGGCCAGACACTGGTACTACCATGTTAGTAGAGGCTTTGAACAAAACCCTGCCTGTCTCTGGGCCTTGTGTATCTTTTACTCAAAAACAAACCAGCAGAACTAGAAAAATCTGAGGTCTCTTCAGGTTCTTAAATTTTTCAGTCCCAGGATGCGATGGCCTACAAAGGGCTTTCAAGAAACCTAGGACTTTCTATAAATGTTTAGTTCAGGAATCTGCTATATAAATAACAGGATAGTGGAAAACTATGCTTCTCTCCCTCTTTCTTATCCAGAGAGAAGTTACCAAGCCCTTAACTTCAAATGATACATGATGGCAGCAAACTGCTGAGAATGTGGAGATGAAAAAAAACCAGGGCTTGCTCCCAGCTCCCAGGAGCATAAAGCAGACAGGCATGGAATAATGAGAATAGCTAACACCTACAAAGCTCTTAGAAAAAAGTCGATGCCCTTCTAAACTTGTTACGCATTCCACTTGCTTCAGCCCACAACAGCCAGTGAGACTGGTACATACTTTTCTTATCCACATCTTATGGGAGAGGAAACTGAAACACAGAGAAGTTAAATGACTTGCTCATGGAAATCAGACCAGAATTCCTTCTCTAATGACTATTCTCTTAACCCCAACAATTACCAAGTGTCATCAGAGATGCCAGGCAAGAAAGATATGCAAATGTCCCTTGTCTAATACAACCTCATGTTTCAATATATCTCCCATTTTTATAGTTTTTGCTATCGTTTCAAATTATACCATAACACTGTTTATTAATAATCCTATCTAATAAAAGAGAAACATGCACAATGACCGTACCTCTGCTGTGTCCACCAATCAATCAGAGTGAGTATGCATATTACCCAACAAAGATGGTGGTAAATTTGTATACGCACGCCCTGAGCAGCCTGGGACCCTGAGAACATCCTCAGGATCCAGGATGCTCCTGGCCCATACACCCACACTTAGGCCCTGAGCAGCAAGAGTCCCAGAATGCCTCCTGGCCACTCCAGTCCTATGGGTGCAATTGTTAGTGCATGCTCTGGCACCAAATGACAGTTCAGATCCATGCCCCCAGACCAGTGCCCATGATAGGAGGCTGGCTGCCAGCTTCTGGGGTGCAATTCAGGGATCCCTGCATACCCCCCAGCCCAGCGCCAATGATGGGGGGCTGGCTGCCAGGCTATGGGGGGTGCAGAGACCCTGGTGGCCACCACTGGATGGTGGGGACCTGCTTCTATCTAGCCCAGTGGACACAATGTAGGGGCCTAATGAGCTGCAGAGGAAACAAATATATATATATATATATATATATATATATATTTTTTTTTTTAATTGATTGTTTTCCAGAGAAGAGGGGAGAGGGATAGACAGTTGGAAACATCAATGAGAGATAAACATCAATTAGCTGCCTCCTGTACACTCCCCACTCAGGATGTGTCTCCAACCAGGGTACATGCCCTTAACAGGAATCTAACCTGGGACCCTTCAGTCTGCAGGCCCAGGGTCTATCCACTGAGCCAAACCAGTTAGAGAGTAAATACTTTTTCTGACTGTTCATTGGCTAAGCTCCCTGTACACCCTGGCAGTGTTTTGGTAACTTGGTTTATAAGAATCCAAGAAGGTGACCTAGGGTTTTTCCACCTCACTCCTGGAGGAAAAAATGAAGGTCCACTGCTGGAGGGGCTAAGAAATGTCATATCCTGCCCTAGCTGGTTTGGCTCAGTGGACAGAACATCAGCCTATGAACCGCACGGTCCAGGTTTGATTCTGATCAAGGGCATGTACCTAGGTTACAGGCTCCTCCCTATCTGGGGCCCAGATCAGGGGTCAAGCAGGAGGCAACCAATCAAAGTGTCCCTCACACATTGATGTTTCTCTCTGTCTCTTCCTCTCTCTTCCACTCTCTTTAAAAATCAATGGAAACATATACTCAGGTGAGGTTAAAAAAATAAATAAATAAATAAATAAATAAATAAATAAATAAATAAATGTCATATCCTATGAAAGAAACATCTTGGAAATACCTAAAGAAAGTTGTCATTTTTCATAGTGAAGGGACTAGAGTCTGTGTTGATGAAAACATCTTGGAGGCTGTAGCAGTGGGTAATGTGGCTGGTGCATTCCCTTGATTAGCTGGTCGTCTCCCGCAGAGGGTGGCCAGACTCCGTCAGTAGGACATCCCCTGAGGGCTCCCAGTCTGTGAGAGGGGGCCAGCTGGGCTGAGGGAACCCCTCCACCTTGCAAGAATTTTGTGCACTGGGTCACTAGTCTATATAATAAAAACCTAATCAAGCATTTATAGTGGAATGACCAAAATGATCAGTCGCTATGATGCGCACTGACCACCAGGGGGCAGATGTTTAATGCAGGAGCTTCCCCCTGGTGGTCAGTACACTCCCAGAGAGGGGGCACTGCTCAGCCAGAAACCGGGCTCACAGCTAGCAAATGCAGCAGCGGCAGGAGCCTCTCCTGCCGCCGCTGCAGTGCTAAGGAGCAGAGAGCTGAGCAGTAAGAAGCAGGGAGCAGGCAGGCAATAAGGAGCAGGGGATCCAAAACTGTGAGAGGGCACAGGCTGGGCCAAGGGACCCCCATCCAGGGCACAAATTTTGCTCCTCTAGTTATACTATAACACTTTATTAATCTTCATGTCATCAGGACACTTAAATATATGTACTCTATATGCTATATCTACACTATATAATATAGTACTATCCTATCTAATAAAAGACTAATATGCAAATTGACCATCACTCCAACACACAAGATGGCGGTTCCCATGTGGTCAAATATGACCGCCCTCGTGTGGACACAAGATGGCCACCAAAAGATGGCCAGGACGGGAGGGCAGTTGGGAGGGACCAGGCCTGCATGAGAGAGCAGTTAGGGCAATCAGGCTGGCAAGGGAACAGTTAAACATCAATCAGGCTGGCAGAGGATTGGTTAGGGGGTGATCAGGCTGGCAGGCAGAAGTGGTTAGGGGAAATCAGGAAGGCAGGCAGGCAAGCAGTTTGGAACCAGCAGTCCAGGATTGTGAGAGGGATGTCTGACTGCCTGTGTAGCCTGCATTCTTTCCAATCTAGGCCCCAGATTGGAGAGAGTGCAGGCTGGGCTGAGGGACACACACCCCATGCATGAATTTCATGCACTGGACCTCTAGTATAACACATAATAATAGTACTTAAATTGCCTTCTAGAGTTTTGTACAAATTAGGAAAAATACTGTATAGAAATGATTGGCTGTTTTTCTTTTTCTAACTAGAAAATAGTTATTTTAAGGGCAGATGGTGATTGGCTTGGTTCCCTGTTGTATTTTCACTCCCTAGCATCATTTTTGCAACTTTCTTCACTCTTATCATAGGGTCAATAATTGACTTTTTAAAAAATCTAATTAGAAAGCTCAAGGTGTGGTCATTAGTGGAAAATAAATAACCATGATGCTTATTTTTTTGTTTTAGAAAAATAAACTCAAAATGCCTCTTTCTGTGTGAAGCTTTCACAAGAAAATGTAATTGTTAATTGTCTCAGTTCTTGAGATGCAGTCTTTGACATCACTATACAGGCAGATTGCCTAGAAAGCATTAAGTCAGATTATATTATGCTTCATAATATTGAAGCATTCCTTTTTCCAATAAACATCAACTCTGCGAAAATAATATTGTGAAACTGACATTGTTTTGACAGAAAAGCTGCTTTAGGTTTTGTTTCTTAAGTCTGTATTTAATATAATATAACAGAAAGCAAGCTGTTCTGCTTCAAGTGAGTCTAAGAAACAGAACCAACATTGCCTGTGAGTAGTGACACATCTTCAAGATTACTGAGGCAGGAAAGCAGAGAATACACTTGATTTAACAAAACCTGTACAGTGTAACACAACCTGTATTTAAGCTCTTGTAGAAATCAAACATACTAATAATATAACAAACTGTGAACTGAAGATGCAGAAAAATAGCTCTCATGGGATCAGATTGCAGGAAGGAATTCTAGAGGTCAGCTTAGCCAGCCTAAGTTTATAAATAAGGACACTCAACAATATAGAAGTGAAGCGGATTACCTGTAGTAATAAAATTCACATCTGATAATGAGGGTGATGATCATCCTATCTAAAAAAGAGCAGCATGCAAATTGACCATACCTCCACTATACCCACTAGCCATGCCCACCAGCCAATCAGGAGCAAGTATGGAAATTAACCCAACCAAGATGTCTATGGCCATCAAGTGAACAGTAGGCTTGGGTTTCCCTGGCAATGGAGGAAGCCAAGCTTTCCACACATCCTGGCTGGCCCTGGACTCCACTCAAGGCTACAAAGTTTCAATTATATTGTAGAAGAGAAATAAATCCCAACAAAAATGGCGGCACCCACAGAGCTGGAGAGAACAGGAGGCCAAGTTTTCTGCCCACCTTGGCCTGCTCTGGCATCTGCTCAAGGCTACAAAGTTTCAATTACAAAAGATAAATAAATTCCAGATACCAGGTCCTCTGCTTGGGTTGCAAAGGGGTGTTGCCAGCCTGCAGACCACCAGAGGCCCCTTGTTCAGGCCATCCCATGCCCCAAGGAAACCCCCACCCTGATCCTGGACATCCTTCAGGTCAAACCAGCCAGTGCCCACCCATGCACCAGGCCTCTATTCTATCTAATAAGAGAGTAATATGCAGATTGACTATCACTCCAATACACAAGATAGCTGTCCCCATGTGGACACAAGATAGCCACCACAAGATAGCCAGCAGGGGAAAAAAGTAGGGAGGGACCAGACCTGCAAGGGAGGGCAGATATCTCTCAAGGGGTTCCAGATTGGAGAGGGTGCAGGCTGGGCTGAGGGACACCCATCCTTCGTGCACAAATTTTGCGCACTAGGCCTCTAGTATAAAAATAGGATCAATACTAATCATGTGGAAGAGGAGCAGAAGGGAAATAGGGGAAAGGTTCGGAAAAGGTGATGGCTTGAGCACCACTGCTGCCCTCCTTTCTCCATTCTAGTCTCACCACCAACCTCTCTGAGCTGAGCACCAACTGGTGCAGGAGGCAAATGGGTCCCACCAGGCTGATGGGTCCCAGGAGGCAGGGTAATGTTTAAAATGTGGATTTCATTATTATTCAGGTATGGATGAGGTTCACAGAGGAGGAATCAATTGCCTTGGGAAAGATAGTTCACTGTAGTTCCCCAAAAAGAAGAGCCACAGCACCCCACGTTGGGCCACGTGGGGAAGCACCAGGGTTTGTAAGAGGTGGAGGGAACCAGGGGAAAAGTGGACAGACAAGAGTCTTCGTTGTGGTTCTCCTGGGACAGAATGAATGGGGTAGGGAAAGCAGACTCAGCTGGTTTAGGACTGGCTAGTTTAAGGAATTTCAGGGGGCTCTCTGGTAGTCTGCCCACTGTCCTTGAGGTGATAAAGGTAGGGGAAGAGTGGCCCAGAGTGCAAGAGCCCAGCAAAGGAAAATAAAGTTGCTGATTAGGGTTTGGATTGTGGGCTCTGGAATGGCTAGTTTGCATGTGAAAGGCATGTTCAATGAAAAGCAATTTGCTAATCTCTAGTTACTGGCTAGTTTCTCCCTAAATAGCAAGGCACCAGATGTCAAAGCATCAGAAACCAGAATCGCAGAAAACAAAAAGGCCTGGTCAAATACAGGTTAAAACAGAGAGATGGTACAAGACCTTCATCCTCTGAGCTGGAGGAGAGCCTGGGAGCTAGAGGCAGGCTTCCTTGGGTCAAACACTGGAGCAGTGTCCTGGAGAGAGCCGGAAACAAAGTCCCCAAGTTCCTCCTGGGTTTCTGAGGGGCTGTGAGCTTTCTGCTGATTGGTCCACTGACTCTAAGCAGGTCCGCTTTTGGTTGGCTCCAACCTGTTCTTCCCCCAGTAGCCAGGGCTGAATTTTAAAACGTAACCATCCCAGCTTAACTCTTCCCATTGGGCTGTCTCAGCCCACTCTGTTCAGTCTGTCCTTGTCTCCCTGCAGTTCCAGAACATGCCCATCTCATCCTGACTCAGAGCCTAGAACTCACTGCTTCTTCTGCCTCTACAATGCATACTTAGTGACTCACATGTAAGGTGTGGGGTTAAATGCAACTTCCAAGGAGAGGCCTTCCCTGTTTATTTGTTCTTTATCAACAGATTTTATCCAGGTCTTTCATATCACTAACCATTCATAATTATATACATATACTTAATTCATTACCATATATTAGCTTTCTATATCCTTGCTGATTTCCTAATTGTTATCGCATACATATTTTATTTTAGACAGTATTTATTTTATTAAATTTTATAAATATTAAAAGTATTTATTTTAAACAATATTTATATGACATGAATCCATGATATAATATGCACTCCTATAAGGTTTGTTCACTTGTTTATTTCTGTCTCCCACACTAAGACCAGAGATTACATTTGTTTTGTTCTAAAATAACCTCCCAGGTCCTCACACAGAATCTGGCATGCAATAAATAATCACAAACTATTTGGTAAATAAATTGAGCCTGAGGATTCATAAACATTGCCCCATATAAATATGATCAGGTAATAGTGTGTCTGAAAATAACTTAAAAATTTTTCACCAATGGCTTCAGTACAATATATGTTTAAGTGTTCTTACCTATTCTCATTTTTGTTTTGGCCAATAACATGATATGAGGAAGATAGACATTTTTCAAAGGCTGTAATGGACTTGCATAGTCAGTGTTTGGTGAAGGAAAATCAATTGTTTCTCCAAAAGTTAGCATCTGTAAAAGAAACATTGTAATGAGTAATTAGCTAAAGAGGTTTGGAATAAAGAAAAATAAAAGAAACAGAATAATAAGTTTCTAAATCTTGGGAACTCAAAAGAATTCTCACCTGTTCAATAAGAATAGTGTGAGACTGAATCAACAAATTTATTTTTTCTGTTTTTGAAGAGAGCATTTCCTTGAATTTCTCTGCCCTTGTTAAGTCATCCAGCAAAAGCAAGCTTCTCGTCAGAGTTAAAAAAGATCTCGGAGAAATAAACTCATTTCCTTCAAGCAAACGTATTATGGCCTATTAAAATAAAATTATTCCTTTGATCATATTGTTTGCAATTCACTGAAACAAGAGCTGGCCATATTGACTGTCATGCATTCAGTAACTAATGGAATATAAAATTCTCTCCTTTTGTTCTACACTGAATCCTTTGGTGACTATCAACATGAATGAAGTTTCCTTCCTACCTGAAGGTTTGTTATGATGTCTGCCTTTAAATGCTTTTCTTGTAGGCCAATGATTACAGCTTGCATCAAGAATTCAGCCTGTAGCTCCTTGTCGCCTGCACTTTCTGCCTCCACACACACTTCATTGATGAGGCTAACGTAATCTGTCATATCATTTTCTAAAATAAACAAATGTAGTTATTTAAAATGCACTGAGAAGGTAATAACATATGTACACATAATATGCCCCGAGTTCATCACAGGAATATTGTGTAATATAGAAGAATAGGAAGATACAAAGAGACAGAAAACAGATTACATGAGATGTTGAAAATAAATAGGTTGCAATTTAGGGGGGAGGAACTTTACAGTATCCAAATGCTGCAAAACTATTAATAATATTGCATGAGATAATTGAATTTGGGAGATTGATAGAGATAGGTGGATAAATAGGTTTACAAGTAGATAATTTTTCATCACTGTAAGAATTAACATTCCTGTGAGCCAACCTGTGTAATCTAAGAACTTTATAAGTGTAATCCATTAAATTTCAACAATAATCCTATGAAATAGATACACTTGCCTCCATTGTTCAGAAAAGGAAGTCAGGCATTTGTGGGTAGATAGACTTGGCCAAGGTCACACAGCAAGGAAGTGGTAGTCTGAGCATTGGAACCTAAGGCAGCTGGCTCCAAAACCTGTGCTCCGGACCCGTCATCCTACACTGCCTGCTTTGCATATATCAGCAACATATATGCCATTTTCAGTGATTCAAGGGACTATTGAAAATGATTATTCTTTTTTATAAAATATATTTTATTGATTTGTTAAAGAGAGGAAGGGAAAGGGATAGAAAGTTAGAAACATCGATGAGAGAGAAACATCAATCAACTGCCTCCTGCACAACCTCTACTAAGGATGTGCCCACAACCAAGGTACATGCCCTTGACCAGAATTGAACCTGGGACCCTTCAGTCTGCTAGTCGACACTCTTTCCCTTGAGCCAAACCAGTTACGGCAAAAATGATTATTCTTACGTAAGAACTTGAATTTTTTATTCTGGAAACAAATTAATCTATAGAGCTATAAAATGTTAATGTTAATGAAATATATCCCAATAAAACCTCTGTTACCACCCTAGCTGGTCTTATTCAGTGGATAGAGCATTGGCCTGTGGACTAAAGAGTTCTGGGTTCAAATTCAACCAAGAGTACATGCCTGGGTTATGGGTTCAATTCCCAGTAAGGGGTGTGCAGGAGGCATCCAATCAATGGATTCTCATTCATCATTGATGGTTCTAGCTCTCTCTCCCTTCCTTTCTGAAATCAATAAAAATATATCTATATTAAAAAAAAACACATTTGTTACCTACATGAAATCACTTTTTATAAAAACTTCAATTAAGAAAATAGGATATTTGTACCTTTCACAATTCCAATGCCACGGATCTGTGCAACAAACGCAGTCACCAATGCTAAGCGGCACCTCAACCACAGATGAATGTTGAAATATTCTCGAGAATTTAGAGAGATAGGATCTAAAAATTCATTATCATCTTTACTTTCAATGACCTAAAACAATATTAAAATAATGGTTATCTTCACATTAATAGTGGCAAAGTTCTAATCTAATGCTAAATGTACTTAGTATGAGTTAAAAGAAGAATCTGATATCATTTAATAGTATTAAATTTTAAATTTTAGAAATTATTCCTGTATATTCTATAAAACATTAAAAAAAAAAAAAAAAACACAGAGCACCCATAATCCCACAATCCTCTATTAGCATTCTGGTCTACTGCTTTTCAGTTTTTCTTTTTCTTTCTATGCCCATTGTTGACAAACAGTCTTGCAGTCTGAATTTATCACTGCAAATGATAACATCTGCAGTTTCCATGTCCTCAAAATTTTTGTAAATGTCATCTGAATAATAATTAATGATACTGGCTAATATCTACTGCATGCTTCTCACGTGTCAGGCACTGTGCTACATGCTTTATACACACTATCTCATTTAATCCTCTTGACAAGCCCAAGAGGAGTTATTATTTGTTTTACCTATGGGTGACCTGAGTCTTTGAAAGGTTATCTATTTGCTTAAACTTTATCATATTTTGGCAAAGGTGAGACTCAAACTTGTATCTTTCTGACTTTAGAGCCTACAATCTTAATCTCTTCTGTTATATCACTATATTCTGCTCACATCCCAAAAATACATCACGGACCTACTGTCCTTATTTTTACTCTTTACAAAGGATGCCCCATGACCAGAGCTACTGGGAGGGAGACGCAAAGGGAGCTTTTTCCAGGGAATAGCAGCAACCCATCTTATTTAGAAATTTGGGCACTTCTAAGTCATTCAGACCAACACCGATTTGTTCCAGGAATTCCCCGCTTTGCATCTCTGATAGCTAGCCATCTCCCACCTATTAGCAGCATCTGCTATCAAGGAGCAGCTCTGGGGATGGGCAAGGGACTGCAGTCTGGATAGACAGGTGAGAAGCACAGAAGAGGAAGGTGAGCTGTTCCCAGAAATGGTAAAAAGTGAACAACAGAAGTCTGGCGGCAGAATGGTGACCACAAGGGCACAAGTAATGGAAGAGTCTAGTTGGATTAGCATCCACATACCTTAATCTCTCAGTGCCTACAATTCTTGTTACTATCTAAAAGCCAACTCACAAGTAGACCAGGATTTCTCAGCCTTGGCACTACTGGCACTGTGTGGCAGATATTTGTTGTGGGAAACTGTCCTGTGCATTCTAGGATGTTGAGAAACATAGCTGACCTCTACCCACTAAATTCCAATAGCACCCCCTCTAGGTGTGACAACCAAAACATCTCCAGACATTGCCAAATGTCTCTTGGGGAGGCAAAATAGCCCCCAATAAACAACCATTTCTATAAGTCAATTTTCAGAATTAGATTGCTTTTTAGGACTTTTATTACTTTTAATATAGTTAGAAAGAAGTCTCTACTTAGTATAATTAGTGTTACTTTCTTGTAATGACAGTGAATATTAGCAATTTTATTCATAATATCTATATATATAAGAAACTAATATGCTAAGTGTCCCTCTGCCAGTCCAACCGGTTGCTATGAGCACAGTGACCACCAGGGGCAGACGTCAATGCAGGAGCTGCTGAGCTGCAGTGACTTGGCAGCAGCAGCTCTCAGGTGTTGCACCCCAAAATCAGAGAGAAGGGAACCTGATTCCTCACAGGGCCACACAATTCCACCTTCAGCAGTGGGTTATGTTGTTGCTGTTGCACCGTTGGCCCAAATCTGGTTTACTGCACACTTGCATTTCCATTCCAAACTCTGTACAACAGCAACTTTGCAGAGTGCCCTCTCTCATTCCAGGATCCCTTGGGGGATGTCAGAGTGCTGAATTCAGCCTGATCCCTGCAGGCCAGGCCAAGGGACCCCAACTGCTGGAGGGACCCTGCTCACTTTGCAGATGCTAGGGAGGGACTATGGAAGGTTGGCTCCAGGGTGCGTCTAGCCTGTCTCACCCAGTCCCACCCTGATGGCCACCACCTAATTTCCTTTCAATGTGCACGAATCTGTGCACCAGGTCACTAGTCCTATATAATAAAAGGCTAATATGCAATTGTCCCCTCAACTTGGAGTTTGGGAGTTTGACCAGGGGGCAGGCTGGCTGGCCAACCACCCATGGCTCCTCCTCCCGGCTGGCCCTACCCCTGATTATCCCCCACTCCGATAGGGGGTGGGGCCAGCCTGCCAACTGTCCATGGCACCTCCCCCTGGGATGGGTTGGCTGGACTCCACCTGTGCACGAATTTGTGCACTGGGCCTCTAGTTTAAAATAATAAGCAAAGATTCTACATGATGAATCTTTATATTTCAAACAATGCTATTTTATTAAATTTTTACTTGATCTCATAAAAAATCCAATAAAATTTCAAATACTTTGCAAAACCAGTTGTCAAAAAATATTTGAGAGCTTAAATAGGAAAGAATATAACTATGAGAAATTCAAAGTAGGAAACAGCACAGGTGTCATACTGGTAACGCTAATGTAACAAAAACATGAGATGAAAAGAAAAGTAAAGTGAAACAACTTTATTTACTAGTAAAATCAGACCTATAATTTTGTACTGCTACATTTGGTGGGACTTCAATGATTACTACATCCAATTCCATCAGTTCACAAATGAGAGTTACATTAAAAAATGCTATAAAAGTTTAAGGGACTTGCCCAAGGTATGCCAGTTAAAAGTATACCATAAACAGGGCTTAAATACAGATCTTTATACTCCATATTCAATGTTTTTTCCTACTTTATCCCTATGTTTTTATCCAACTAATCAATAAGAATAAGTATTAAATTCATACGTACAGAAGTTTCTAGAGAGAGTGAACTCGCTGTGTCAACTGATATCACCTTCTTTTGAAAAAGTTTTGAATCCTGGAGAAGCTTAAGTGTGGAAGACACTATTGCAACACTAAAATAAAGAATATATTTTAAATGTTATTAGTTTTACACTTGTGACATTTGTATGTTACTTCCTCCAGAGCACATTCCCACTGCCTCATTCACCCCCAAAATTGTTAGGTGACCTTCTATGCACCCTTACAGTGCCCTGATCTAACTATGTGTTTTGATTTATCACACTGTTTAATTGTGTATAAAGTGCTCTACAGCTCATCTGTCTCATTCCCTGTTGGAACCCAGAACCTAGTGCTTGGGACAGAATACAGAATACTTGGGACAGTAGAGCCAGGAAAATATTTTAACATGAAAGTGAGTGAATGGAAGGATGAATAAATAAAAGTTTCCAAGATTTAAAACAAAATTTACTGACAATATCACTAATAAAATGAGCACATGTGTATTTAAATAAATCAGAATGTGGTTTTCCAGCTTTTTGAGGTTGTAATATTGTTACTTAATGCTATCTACTTAGAAACTATAAAGCTAAATTAATATTAAATCAGTGTCCAGTGAGAAAGGAAATGTACTAAATTAAGAAAGTAGAAATAGAAATTCTTCTTATTTTTTATCACTCTATATGTATGATTGTCTGCAGTTTAGACCATTACAGCCTCCTCACCTCCATAATAATAATAAATTTATAATTGACATCACCCTTTTCAAAATATTTAGATAATATACATCTCAGGAGGCTTCTTCTTTTGAAAATCTATTCCAAAACAAAATTTGAAATACAGAATAATCCGCCCAGCCAGGTGTGCCTCGGTAGTTGAGTGTTGATCTATGAATAAGGAGGTCACAGTTAGATTCCCAGTCAGGGTGCATGACTGGGTTCAGGCTTGAACCTGAGTAGCGGCATGCAGGAGGCAGCAAAATCAAAAAGTATCATATTTCTATCTTTCCCTCCCACACTCTGAAATAAATAAAAATATATTTTAAAAAAGAGAAAGAGCCGAAACCGGTTTCACTCAGTGGGTAGAGCGTTTGCCTGCAGACTGAAGGGTCCCAGGTTCGATTCTGGTCAAGGGCATGTACCTTGGTTGCGGGCACATCCCCAGTAGGGGGTGTGCAAGAGGCAGCAGATTGATGATTCTCTCTCATCAATGTTTCTAACTCTCTATCCATCTCTCTTCCTCTCTGTAAAAAATCAATAAAATATATATTAAAAAAGAGAAAGAAATACAGAACAGTCTATATACCCGAAGATACTTATCATAGTGCTATTTATAACACTGGGAAAAAATGGGATGAAATCCAATTGGACAATGCATCCACCTATCTAATTCTCCACTTGAAGAGTTAATTGACAATCACACTTCACAGGTGTTATAGATTGAATCGTGTGCTGCCAGAAAGTTATGTTGACATCCTAAATCTTAGTACCTCAGAATAACTGTCTGAGGAAATCAAATTAAAATTATGTCATTAGGATGGATCCTATTCTAATTTCACTGATGTATTTAAAACAATGGGAACAAATATCCAGAGAGGGAAGAGGATGTGAACACACACAGGAAGAGGAAGGCCATGTGACTGGAGTGATGTATGTTTAAGCCAAATATTGTTGGCAAAAAACAGAAACTAGACAAAGCAAGGCAGGGCTCTCCCTACCTGGAGCTGTCAGAAAGAGCATGGCCCTTCTAACACTTTGATTTTGGACTTCTACCCTCCAAAACTGGGAAGCAATAAAACTGGATTGTTTTACGTCACCCCAGTTTTTGGCCCTTCGTTAAAGCAGCCCTAGAAAACTGGTAGAATAGATTCAAAGCAGCTCCTCTTGCTTCCACCTCCTCTACCAACTCTGTCTGTCCTCCATCCCACAGGCAGAGCCCAAAATCACCACTGCTTCCTTTTAACTCACATTCTTATGTTCAACCCACCAACAAGCTCTGTCAGCTTCAACTTTGAAATATGGATGCCAGCTAGCAACCCCTCACCTTACCTTATCCACAGCTAAGGCCTCTGCCCAAGCCATCATCATCTCCAGGCTACAGGAGCTTCCTGGCCAGACTGTCCTGTGCCTCCAGCCCCTGCAGTCATGGTCTCTAGATTGCAACCCCAGCAATCTCATTAAGATATAAATCACACCATGACACCTCCCCCATACATATTCCAGAGGCTTCCTGTGTCCTTGGACTGTGGTCAGTACACCTCCTCATTCGGGTCGGTTACTGAGGTTTCTGCCCTAGTATATGACCAACTTTGTCACTGTCCACGCATGCTTGGGAGAAGGTATAGTCTCTGTTTGTAGGCTCCCAGAGTATTGAAATGGGGTTATTATAAGGATTCAATGATATATTCTTCCATTTGTTAAAAAATATGTGTTGAGTACCTGCTATGGGGCAGAACAAATCTAAGGTCTCTGGATATGAGAAACTTTGTGCAATAATTAATTTTTAAATTTCCAAGGTTTTACTGAATCATTAAAATGGCATAGATATTGGTAGGTTAATGTATTGTTTCTGATTGTATAAACTTCCTGGTTCTTATTTAAAGTAAAAAAAAATCAAGAAAACAACAAGAAAAATGTAATACTGATGCATTATGTATAAAGGTATGAAAGTTCCACTCTCCAACAACCTCCTCCCTCAAGGATCCACGTGTGTTTCTATGACAGCTTGTTTACTGGGTAGCTTCAGAGGGTAGCACAGGATGGCTACTACACCCTGTGGGGAATAAGGTGTGCTCAACCCATGATTCTGAATTAGAAGCCCACATTTTGATATAAAGAGAAATGAGGTATGAGAATTCTTGCTGGTTTGCCTCAGTGGATAGAGCATCGGCCTGAAGACCGAGGAGTCCCAGATTTGATTTCAGTCAAGGGCACATGCCTCAGTTGCCAGCTTGATCCCCTGGAGGGGGCATGCAGGAGGCAGCCGATTGATGATTCTCTCTCATCATTGATGTTTCTCTCCCTCTCCTTTCCTCTTTGAAATCAATAAAAATATTTTTTTGGGGGGAAAAAAAGAGAAATGAGGTATGAGGCTTCAAATCTTGCTGACCCCAAAACTTAATAAAATATAAACATACTACCGTAGTATGTACGAATCTTCTTGGTATTAATATGGACTATTCCACCTGGCACTACTTAGTTGCAAAATGGAAACTTTCTAGTTTCTCTCCTCCTCATGAAAAACAGAGTGTAGGAGGATTACTCACTATAACCAGTCTAAAATCCCAAAGGAAAGAAGTTTCATTCTGACACAAAATTAACAGGCTCAGATGTTATCCCATTTAGACAATACATTACATAGAAAGAAGGATAGACAGGAACACTTACTAAAAAAGAAAAAGACAGGATTCTGAGGGAGGCAACCCTAACAAGTAGAAATATCATTTGAATAATTTTGATCCCATTTATTTCTTATTACCATTCATGGCAAAAGTGGTCAGTTTGTTCTCCTAAAATCCATGTGGCTCACTTTACCTGCCACCCTAGGGAATGTGCCTTTCAATTTCCTTGACACATAATTATGTTAGAAGTATCATGAAATGTCAAGCTAACCCTCATTTGGGAAAGAGACTGTCCAACGCTTCCAGAAGCTCCCAAACAGAAGCTCATGGGGGGTAAAGTTCACCTAAGAGAAACTCATTCATCCTGACAGTAGGCTTCCCCAAATGACACCTCTGCTGCAAAAACAAAAGGCAATAATTTGAAAGTTTTGCAGGTTTTGTCCCAAAGGTCAGGTTGATGTATTTAAAATAGGAGTGATTCTGATACACTTGCACATTATTTGCATATTCTATCTGGTCGCAAATTAAAGTTCTATTGTAACACTCATTTCAGTGGCCATTCGGTAATTATTAGTTTCTAATTTCCTTCTTCCATAAAAAAAAAAAAATCACTCATGTCCTCCATGCCAAAGGGTATAAGATATGTAGAGAACTGGGAAAAGAATGACGGGTGCTGTTGTGTGAGACACAACAAAGAATGATGAGTGCTTTTCTATGGAAGAAAAGAGTTCTGTATTTTCCATATGCTTCTACAGGAAATCATACAATCATAAATTTTATTGTCATATCTACCTAAAAACACATATTTAGATATGTTCACATATCATATATTTTCTATAGGAAATTATACAGTAAAAGTTTCATCTCTCTTCAAACTTCAAAGAAGAAAATAATATATTATAATGCAAGGCCTATTTTACTATCAATCAACTATCATAGTATTCATAAAGACAGGCATGGCCCAGCCTGTGTGGCTCAGTGGTTGAGCATCGACCTAAGAACCAGGAGGTCTTCATGGTTTGATTCCTGGTCAGGGCACATTTCCAGGTTACAGGCTCAGTCTCCATTGTTGGGCATGCAGGGGGCAGCCTATCAAAGATTCTCTCTCATCATTGATGTTTCTATCTCTCTCTCCTTCTCCTTTCCTCTCTGAAATCTATAAAATATATTTTTAACTTTTTAAAAGACAGGCATGAATGTAACAATACTTCCCAAGCTTTTTAAAAATCTCAGCACTCACTTATACCCTTAAAATTATTGAAAACCCTAAAGGGCTCCATCAATATCATATTAGAACTTAAGCTGAGAAAATTTTAACTTCATGAGTATTTATTACTTTATTTTAAAATAAAAACAATAAACTCATTATATGCTAATATAATAATGCATTTTAATAAAAACAATTGCCCTGGTTGTGTCTCAGTTGCTTGGAGTGTCATACTGTATACCAAAAGGTTCCATATTCAATTCCCAGTCAGAGCACATACCTAGGTTGCAGATTCAATCTCCAGTCTGATGTGTACAGGTGGCAATTGATTAATGTTTCTAATTTTTTTTATTTTGAAATGTTGCATTGCAGATTTCACAAAGAATATTAGTTACAGATCAAAATTCCAAGCAGTAACTCAAAACATTTCTTTCTCACAAGGATCTCTCTCTCTCTCTCTCTCTCTCTCTCTCTCATTCCTCTCTAAAATCAATAAAAACATTTAATCGAGTGAGGATTGGAAAAAAAAAGAAAATTATATTTTCTAAAACATCAAGAAATTAGTGAGATGAATAACATTGTTTTCACTTTTTTTTCAAATCAAATGTCTGACTTAATAGAAAATCTTCTTAATATGAGATTATTTTATGTGCTTTTACTTTCAGTATGTTGTGGCATAGTCTTGGCTGAAGTATATAAAGAAGACTAGGTTGCACAGATAGTCATTAGAGTGGGAGGAGTATTTTAATAGCTTCTTCAAATAATTGTGAATATTGATGAACTTTTCCTACTCCCTTATATCAAAGCCTATTGGTCTATCTCAATAATTTCAACTGGTGTGCATCAATAATTTTTAAAATATACAGTACCTGACTATTTAGGTATTGACCTCTTTTCCCTTGTAAAATAAAAAATGACAACAGCCAATGTAACAATGTATGGTTTAAGACAGGGAATTATTATAATTCCCTGTCTTAAACCATAAATATATACTTATTAATAGAGTTGTATTTTATTGGTCATGTTGCATAATAAGGATGCATCTGATTGGTTAATTCTTTGTACCAAAAATTCTTAAATACAAGTGTAGGAGAATCTCTAGGGGTGTTCCTAGATTTTTTTTTTTTTAGTCTCTTTGGAGCAAAAAGAGTAGTAACTACTATTTTTTTAATCAATCAAAATTATAGCTAATTTTTGGTCAACAAAATATTTTTGGTGTGCTACATAATTTCAGAAATTAGTTTTTATGAGCCATGGACAAAAAAAGGTTACAAATCACTGGTCTATGTTGTTAACTGGGATTTTGGAACATCATGTACTGGTCATTTAGAAAACATTAACTTCTTGAGCATGAAGATCCCCTAAATGTTGAAACACTTCATTATACAATTTTAGAAATGATGCTTGTTAACATTACTACTAATCTCATTAAAAAAATCTAACCATTACAAAATTGTCAAGTTCATGGTGGCAAATACAAATTTCCCAAAATTTTAGTTTTCCTATGAAACATTAGATATTATGATTGGTTAAAAAAAAATACAACTTATTAGTTGTTTTCCTAGAAGTAGCTTGTCCATTTTGGTCCTTTTCAATAAAATGCCTATCAAATACTCAAGTTTGAATAACCATATTTTGCAGGGTGTTGGGTTTTTTTTCCAAATAAAAAACATTCCATGAATAAAAGAACAGCTGGTTCGGCTTTCTCAAGACAACTATCAAACCTTGATGCACAATAAAAGGGCTCTAGGTGTATTTTCCATTTAACATTCCCACAGAATATCAAAAATAGATTCAAGGATAGGGATTATAAATGTAACAGATTATATTGCTTCATGAAAGGCATTCTTAAGTTAACTGGCCTTTTTTATTGCAAGTGTGTGGCAGTGAAATATGGGATAACTACAAGTATGGCCACTGCTTTGACTCATGGGGCGATGCCAGAAGTTTTACCAGTTGCTTTTGCATCTCCAGTGCAAGTAACAACACAAGGAGGACAATCACATCTTAGTTTTATTATAAAAAGTTTTAACCTTACAAACCCCTGAAAGGATCTTAGGGACACCCCTAGAGATCTGCAGACCACACTGAGAATCACTGCTCCAAGACGACTTTATGGATTTTCATCACTGCTTAGAGACCACAAAAATTACAAATTTCCCAAACCTAGACTGTCCGTAGCATAAAATCAAATTTAGATGTGGTTAATCACAGGATGGCCTTCAATCAAGGCTCACAGTGATGAGATGATTCTATGTTTCCAATCAAAACAAAAGGGATTTCTGCTGAATTGATTGCCTCTTTACAAATGCTGCAGATGGACTTCTCCTTCATCATCATTATTATCATCCTCACCTGAGGATATGTTCATTGATTTTAGAGAGAGGAAGGGAGAGAGAGAGAAAGAAACATTGAATGGTTGCCTCCTGTACCCACTTCAACCGGAACTGAACCCACAACCCAGTTATGTGCCCTTATCCGGAATCAAACCTATGATCCTTCAAGGTATTGGATGAAACTCCAACAGAGCCACATCAGCCAGGGCCTTCTCCTTTTTGAAGAGAATGTCCATCTAAAAATTAACTCCCCTTCCAAATTCTGAATCTCATTCATGGAGTTGAATGCATGGAATTTCAATATCATAAAGAAAGTTAAGATTTTAAAAAACCAAAATTGTAATCTGTACTTTTAAGAATAATAATGTTAAAACTATCTTGGAAAAAAAATGGGTAGGCTCTATTAATCTAGGAATTTATAAAATTTAGATATATTTATCAGATTATGGGGAAGAAGAAACTCCTCTGTGCACAGACTCACCTGTACGCCGCCCGGTATCTCTGCAGGGCAATGGCAGCGAGCTGAAGCCGGGCCTGCATCACAATCTCCAGCTGGCTCACAGAGCACTGGGCAAGGCCCTTCTGGCCTGGTGGCTCCATCTCTGACACCAGGGAGTTGAGCCTGTCTTCAGCTTCTGTCAGTAAAATTGACTAAAAAAGAAGACCACACAATTACATAAGCTCAGAAATAATGCAAGTAATGTCTCGTTATTATTCACCAAATATTTTTTTGTGCTGAAGTAACTACCAATGGAAGACCAAAAAGGAAATCTGAACATAATCATCAATGAACAGCACAAAAGCAACAGAGAATGAAAAGGCAGGTCATGGCAAAAATAAACAAGTCCAACTGTTACCCTTTGTTGTATGTACAACCTATCACATACATGATTATTTACGGGATAGGTTGTAGTTATGGTCAAGAAAGTTGCTGCAAACAGTGAATTAGCAAATAATGAAAACCACCGTTCCTTAAGGAAATATAGGGATATGTTCCTGGGAGCTTCTGGTCACAACATTTTTGTCAACTGGTCAATACGTAACTGTTCAATGTGTGCTTACACACATTATTTAATATATATTATAGGTGCATTAACCCTGAACTCACAACCAATAGCTCTATAAATAATGCCTGACTGAAACTTAATTTATTTTCTCCATAAGGCACACCATAGCCTTCTTGCACTTAGAAACACTAAACAGCACTTTAGGACCAGAGTTGTGGGTCATTTTAAATAATAAAATCAGCAACTGAAAAGCATGAAAATTCCAAAGGTGTGACCATAAATAGACCATGAAAGAAGATATTTCTTCATAGTATGAGAATGGAAACAAAAACTCAGAGCATTGCCTCGTTCGGCCCAGCTGGGAATGTGCATGCTACACAAATCACATTTCTCTATGCTCTGCCCATGTCTACAAATGACCACAAAAGAGCCATAACTACTGATTTAGGGTTACAAATAAATTTTCGTATTGGCAAATTAGCAAATAGTGAATCTGTGAATAATCGGAACCAACTGCATTTCAAGTTAAGCTGTGGTCACATAACTAGCAATGTGAAGATAATGAGACTTTGAGGTGGGCAATTCATAATAAAGAGCAACCTGACATGGAAAAATAGGAAGGGACCGACCAAGCTTTCAAGGAATGGGCCTCTAAAATCTTGTTTGTATAGAGTAGTAAATAGTATACAAGTTCTAGGCCAATTTATATGATGATGGTTAAGAACATGGTCTGTATTTTATTAGCTGCACTCTGTTAGTAAAGTTCTAATTGTCTAAGCTTCAATGTTCTCATGGCTCAGCACAACATACTTCAAAAATGATTAATAGCTGACAGAGCTGCTATGAAAATAACCATGCAAAGTGCCTGTCAGGTGGTAAGCACTGAATAAGTGGTAGCCATTTTTGTTGCTGTTGTCATCACTATTATTATTAGGAAATGAGAAACAGGGTATGGAATAACCAAATCCTACCCAATGAAGAATCATATATTCTGCCGCACCTAAGCGGGTTGTATAGTCAAAGTCTGACACCTGTGGGTATCTAACTTTTCTCATGGGGAAAAGTTTCTGCTTATGTGAGAAAAGCTACCTGGCCTCTTAACTGCGAGCACAACCCAGAAATAGGCCTGTGCATGGCTGAATAGTGAGCAACTTGGTAACTGAGATACTGTGATTTGAAAACATTCTTAAACTCACCTTTAGTGTACTAAGAGTGAGGTCATCTTTTAGTTTTTTTAAATAACCAAATGTGCCTCCATTATCCTTTGAATGTAGCTCTGTAAGACACAACATTTTGAAAGGATAGCTGTGGTTAGTTTAAATATTAATTCTAGTTAATAAAATTCGTTATTAATTGGGAAACTGGCCATAAATTTAACGCTAACAACCCCTTGCAATGATAATTATAAATATATTACTATCTCAAATAGTCTCTAAACATGTTAAATTAGAAGACTGAGGCTGTTTCTTACAATAAATCAGACAAGTCAGTGGTGTTATTCAAGTGATCAGCTATTGGTTCCTCTCTTGGAATTCTAAAACACCTTAACATCCTCAAAGTATTCTGAGTCTTCCAGACATTTATAATGTGTCCATAAGATCTTTTTGGAAGCATCATTTCTATTGATTTGCACAGGCTCTAAGACAGGAGAGTCACATCATTTTGAACAATGCAATTGAAAATCCTTAAACATCTCAAAATTCCCACCCACAAAACGAAGCTGGCCCTGATTCCGAGCCAGGGAGAGTTCAGGGAATTTATGTCGCAGCTCTTGCCTGCTGTGGTAAACCTGGCTTCTAGACTACAGAAGAGAGGGAAAAACTATAAGTCATTGTTTGATTAGGAATTACTGCAAAAATTACCCACCTAAAGACACTAAGTGAAATGAGTAGGATGAAAGAGCCTAGAATAACATGGAACTGAGCACAGCAGACTTCTCTTCTTCCTATTTGGTTCGTCTCCTTCATTAGGAGGATGTGGAGCTAGTAGTGTGCTGAGTATAAGGGAGGGTGTGAGCATTGGGAAAGGCCCAGCAGATGATCTGGGACTGGGTCTTCTTCCCTAAAGTCAGAGAAGAAAGTGAGAGACAAAGATAGAAAACAAATGCCTGGAGCTGGGTATGAAGAACCCGTTGATGAGCATCCACATAGGACGAACATCACCCTAAGAGGACCCACATTTTCCTCATTGATCTCTCTGCCTCCTGTTTGGCTCTTCCCTTTGTGGTCCTTCCATGTTGTATCCCTTCTCTCGGGGGCTGTAAATAACAAACTATATTTTCATTGGCAGCCATCTCCTAATCTGTTGTCCTTACCATATCTGAATAATAATAAGACTTACATTTTAAAACAGAGGCTAATGTTACTCTGATACCAAAACTAGACAAGACACCACTAAAAAGAAAACTACTTGCCACTATCTTTTATAAATATGGATTCAAACATCTTCAATGGAGCAGTAGCAAACAGAAATCAACAACACTAAAAAAAAAAAAAAAAAAAAAAAAAAAAAAAAAAAAGTATACACCGCCGAAACTGGTTTGGCTCAGTGGTAGAGCATTGGTCTGCAGATTGAAAGGTCCCAGGTTCCATTCTGGTCAGGGGCATGTACGTTGGTTGCGGGCACATCCCCGGTAGGGGTGTGCAAGAGGCAGCTGGTCGGTGTTTCTCTCTCATCGACATTTCTAGCTCTCTATCTCTTTCCCTTCCTCTCTGTAAAAAATCAATAAAAAAATATTTTTAATAAATTAATTAATTAATAAAAAGTATACACCATGATCAAGTGGGATTTATTCCAAGAGAGCAAGGTTGGATAAGCACTCAAAAGTCAAATAATAATGTAATGCACCATGTTATTAAAAAACAAAAACTACAGAATCATCTCAATAGATGCAGAAAAGCTATTGAATGACATTCTATCATGACAAAATTATTCAACAAATTAGGAATTCCTTTATCTGTTAAAAGACATATGTGAAAAACCCACAGTTAACATCATACTTGAAGGTGAAAACAATTCTTTTTATGGTGATGTCTAATACATTTTCAAAATACATATACACTATGGCCCATAAATTCCATCCATGGGTGTCTTAACCCATAGAAATATACACTATATCATATGGATAGGTAGTGCTTCAGAACTGTTCTCTAGAAACAAAGTGAATGAGCATCAATATGGGAATGATTGAACAACCATGGAACATTCACATCATAGAACATTGCACAGCCAGAATAGTGAACTAAAGCATAGCAGTTGACTTAGGAGCAGTTTTAGTGAAGTTTTCTTGCAAGAGAAAGGCATGATGCAGAAAAATATAAAAATATATCATTTGTAAACAAATGACAAATCCTACTGTGTATGTGTGTATGTATAAAATTTATGGATATGGAGATATATAGATGAATGTGGATATGCCTGTACTTAAACATAAGCATATGTGTGTCATTTGTAAGCTTAGAGAAAATTTGGAAGAATAGATACTATATTGTTCATAGGGATTACTGGGGTGCAGAGGGGCAGAATTAGAGCCAGAAAGGAGAAAGAAAAGCAAGAAAAGAATGAAATAAAAGATTACCTTTCAAGTTTGAGGTGTTCATTCTGTTCTTCCCATGGGAGCCTATTTTTAATATATTTTCTGGAACGCAATTTATTGTTTCGGCCACACTTACTAACAAGTATGCTTTAACAAAAGAAAACTTATTTGAAAGATGTTGCAGGCCAACTGAATGCAGAATGTTAGGCAAGCCTTTATTGATTAAGTCGTCGAGTGCCTAAAAAATGGGGGGGAAAGAATTTATAAATGCAAGTAAGTAAAATCTTGTTTTATATATTATTGCCTTTCTGTCCCCTTTTTGCATTCCTTATTTGGTTCTGGGAGAAAGACTTTAGGGACAGACATGAGGTACCATGAATAGCATGTCTATCAAGAGAAACGTGTGATGTCAGAACCATCCTAAGCTCCACAGTGCCTCTGCAGTTCCCCACCAAGTTGTGACCTGCCCCAGGAGCTCCCCCTGCCACATAATGAGAGTGAAACAGGGCTGAGAGCAAAGGAGGACACACTTAAAAAAATTTCTTTATTGATTATGGTATTACATATGTGTCCTTATTTCCCCATTAACCCCCAACACCCCCCCAACTGCAACAGCTCAGTAGCCATGCCTTCTGAACATTCTGCTTTCATGTGAGTAACTTAGAGCTATGAGAATAGGAATGGGAGGATGGGGAGACAAGCCAGCTCCCTACCCAGCTTAGATCTGTGCTCAATCACCAGACCTCTGCCTGGTGAATACCCTCAACTCCCAGACCCCAATCTTTTGCACTTGTATTTCCCTGGTAAAAACCAACATGAAACCAGCTTGGAGGATGCACCCTGTACTTGAAGGAGGCTAGGGGAAATCATCCTCTCAGGATCAGCGGCTCCACTTTAAATTTCTGACCAAACCAAATCCATTTATTCCCCCTCTCTCCTAGACAACCATTTGCACACTTTCTTTGTTTCTAGATTTTAACTCTTCCTTCCAGGCAATGATCTTGATTTCTCCACTTAACTGAGAAAATAGAAGCAGTCAAGTAGCATCCACAGACCCCACAGTTCCACCACCTCTCCAACCTACCTAAGCACTTGCCTCTCCACTCTGCCTGCCTTCCTGCCATTAAGCCATGGGACCTATCCCCAGTGGTCTACTCAACCATTCTCCTCCATCATAAATGTTCCCTTTCTAAGTGGCATTCCCATCAGCACACAGCCATCCTGTCTTCTCCAACTCAAAAAATAGAAACCCAATATTCCTGACTTTCTCTCCAGCCACTCCCCCAATTCTTGCTCTCTGCTGTATGACCTAATGAGTTGTCAATGTTCTAATCTCTGTCTTTTCATTTGCTTATAAACCTACTCCTTCCCCACATTGAAATCTTTTGGTCAACAGCACCAATGGCCTACTATTGACAAAATCCAATGTTCAATTCTTAGATCTCATATGTCATATTATTTCTGATCTAAATGATTTTTCAATCAGTGTGCTGTGGTACAATGGTATGCCGCAAGAATTTTTAAAACATGCAATTCCTGACCTGCAATGACCTCTTTTCTGATTGTCAAATAAAAATAGTGACAACAGCCAATACAATAGCTGTCTTGTGTGAATTAATAAAAATTATAACTATTTTTGTCAGATTGGCAAAAAATACATTTTTTTTGGTGTGCTGCAGGATTTTAGTAATTAGTTTATGTGTGCCATGAGATGAAAAGGTTGAAAATTGCTGATCTGTAAAATGTATCTCATATGCCAATTAAACTGTCACATGGTCTCAACTGTGAAATTCATTCTAATTTCAGAGATATTAAATGTGAAAAAAAATGCATGTTTAGGACTCAGTAAATTATGGTGCTTGATTCATCAGCAAAATTTGACACTATTAATCAGTCCTTTTTCTGAAAATGCTTCTCTTGGCTTTCAAACCACTACAATCCCTTGATTTCTTTCCTATCCTACTGGCTACTCATTGTCAGTCTTCCCTGCGGGTTCCTCTCAACTCCTCCACCACTTAATATTGGAGTGTCTCAGGGCTCAGTCCTCTTTGGCCTCCTCACTTCCTGACTTTAGATCATCTTAATCACGGTTTTTATTTCTTTTAAATGTTGATGAAATAAAAGTTTTTCTCTCAAGCTCCAATCTCTCTTCTAAACTTAAGACACATTATAATCAACTTCTGACTCAATACCTTCACTTGAATATCTGACAGATATCTCAAACAGAACATATCTAAAAATGTATTCTTGGTCTCCACCTCCCACCCCACTACACACACACACACACACACACACACACACACACACACACGTCTGGGAATTTGTGCTATTGGTTGAGTGATATAATTGATTGACAGCACAAAAGCAGTATATAGTATACAAAAGGCTCAACAGATTAGCTAAAATGATACTTTTAAAATATAAGCAAACCAGGCCAAATCCTCCAGTGGCTCCTCATTTTGTTTAGAGTAAGAACCTAATTTGCAAAGGCCCCATTTCAAACTGGTACCCTGTTACCTCTCTGACCTCATCTCCCACTGCTCTGCAATCATTCACACAGTTCTAGTAACACTGGCCAAGATGTTTCTTAACAAGTTAGACTGTCCTGCCTCAGTTCCTTTGCTCTCACTATACACTCTTTCTGATTATTCTTTCTCCATATATCATATGAATCGTGTTTTTAGTTTGTTTCAAGTCACCTCAGTGAAAACTAACCTGATCACACCCAACCTAGCCTTATGCCCCAATCTCCTTTACACACTTCTGGGATTATTTTCTGCATAGAAGATTCACCTTCTAAAATACTATATGCTTTACTTATTTATAATGTTTACTTATATGTTTATTACTAGTCTTGCCCACTAAAATATACATTTCCTGAGGGTTCAGAGTTTGTCTGTATTGTAAATTGATGTGTTTATTGGACAGCACCAGAGTAGTGCTTTGTGTACAATAGCTCTTGTGAAATATTTGTTGTATTAATGTAAAATGCTGATGCTGGGGCTATCTATTTTAGAAAAGAAAATGTTTTATGTAAACATTGTTTGGGTGAGTGTGAAGCCATGTTGTCAATGGGAGGTCTGTTGCTATTGTCCATTCCTTCTTAACCTCTTCCTAAGGGTGGAAATGAGCACACACAAGAGCCAGCCTTTGGAGCAGCTAGTAACAAACTGTTGTACTAGGAAAATGGTTGATATCCCGGACCTAGAAAAACAACGGACTGTTTGGGGGTGAGGGTGGGGAGAGGAGTTTTCTCTTTTCTCTCCACATCAGTGATTTAACGAGTCTTGACAATTAAACACAAACACTTGAGAATCAAAAGAAAATTAATTAGAAATGCTATTTAACACTCCTTTCTCTCACTCTACAAAAAAAGTACCCCTGTATAGTGTAATCTGAAGACTCTTAGTAGACCAACAGTTCTGTTTTAATTAATTAGCTAATAGAAATCAGTATTTCATTATCCTGTCAGTCTTCTGTTTAAAAAAATGACCAGGCAGACATTCCTTTTAGACCTCAAACCACTTTTTAAAATAGTATTTTTAGGATATGTTGCATTTATGACTAGAAAGAGAGAAATATTCTTAAACATCCAAAATCTTGGAACACTAAAATGAAATGTGAATATATATTTGTATCTTTCTAATAACAGCTCTTTCATTTTACACAACTTGCTTACAACTTAAAATAAACTGTAAGGCCATAACAATGAATCATCTGAAGCATAATTATATGTAAAGCTTGTGAAATAAAATAAACAATAAAAGTGTAATAAGATTATATTTAATAAATTACTTTTTATATATTCCTATCAAAATTTGGGAGAACAAAAATAAAGCAAGTTTGAAGTGTCTCTCAAAATTTAATAAAAACAAATACCTTACTTAATAAAACAGAATACTGTTTCCTAGCATTAAAAAAAATAAAGCTATATATATTATATAATAAAGAGGGAATATGCTAATTGACCACCACACCCTCACAAGATAGAATCAGCCAATCCCCTCAGCCCTGCCAGCAGTGAATTTTTATGCAACCATTACCTTTAAAAAAAAAAAAATCCTTACCTAAGGATATGATTATTTCCTTTTGAAAATCGGTCTCGGGGAGCAGGCCTAAGTCAGCAGGTGGGCATCACCCAAGGGACCGTGTACCCCTTTCCCCCATCCCCCTGTGTGCATGAATTTTTATGCAGCAGGCCTCTAGTATATATATATCCATCTATATGCATGAACTGTCACCTGGGTGTAAGAACCTCTTACCTGTCCATAACCCCTTTGAATAATGATTGCATTACCACTTATGTGCTCTAACACTTTTCAGTGGACAGTGCCAATAGTCCTGAAATCTTTAAAAATAATTATTTCAAATTATTTAAATGCTATGAGGTCATCAAAGCTTATGTCCCAATCATTCAACTGACAAAAACAGACATATTGAGAGGGGCAGTCTAGCCCTCTCTTTGTAAAGAATATGGTGGAAATTAGAGGAGTTGCTACCTCTATGGAGGTAATCATATTGCAATATATACAGTAACAAAATTACACATCATGCGCCTTAGACAACGTGATATGTTCATTATTTCTCAATAAAGAAAATCTTAATAAAAGAAGAAAACTTTCCAAACCATTGTCTGAGAGGCAGTCTCAAACTGGGGAGAAGGATATGTGTAAAAGCGAGATTGAACAATTGGGCTATTGCAAAATACATGAAATCCTTTTCTTACATCAAAGTCAACCATTATTGTGTAGGGAATCCAGGCAAATATCAAAGTTAGATACTTGATATGCCCAGATGAACAAACTGAATGCATGTGTAAGTGAAAAGACTTAGGAGCAATAAGTTATATTTGCCCAATCTGAAAATGAGCTCAGTTTGTGTCCAATATTAGATCTGACCTCAGGATTTGAGACATTGAAGAGCACATTACATAATTTTCTCAAATAGACTGAAATGAATCAAAACTTATCCATAGTATATATCCAATGTTTATATAAATGATTGTTATCCTTACCTGTATATTTTCTTTACTAGTAAGAGGTTTTCCTGAGTCAAATGGTTGAAATGTCTGTCAACATACAAAGCAATAACATTAGAAACAAGAATAATGAGTGTTCTTTTAAATAAAACTGTTAATAGTACTACACATGCTCTAGTCAAGGACAAAATAGTAGAAAGAAGAAAGTAAAAAAAATCACAGAAAAATAAACTTCTTTAGGTTATCAATGTGAATATTTTGGTGTCTTTTCTTAAAATTTAAAAAATATTTTATTGAATTCAGAAAGGAAAGGAGAGGTGAGAGATAGAAACATCAATGATACGCGAGAATCACTGATCGGCTGCCCACAACCCAGGCATGTGCCATTGACCAGAGTCGAACTAGGGACCCTTCAGTCCACAGGCTGATGCTCTATCCACTGAGCAAAACCAGTTAGGGCTATTTTAAATTTTTATAAATGGATCTATATTCCTTTTTACTAAACATTATATCATAATTACTTTCCTACACCATTAACTTATTTATAAGCTTCGGTCTAATAGCTAGGCAATGTTCTATCCTATGAATGTAGCAGAATAACCTATTTCCATCTAAAGGGACCACTTCCCACCCTTACCCCACCATACGGCTCTATTTAAATAACATTAATGACTATTTTTGTATTTCTGATGATCACTTTTGAAAAGATCCTCAGAAACAGAATTACAGGCTCATTAGATAAGAAGACATTGAGAAAACTAAAAAAAAAAAAAATTAAAAAAAGGCTTAATTTATACTTCTCCCCATCCTATATAATAAAAGCATAGTATACAAATTGACCCCTCAACCAGGAGTTTGACCAGGGGGCAGAGCTGGCCAGGGGAAGGGCAGGAGGACCTGGCCAACAGCCACTAGGGGCCCTCCTAGTGCACAAATTTCATGCACTGGGCCTTTAGTGTTTTATAAAAATGCCAGGATTCCTTCACGTTTATCAGCACTTAGTATTAGCCCTTAAAAATACCTTGGCCAGTTTGTGGTGAAATTGTGTTAACTCTTCAGAATGATTCTTTATAGTTCTTTTCTTTTTTTAGTGAATTACCTATTAATATGTTTGGCTTTAAACAAAATATTGCATTAGGAAATATTCAATTTATAAGTCACAGGAGATTGTGGTGTCCTTGTGTTGGATGCATTTGTAGATGCCAAAACTGATGTCCTGCTCATATCCCCTGGGTCACCAGGAAGTCACCAGCAGCTTTTGTTAACAGACAGCCACCTATGGAAAGTGTCCTACTTTATCTGTGCCTCTTTGCTGGAGGGCAATCCGTGGCCACAAGAACATTCCAGAAGTATAGGGAACTGGTTTCTCAGAGAGTCCCAATTGCCCATAGCAGAGTCCTCCTTAAAGCTCCATGGAATGATATTTTCTCACTTCCCTCTTGGGCCTTCTCACTCACTCACCATTCATTCTGGAACCACCTCCCAAACATACTACAGTATTTGCCACCAAATCTTTGTCTCAGGATCCGCTTTTGAGGAACCCCTAATCCAAGATTTCATGTAGAGCTCTTATTGAAAAAAAGTGTTGGTAGTGTTTAAATTTTTTTTGCTTTTTTGAAGATATTCTTCATCTCCTCTAATACAATGAAAAGTGAGTGGATCCAGGGGGAAATCCTTGGTGATATAATTTGAAGAGAGTTGATGGGATTTTAGATTTGGTGATGAGAGCAGAATATCAATGAATAGAATGTTAAAAGATATAATTTTTAAAAGCCTGTGAAAAATCCTTCCCCCATGACACCCTTCCATTCCAGAGATTACAGCCTGACAATAGCGATAGCCAGGCTGAACAGAGAGATCTGTTAGGGCCGAAGACTTATAAGCACATCTTCATGGAATCATTCTCTGGATTTCAGGAAAGTAGCCTTCAAAAGGTAAAGAAATATCGATAGCTTTGAATCAAGTCAATAGGTTTACCTTCACTTTTGAATACACTTTAGAAGGGGTCGGGACTAGGGAAGGCATGTGCTTCCCATAAAATATCTGGGCTATCTCATGAAAGGCTTCGGAGAAGAATCTTAATTCTGTGAGGACTTCGATCTTTAAAGGAAAGGAAAAAAATGAGATTTAAAATAAAACAGTTTGTTTTACTTGTAAAATAACAAATTTTAGAATAAAATTATATACTGAGATCCAAGATTTGTACTTAATGTTCATAAAGTGTCAATGTTGTAACATGTTAATAAATTAATGTTTAGAAAATATGGATGAAGGAGATGCGCGTGTTAGTGTAGAAGGCAGTATACATGGGTGATAGACCAAGAAGCTAATAAACAACACAACAACACCAGGGGACTATTCAAAACAAAGGATGTTTTTTCAAATGTAGCTACTGCTTCATTAGAGGCAAATACATAAAAATATGATAAGCCTGCAAGGGTTAAAAAATAATTGGAGTTACCTTTATGTTTCCATGGTGAACTGCAGTTTAAAAGAAAAAAAAACAAAACAAAAAACACTCCTGATAGTCTCTCACACCCCAAGGAGAGTCAAATAAGCCAGGAGGTGAATGAACACAACATAGAGACAACCTCTCATTTTCTTACCCATAATTAATAGGCACTGTAGATTTTAAAGACATATACTTAACAACAGTAAGTGGTTGGTAACTGTACATTGTATATAGCTTATTTTGAACATAACACAGCAGACCTTTCAATCAGGGAACTATAAGAAGACAACAGTTACCAAATTCATTCATTCGTTTAACATGTTTATTGACAACCTCTTATGCATCAAGCCCTCTTGGAGTTTACATATTCCATCAGGATATATATTTAGCTAAATGTAAGTGATACATAATTATATACACAGCATGAGAAGAGATTGAGTGTACTGACAAAAATGCTATCTTCAACACTGGGATCAGGAAGAACTCCTCTGAGGAAAGGTCTTTGAGAAAGGTTTGAGAATATGTAAGGGAGAGAGAGACATGAAAATGTGCTAAGGAGACTTCAAGTATAAAGGTCATAGGGGTCTTGGTGTGCTCAAGGAACAGCCTGTATGGCAGGAGCTTAGGGAGAAAGGGGCAGAGGAATGGGGGGTAGGTGTGAATGGTGGCCTGTGCACCAGAGTGGGGACTTGGGACTTCATTCTCTGGCTGATAAGAAGTTATACATGCAGGCAAGAAATATTCAAGGTGATGAAAAGCAAGAACCTACAGCCAAAAATAATCTACCCAGCAAAGCTATCACTCAGAATCAAAGGCCAGATAAAGAGCTTCACTAATAAAAAAAAAAAAAAGCTAAAGGAGTTCATCACCACCAAACCAGAATTATATGAATTGCTGAAGAGGGTTCTTTCGGAAGAGAAAGAAAATAAAGATAAAAATTATGAACAACAAATATATAACTATCAATAAGTGAATCTAAAAACCAAGAGAATTTTTAAAAAATCTGATGAACAATATTAACTAGTGAATATAAAAGAATCAGAAGTATGGAAGGGGAGTGAACTGACTATTCTTGGGGAAAAGGAGAGTGGGGAGTGTGGGAAGAGACTGAACATAAACTGAGCACCTGTAGATGAGGACAATGGAAGGTGGGGAAAGGGCAGAGGGCGGGAAGGGAACCTGGTGGAGGGGAGCAATGGATGGGGAAAAAAATGAGGAACATTTGTAATAATGTGAACAATAAAGATTTATTTAAAAGAAGAAGAAAAAGGAGGAGGAGGAGGAAGAGAAGAAGTTGTTATAGAAGAGTTTGGACAGGGCAGGCCCTAAACTGACATATCTTGAAAACAAGCTAGCCCAGTCTCAGGAATCTGAAGAGTGTATAGATTTTAAATAAATAAAAAGAAGGTAAGTTAGGGGAAATTAGATGTGACAATATCATGAACATAAAACATAAAAGATCAGGAGGATATTTTCTTTTAAAAATTTTAACAGATTTTTATTGATTTCAGGGAGGAAGGAAGAAGGAGAGATAGTTAGAAACATCAATGATGAGAGAGAATCATTGATTGGCTGCCTCCTGCATGCCACACACTAGGGATTGAGCCCACAACCCAGGCATGTGTCCTGACCGGGAATCAAACCATGACCTTCTGGTTCATAGATCAATACTGAACCACTGACCCATGCTGACTGGGCAGGAGGGCTTTTAAAAAAATATTTTTTATTGATTTTTTACAGAGAGGAAGAGAGAGGGATAGAGAGTTAGAAACATCTATGAGAGAGAAACATCGACCAGCTGCCTCCTGCACACTCCCTACTGAGGATGTGCCCGCAACCAAAATACAATCCCTTGACCGGAATCAAATCTGGGACCTTTCAGTCCACAGGCTGATGCTCTATACACTGAGCCAAACCGGTTTTGGCAAGGAGGGCATTTTTAATGGAGGAAACTTCTTGTTTATTGGGTTGCATATTTTGGGTCTTGCCCAAGACACTTTGGGCTCTAATCTCCTCAGTGTCATAGAACATCAAAGTAGGCATTCAGAAGTCACATCTCTATGACTTATAGATAAATATTTTTCTCATTGCCCCTTGGAGGGAACATTTCCTCTAATTTGTGTGAACATACTCTTCTCTGGTCAGACTGCTGTACATGGACTACCAGTCTGACCACTCAGAAACACAATGGTGATAACAGTGGACGTGTATTTACAGAAATGGCTAGTACTGTGAACATAAACAAGCCAGATGGGGGGAAAACTACCCATAAATAAGCCTTTCACTCACACAAATACAGATCTAACAATATCCTTTCCACAAATGTTGAGTGTGTTGAGTAAAAAATCTGTCAAGATGTGGCAGTTCTAAAATAGAGCCAGACTAGCTGATCATAAGGTCTCAGAGCTTTACCTGAAAGATGTTAGTGTATTACATAAACTTAACAGCATGATCTACTGCTGTCTGATGTGTCAAAAAGCAGCTTCATTTACTATTTCCTGAGACTCTTCCCACTCACTGACACCAGTTTACTCAGAAAAATCAGGCAAACTCTGCACACACAAGTGGTCATTCCTTTCCTCTGAATGATGCAACAGTTGTCCTTTTTCATTGCTTCTGGTAAACCTGGTCGTTCAGTCCTATTCTTCCAATAAGACCCACTGTGTCTCACCCTGCTCTCCTCACACTTTTCCCAGATACATCTGATCATGTCCTTCTCCTGATCACAATCCTGTAATGAATTCCCCCTCCGACCCTAAGACTCCAGAATGGAGTTCACAGTTCTTCAGTGGCTTTTAGAGACTCTAGTACAAAAAGAGTTGTCCAGTGTCCTGTCAAGTTAACAAATAATCATTTAACCAAAAACTGTTCTTTCAGTGCCTCTCTGCATCTCTTTCTGACATGTTACTAATGGTCACTGCAACCAGAATCAAATGGTTAGCCCCATCGCCTCTTTCCTTCTACTACTCAGCCTCCATAGTATGTCCCAGTTGAACTCAAGCCTGGGCCCCTGGTTTTCTCCATGTCATGGACTTTGGTACCCTCATGTTATCCTCTTCTCCAACCTCCCTACTCAGAACTTCCACTCCAGTCTAACTTGAACCAGCCCTGTGCCTAAGGAAAGCAATACTTCCTCACCTCAACCTTTCACACTACTGAGTGCCAAGAATCTTCCCTTCCTCCTCTCTCCTGCTCAGTTAGGTCTACTCTTTTCAAGCCTAAATCTTATCTACTTTGTGAAAGATAGAGATTCAAAGCCATCTTCCCTTCTTTCAAACTCCTGGAGAACATTGCTCATCACACTCATTGGGAAATGGTTAGTGTAAGGTGCACACATTACTGTTTTGTGTGTATGTCCTGTCTCTCCTCCTTGTTTTTATGTCCCTATAAGCAAGAGCCATTGGGTTATACTTCTTTGGTTAAAGTAGCTGATATGGTGCTTTTATATAAGAGGTCCTCAATAAACGTTGTTTCCCAGGTGAATCAATACATATTTACCACGTACCTTCTAGGCGAGTTTCCACTAAACACTAAGGAAAGTGTGGCCAGTAGGCATTTGATAAATGCCTATAGATTTTAAATTCAATTCAATTATTAATTACTGAATATCAAGTACATGAATTTATTTCTCAAGACATCATATAGGACTAAAAGGTGAATAAATACAGGTCCTAACATTAAAAAAATGTGGCAGTCTTGAAGAGAACACTGTTGTGTTTAAAAAAGAAAAAGAGAGATATAAAAAAGTTGTATGCAGGTTTTTGTTAAGTCTTATTGAAATTCAAAAGCAGGATAACTCTTTAAGAGTTCAGTAACTTAGTAATGGTGATTCAGAAATTACCATGGCTAATAATGAATTCTTTATTCCAGAATTAAAACAGAATATCTTAATCAGCAACAGCATTCCTGTTAGGCAAGGTATTTCCTCTATTTAGAAACAGAATGTTATGGACTATTTGAGTCTGAAAATATAGGCCCAAGGTCAGGGTCTGGATGGAAAGAACAGTTTAAAGGAAATTCTAATTTCCCCTCATTAGAAAACAGGAAAGATTTTAGAAGAAGAATAGAGGGCATTTCCAAAGAAGAAGGAGGATTAAGTCAATAGTATGTAGAGCCTTCCTACTCACAATTACAAGAGCTTACTGCACATCTTATCTCAAATTCATGTTCAGTGATGCCCAACTGGTAGGCTAAAATCAGCTATAGTGGAAGTACTTACACCATGGAAATTTTAAGTGCTACAAATCAGAGCTTTTTTTAGAGTGAGTTGTGAAACATCTGCTGGCACACAGCTAACCAAGTTATGGGCTGGGAGGCAAAAGAATGAGATATTGGCCAAAAAATATTTTAAGCTCTGAGATGTCAAATATTCTATTTCTAATTGATTGTTTTGCCTCATCTTAAGTTTTCCAGTGTTCCCTATTTTCAGTAAAGTCCAATCCTATATAATAAAAGCCTAATATGCTAAATGTCCAGTCATCCATTCAACCAATCAAAGCTTAATATGCTAATGATTTGCTAAGGCTGCTCAACTGCTTGCTATGATGTGCACTGATCACCAGAGGGCAGATGCTCTAACCAGGTTAGCTTGCTGCTGGGGTCCAGCCAATCAGTGGGGTCCCTTGGCCTAGCCTGTGCCCTCTCACAATCCAAGACCCCTCAGGGGATTTCAGAGAGCCAGTTTTTGCCTGATCCCACAGTCCAGGCCAAGGGATCCCACTGGTGCACCAATTCATGCACCAGGCCTCTAGTACAGATATAGAAGCCTTAGATAAAGTGTGTGTGTGTCTGAGACATGGAATAGTGTTGAATTCCATATCAGAGATGAGGACATGCAGAAGAGGGAGCAAATGTCCTGAATGTTGAGATAACCCATGTACAAAACAAATTCAACAGAAGTGGGAGTTTGTGACCATAGTTGATGGGAAATGGGGCAGAGAGAATGAGATGCTAGAGGTTCCCACTCCACATGGAGTTCAAGCCAACTGCACATGAACCTGAAGGCAGAGAACCTCAGCAGACTCCTAGGTTCCATAGTTAATTGTAATTTAGTCTGTGTGTTTTGTCACTTCAAGTTTCTGAGCAATTAAAGATTCTGTATACCATAACATACATAAAGATCCTTAGCAAAAGTTACACAGAAACTTCAGAAAACTGACTTATTAGTCTCTATTCTTGCAGTAAACCAATGCTTCAGAAATGGTGATCTCTAGACTGACTAGTATTGGGCAAGCCTTGTTACGAGGTGTAGCTGTTCCTCACTTTACTGGGGCCCAAGCATAAAGTCATTTAAACCTTTCTAACTGGCTTTTTCTCATACTTTATTATAATAATGGGCAAGTTTTTTTAATATCAGTACACCATATTATTCCTAATTAATCAATTAATACTTATTATTATGAGTATTAACACCAATTAATTCATGGAAATATCTTTAACAGTTCAAGAACATCAAATGTTTTAAAAACTTGTAACATACCTTGAGGATTCTTACTTCTAGATTTCTGACCAAGTCTTGGCAAATTGCAGCAACAAAATATTGGTACAATGCAAGGAGAGGCAGAATCTACCAACAGAAAAACAAAATGTATTTTATCAAGTTAATAACCAAATAATAAAATTTTGTCAGGTAGTGTAGGAGATGATGTGTAAAATGGTCATTGCTTTTTCCATGCAAGGAACTAATACTGTTTTATGTAAGTAAAATGTGCTTTTTAGCATATGCTTCATAATTTTATCAGAACTTAAATTTCCAAGTACATGCTGCTTGGTACACAAACCCAAGGCTGCACATATATTCTAAAAGTAAAAATTCAGTTAGTTATCTTCCTTGAAAAATTAATTCATCATCTATGTATGAATCACTGAGGCCTGTGGAAACACTCTAGATTTGTTAGACCTACCAAATAAATACCAAATTTAAAGCAAAGGAACTCACATCCATAGCCCCTGATAACGCCTCCTTGTTCATCTCAATGTCAGCAGTGATTTGTCTTCTAATTAGAATATCTGTATTGAAAACTAATATTTATCACTTGCCTATTCTATGGAAAACACTGTTGAATAAGAAAAAAATCTAACACATCAATGTCCTCACAGAGTGTATAGTCTACTGATTAAAACCCAAACTTACTCTTCACATAATGTTTTTATTGTCCTAGAATTAATCCCAAAGTTCAACTCTTCCTGAAATTTCACAGGTATACATTAAGGGTTCCAGACTATCAATATTTTTTTCAGACTATCAATATTTCAATTTACCTAGCCATTGCTAGAGACTAGTGTCGAAAGGACAGTTTTGCCTAGACTTCAGAATAGCTCCTCCAGATCTCAACTCAAAACTGAAGCTCACCTTGGGTCCTACAACTTGGTTCCAACAACTTGGGTCCTGCCCACTAAAGGAAGACTGAGCAAGAAGGATCATTAGGATGCCTATTAATTAGCAAACTATTTCCCATGAATCCACAACAATGGGTTCCAGAGCAAATTTTACTGGCTCCTTAGCTACCTAGTTTCTGGAGGGTAGTGTCAACCAAAATGGAAACTGTTTATGTCCTGGAAGTTCAGCCAAGAAGATTCTGTCAGTCCACTGACAGCTGCTAATAGCAACTGCTTTAAAAAGGATTAGAACTGATCTTAAACGTTTAAACAGTATACAACACAATTTTCTACAATTATGCAATAAAAACAACACAATACCTTTTTTCCCCACAATTAATGCAGCACAAAACAATGAGTTGGCTATTACCTTTGAGATTTTCTTTTCTTTAGTGGGAAATAAAACCACAACGTTATTGCTGCCAATTGCTCAATTATTCAGAAAAATGTTCTCAATTTCTTAAGCTTCAGAGGGACAAAAAGTCTTATTTCTTTTCCAGTGCAGTGATATGTATTATATATGAGTGTGACTAGGCAGCTAAAGGTTACCCAGGGGATAGAACTGTTTTCTAGATCCAGAAATGAATCCCCTTAACCATGGGAAGAGCACCATTTTGTTATTTTTTTCTAATAAACCATCTCTTACCAAATATGCCAAATGTGTTTTTTTAAAAGCATTTATCTACCTTTACACTTTAATACATGACTTTATAATTTAACAATTCATACCAGGGAGAAATAAATATTTTCAATACAAGGAGAGAGAGTGAATTTAGAACAAGAGAATAGAAAACAATACATGAAAAAAAAAGAAAGTAAGTATGAAAATTATGTAAGCACAACAGAATAGATATTAAGAAGCACACCAGAGGAAAAAGATAAAAAAAGTGGAGGAAATAGCATATAGGAGAAAAATAGGAATAAAATAAAATCAAGGAGGAAATATTAAATGACCAATAGTTAAAACATTCTAACTTGTTTAAAAAATATAATTACCTTCAAATTTATGATATATACATATTGTGGTTTATTTCCCCAAAGGAAAAATAAAGCTGTTTTGGATTTTTTTTTAATTTCCTGGGATATTAAGAAGTATCTGTCTTTTCTTTCACAGTTAGAATAAGTTGTTTACTTAGAATACACCCTTACCAGAGAAAAGACAAGTGACACAAAGCTAAATTTATCTCAATAAGTAAACTGCCTCATAATTTGGGTACTGATGTGATCTGTATGACAATGTGTTGAATTACATGTGCACTAGATTCTTCTGTTTGAGACTTGTGAACCATTCTAATCCATTTCACCAAATATCTTAAGGGGGAAAAAAGGTAAACTAAAGTAAAAAGAGAACAAAATCAAATAAACACTGATTTTGAATCCAAAAACAATCCAAACAATGATGTCAAAGAATCTCAATTAATATATTTTATTTTGAAGTATAGATAAGAATCTTGAATAGAGAGATTAAAAGTTAAAGAAGAACTGACCAAAATATTAACAGATTTTGAAAAGTGTAAGGTAAATGGTCATAAAATAAGGCCACAGCAAATTAAGATTTGTTGATTTTGACCAATTACTTACGATTATGTTTTGCTTAGCAAAGTGCAGTTCGCGTATTACAAAATAGAGACTGGCAACTACAGAGCAAATATTAGCCCGGTATGGATCCGAGAAGAGCTCGATGCCTGGGAGAAGCTGAGTGATTTCATACTGAGCATAGCAACGTTCAGCTTTAGGATTTGGAAGTGTGGTTCTAAGCAAACCCTGAAGATGATAAAAGGTGAGACAAAAAGCTGTATGTAGCATGGCAATATGACACAGAAAGACAAGTACATGTATTACTTGCTAAAATGCTTAGCACATGCCTAGCACACTCTACTCTGTAAAAAAAAAAACAGCACCTGTCATCAATGTTATCATCAGCAGAGATTCCAAATGCTTTTAACACTCAAGATGTTGCCTTTGAAAGCCCATGGTAATTGGATACATATTATTTTCAGAAGAAGTTATCATTATATTGTTATCATTTGAGAGGGACAATTTTGCATGAGGCATTATGGCAAATTCTTTATAAACACTATCTCATTTAACCCTCATTTAACCAACCCCTAGCAGGATTATTATCTCACAAATGAAACAATGAGGTTTAAACAATTTACCTGAGGTCACACAGCTAGTGGGGGTAGAAAGAACATTTAAAGTTATATCTATTTAACTCAAAAAATGATGTTCTTTTTACTCTACCAACCTATAAGTAGAGGAGGCAACAGCTTATTTAAAAAATCTAAATCAAGTAGAGGTAATTCTTAATTTTTACTGAATTAATTGAAAAGGTGATTTAGTTTATTTGACCAATATTTCTTAAGTAACTTATTTGACCAACATTTTCTAGATGTTGGGAAACAAGATGAATACACAAAAGCAAATTTTATATTTACGAGTGTTTCTTATATTACCTTAAAAAATTAAAAACTTCTGAGTGACAAATGCATTTAAAATTATTTTATGTAAATACTGGAAAGAACTTTCATCAGATTATTAATAAGGTAACTATTCTAAAATGTTAGGCAGTTGCTTAAATTTTTAGTCTTATAAATTTGCTTTAAAAACATAAAAAGAATCAACGGATTAAAAAAAAATAAATCCTGCCAAATTTAGGTGCAATATTATCAAGAAATATGTCAACATTAAGCAAAAACTGACATTTATTTTTAAATTACAGATGGCCTTTGAATTGCATGTAGAGGGCTAACTACATACACTGATGTATGCCATTTTATACAGGGATTTGTGCACCCATCGAAGTTACTGTCTATGGGGAAATCAATCCCCCATGGATACTGAGGGGCAACTATGTTTTGGGGAAGTAAGGACTTATACACACATTCTCGACTATGTAGGGTCAGCATGCCCCCAATCCTTTTGCTGTTCAAGGGTCAACCTTACTTATTTTCTAAAAATAAACTGCATTACTTTTGAGAACAAGGAGTGGAGTAGGTAAAGGATGCAATAAGTGGAGGCGAAATCAGGTTATTGTTCCCTTTACACCCTTGCCTCTTCTCCTTCCTCCCTTTGAAGCTCAGGCAAGAGGTGAACAGAACATAAGAAAATTGAAAATTCTGGCCTTACACCCAGAGAAACCTTTTCCAAAGATCTTATCTATACAGCTGTCATATCAGACTCCTGTGATACACAGAACAAGGCACCCATACTTCAAAGTAAACAGAGCCTTCAGTACATTGCAAAGGCCCCGGAGACATTCTTGAATCTGAAAATGTCTTGTATTTCAGATAAAAGCTCCTTTTTTCTCCAGTAAAGTCAAACCCCAATCCTAGGAACTGCAAACACTTCTCATGCTTCTGTGGTCTTCAACCTACTTCTTGCTTTCATTACATAGCATACTTGATATCTTGGAATCCAGCAAAACTTTATTTAGGGATGATGTAATCTAAGGCAACCAGACCAACTTTGCTGCTCACAGGCAACATGATCTTATTAACAACAGGAGTCTCAGTTTCCTTATCTGTAAAACTCCTTCCAGAATCCCAAGGGGAAGACAGAGTCTGCTGGATACTAAAGGTGAAAGCGGCAAATGGGGGTTCAGCCACAGAAGCAAAGATGGGCTTATGACATGTAATCAATGTTAATGCTATTTCCCTACCTAGACATTTAATGAATATGATAAACTACTGCCCTTATTATTATTATTTTTTTTTACTGAGTAAATAGTGATGCTACTGTGGAAAGATAGACATCAAATATTACCTGAAAGAGTAATGCAGACAAAATGCAACAATTGGTTCTCTTCTCAACATCCAACACCTTAATGAATCTAAATAAGTATAAGAAAAAGTAACTGATTCATAGATAATTTCTCAAAAATATTTTTATATAAATACATCTCTCATATTCACAAACTTTCCAAAATTAAAGTAGCCTTTGTTATTTGAAAGGTGCTATATACTCCTATAAGATCTAGAACATTGAGAATGATTTAAAAAATTAAAAAATCACCTATAATCCTACCACCTAAACATTGATTAGTGGCAACATTTTGGCCCATTTCCTTCCAGACATTTTTCTAGTTATAAACACACATATTAAGACTAGAATTATGCAATACATATAACTTTATAAACAAATCTTATGTGTATTGACATAATGAGCCACATTATTACTTTATAGAAACTTTAATATTTTTATCTTATGAACATACCACAATATAAAAGATTCATACCATTTTCATCCATTCAATATTGAGGTAAACACTGGTATCTACATATTTGAGCACTTGTCCTATTAGTTCTACAAAATAAATCCCTAGAAGTGGAATTTTGGGGGGGAAAGGGGTTATACAATTTTAAAGTTTTTAATGAGTATGGTTACATAATCCTTCCAAAAACTGAAACAGTGTGTTTCCTCACCAGGAGTATATCATGCACACTAGTAAATCTCTCCACCAAAGATGAAGGTAATGACTCTGAACTTACTGCTGTCTCATGTTAAGTCCAGGAGAAGAGTTTGAATTTCTTTTCATGTGGGTCTTAAAATGCACAGCTAAAGCTATAAACCACATTACCTTCTTCTAAGCCTTAATTTAGATAAAAACCAGCTGGTTTCACCATATTAATTATATTAATTAATTAAGATCTGAGTTCAGCTTCTCCATGTGGATATTCGGGTGTGGGGTTTGCCCTTCTGAGCCGCGGGGAGAAGAGTTTCCTCTACTCAGGGAGTCTCTGAGAACAGCCAAGGCCCCTGGAGTATCATCTATCCCGTGGAAGGCAGACTTGCAGCTAGACAATTGGAAATGACTTCCTGTTGTTGAAAATCAGTAGATAATAACTTCAGGGGCTCAGAGAAGCTGAGGTGCCCAATGACAGGAATGCTGCAGCAATTCTTTTTCAAGCTGTGAACCTTTCTCAGCCTTTCTCTTTTCTGCTGCCAACCTCTACTAAGTCACAAGCTCAGACTTGTGTAGGGATTGTGTGTGTGCATATGTGTGTGTGTGTGTGTGTGTGTGTGTGTGTGCATGTGTGTGTATGAGTTCTTTCCCAGGAGTGCAAAACAATCAAACTTCACAACATTGTTTAAAATGTTTAATACATTACTGTTTAATACTTTTTAACTAGGTAATATCTTACCTCCCCTGCCAAAGGCTGCTAATTTTCTTAAGATGATGTGATTTTTAACTAGTTATTCTTTTTAAAAAAATTGCTTTACAGCTCAAATGCTATGCAGGTTTTTGCCCACCACATCACACCCTATAGGTAAACAATAAATGTAATGTAACTGGAAGGTGAGAGATACCTGTACCCATAGCCGTCCATACTTTTTAAAAATATGGAACACTTCTCAAACTTGCTTGTCATCCTTGTGCAGGGGACATGCTAAGCTTCTTTATTGTTAGTATATATGTGCTGCCGAAATGAATACTGTTCCTTCTTTTTAAATTTTTCATATTAATCAAACATTTAAGACATTTATACCCAGCCAGTGTGGCTCAGTGGTTGAACTTCTTCTATGAACTAGTAGGTTCCATTTCTAGTCAGGATATATGCCTGGATTACAAGTTCAATCCCCAGTGGGGGCATGTAGGAGACAGCCAATCAATGAATTCTCTCTCATCATTGATGTTTCTATCTCTCTCTCCTTCTCCCTTCCTCTCTGAAGTCAATATACCAGTAAATATACTATATTTTTTTAAAGGAAAAAAAAAGTACTTCACGAAGTCTTGGGATACTGCTTTTTCAGGGAAACTGGTTGAATATCATAAGAATATCATGAAAAAAAAATATGTGTGATGCTACTTGGGTATAAGGCATCAGGACAAACTTTCACATGTTATGTGATGATAGGCTGAATAACAGTCCCCATGTCCTAAGATATCCATGTTCTAATTCCCAAAACATATTAACACATTACCTTACATGACAAAAACTAATAGACTTTGTAGATGATATTAAATCAAGAACCTTAAGATGTGGTTATCCTGGATTATTTAGAGGGAAGCTTATTAGCTATCATGCAGATCATTCCATCATCACACTCACTGGGCTATCTTTGCCGATATTTCTGCCCCTTGCAGACACCCCCAAATGCCAACTCTGGACAGGAATTCCCCACTGTAGTCTTTGGTACGTGGAGGTGAACAACTGTTGGTGGCACTGGTGACCGAGGTACCCAACTCTTTCCATGTATGCAACACATCTGGTTTTCTGAATATGTCATCAAGAGCTTGACACCAGCATTTAAAAGCAGCCCTACAACAGAAACAGAGCATCGAGCATTCCATTTTCTGAGATCTATTTTATTAAATATTTCCAAAAGGGAAGGTTAATACACTGAAGAAACATTTTAATTAAAACCTATACCAGAGAAAACCAATTTGGCTCAGTGGTAGAGCGTCGACCTGTGGACTGAAAGGTCCCAGGTTTGATTCCTGTCAAGGGCATGTACATTGGTTGCAGATACATCCCCGGTAGGGGGTGTGCAAGAGACAGTTGGTTGATGTTTCTCTCTCATCTCTAGCTCTCTCTCGACGTTTCTAGCTCTCTATCTCTCTCCCTTCCTCCTCTCTGTAAAATATCAATAAAATATATTAAAAACAAACAAACAAAAAAAACCTATACCAGCCCTAGCTGATTTGGCTCAGTGGATAGAGCATCAGCCTGTGGACTGAAGGATTCCAGGTTTGATTCAGGTCAAGGGCACATGCCTGAGTTTCAGGCTCCATCTCCAGTAGACAGCAGGCAGGAGGCAGCCAATCAATGATTCTCTATCATCATTGATGTTTCTCTCTCTCTCTCCCTCTCTCTTCCTCTCTAAAATCAATAAAAATAATTTTAAAAACCTACACCATTTGTGTATTATACATGCATAACCATTTATCCTAACTAGAATTTTATGAATAAATGTAGCAATGTAATATTATTGAAGAACTAGAAATTACAAAAGACAATATTTTTTCAAAATTAAAAATTTTTTTTTCAAACAGTTTTCTCTCGTTCTGTAGACACCTTTAAAAAAATCTACCTTTTCTTTCCTGCGAAGATAAGAAGATTTCCAAGTTGATGCAACGCCTGAACTTTAAGACTTCTTTGATTGCTGGCTTGGAGAACATCTGTATTTTAATCAAGTAAAAGAACAAAGATCAGTTCCTGAAAAAGATTTCCTTTGTATCTGCAAGAACATTTTAAATTGTATTTTTCCTTAATTGTGTACAGAAGCAAACTGCACACCAAATATCACATGATATATACATATATACAAAGAGAGTCAACAATGGTCTATTTGAACATGGTGGAGTGGAAGATTAAGATAGTGAAAGAAAAGTCACACAAGTAGAAATAGTTAAGAAGAGAAAAGCAGAAAAGGCGTGCAAGGGAGAAAGGGCTGGGTATATATGGAGATGACATGTGTGGCTGGAGTATGCTTTTTCTGGGCAGGTGAAGAAGAGGGTTATGGTAACATTAAAGAGACATCTGAATGCCTTGTGGGAAAATGTGGATGTTATTCTATATTAGAAGAGAAGCCTTGAGCAGAGATGTGATAAGACTACAGCCTATCAAATTCTTCCTTTCACTCAAATGCATAAAAGCAAATTTTTAATATAACCCAAATTTGAGGGTTGGGGATAGGGGCTGAAGGGTTCTGATAAACGCATGCTTTCAAGAATATGTGGTTAAAATAACCAACCAACTTGGCAATAGTTTATAATGAGGCTATACTTCCCCTTAGAGGTATTTTGGAAGTTTTAGGAAGGGTTTTGTTAGTTGTCACTAGGGGCATCTTCTGGTATTTTGTAGGTGAAGACCAGAGACATCGGATGGCCTGCAAAGCACAAAACATTCACCCACAGTGAAGAAAAAGGTGAGAAACCCATTTGCAATATTCTGATTCTAATACCTAACTTCATTCAAAAAAAAAAAAAAGGTATATGTATATCTTTTCAAAATGTTCTGAATTTGCCAGAAATGCAACCACACACTGTGGCACTCTGTCTTGTTTAGAACTTTACCTAGGTTTACTTGCTATTTTAGGAAACTATGTCACCAAGATTAACATTCTGATGCCACGTGTCACCAGTACAACAACGAATCACTCAGCATTCGGAGCTGTGACATCCTGGTGATCCTGCACATAGGGTATGAGCCTCTGATAGCTTCACTGTGCCTTCCCCTGCTTGAGTACTTACATACCAACAATAGGTTCATATATTGAAAAGTGACTTTATCCCTTATTTTGTACTTAGAGTTTCACATTGATTTTTGGGAGAAATAATACATGTAGGAAGAATATATTAAATGTAAATTTTACAGCAGAGAATAGAGGAGGAATTGCAGAATGACTGCTTCAAGAAAAAAAAAAAAAAAGGAGATGTTGGGTCTACAACATAGGTTGAGTATCTACTGCTGAATTTGTGAAAGACAAAGAAAGTAAAATCATTGGGACAGAGCATAAGAACTTGACAGTGGCTACATCCCGACCAGCGGTTCAGAGATTAAGTTACTAAAGAGGGATGGGCAGAAGGGTGGCCTAGGATCTTGCAAAGTGGCAGTCAGGCTGGGGAAGTGGTCAAAATGAGGTGCTGGAAGCTTCTTGTCTTGACACTGTTCTGTCATGGTCTGCAAGAGTATGACGGATAGATTCTATTTTAGGCTCTTTCATCCCTTTTTTAATTCTATTTTTTTTTTTTAAATATTTAAGCCCAGCCAGGGTGACTCAATGGTTGAGCATCAACCTGTGAACCAGGAGACCAGTTTCATTCCCCATCAGGGTACATGCCCGGGTTATGGCCTCAATCCCCAGTCAGGAGTGTGCAGGAGGCAGCCAACCAATGATCCTCTCATCATTGATGTTTCTATCATTCTCTCCCTCTCCTTTCCTCTCTGAATCAATAGAAATATATTTTAAAAATATATCATGGAAGCACCAAATGTAATCTCCAAACGTAATGCAGGAGATCATATTGAAAATAAATACACAATGAGTAAATCTTACCAATAGTTTCATAATATGAAGAAATTACGAGTCCGAGCTGTGAATAGGGAAGTTTGCTTTTCTCCACCGAACTGAAAACTCTGAAGTGTTCCTGAGAAAGGTCAGGGGGTGTGGGCATGTGCATCTCTTCCGTCCCCAGGCAAAACTGCACCTTTCCAGTAGCAAATTTGGCATTGTCTATTCCTTTGTCTCCTACTCATAAAGAGAATGAAAAAGAAATTTAAAATGGAAAAAAGAAGGGAAGTTGATGGTGAAGAAGAAGGTATAGAAATGGAAAGGGAAGAAAGAGGAACGATTTTGTATGTAGCTGAGACTTATTTGCAGGCTGGGAACTTAGTTTCCTTAAACTTACTATCTAGAATCATTTTTAAGAGAACACATGTGTATGGATGGGCTCTGTGCTCAAGCTACTTCACAGTTTTACCAGAATGTAAATGTTGAGATAATGCTTTGCTTTTCACGGGGATTGGTGGAAGTTACACCACTGGGGTTTGCCCCCTTTTTAAGAGCTTCCAAGAGTAAGATGTGAGTTTGCCTCTGGGCAGCAACCTCTATGATAAAAGAAACTCTTATGTAGTTCTGCTTAGGTCCTGTATACTCATACCTATGACCTCTTTTATGGAGTCAATCCATCTCATATGTGGTTTTCTCTTTTCCTTCTGTATTCTATTTCCCCAGCATAGTGTCTTTCCCAAAGAAGCCTATCTTCTCATGATGTGCTCAAAGTAGAACACTATTTATTTTATTTGTTTATTTAGTTTTACCTCCAGCAATGTTTCAGGCTTAATTGACTTTAGGCCCTTCTTGTTCATCTTTTAGGCAGCCCAGGGTATCTATAGAGCTCTCCTTGAACACCATATTTCACATGAATATTTGACTCATCTTTCAGTATTTCAAATGAACATTTCGGTACCAGTTAAGATTCAGAGTGAGTTGATATAAATCATTCTTAGAAATTTTATTTCCTTTTTTACATTTATTTTTAATAAATTTTAAAAATCACTGTCAATATATGCCACAATTGAACGAACTTTAAACATAATACGGAGAGTTCATTCATTGTAATGTGAGTCTGTGGACAGTACAACTAAAATCTATAGATAGGTTTTTTTCAGAGGGCAGCAACCACATATATATATATGTGTGTGTGTGTGTGTGTGTGTGTGTATACATATATATATTCATATATATATATATGTATATTAGATGTACAGTCAAAACATGAACAAATATTGTTTTTGTATCCCCTTTACACAGGGAGTATGGTAGTTTCACAGGAAGCATAAAGTAGATGAGACAGTACCTTGGTTAGAATAAAGAGAGAGAAGATGTGGTCCACTAGGCAGGAAGAAAGTGCAAGGCAGCAGTGAATGGACTTGGAAGTGGAGGGAGGAGGCACCTGTGGCAGGCAGATCTGCAGGTGGCATCCCCATCTACTAAGTAAAGACTAAGGGATACAGAGCAATTATTTTTACCTTGTGTCTGTGCAAGAAATAGTGAAAGCAACTTTCTGCTGTGTCGGATTGATCTGTTGTGATATCTGGACTTTTCCAAAGTCTCTCTAAAACATCTCAGCGTATCTGCCACGTCCACGGGCACAGAGAGGAGCCCTTTGGAGTAGCCATATTCTGAAAGGAAAAGGAAGAGTAATGCTCATGATGAAATGCGGCAGCAAGTGAACTAGTAGCAAAAGACTAATTCAGATAATTTATTGGTCCAAACTAAAGATGCTAAATTAAAAGCTTCCAGGTATGTAGCAGATATTTCAACATTAAGATAATTTTTTTCTGTATGTTTCAAATTTTGTTTAAAAAAAAAACCTTAAAAAATTTTGATTTTTATAAAAAACAAAACAAAACCCACACATAAACTTTAGATCCTGTCAATTTTCCTTAGGAATTCTACAAAAAAAGAAAGGAAACAAAAGTTGCCTGGAGATGGGCAATTGCTCTCTTTAGAAAAGGAAAGGGCACTTTCTAATATAGGAACAGAGGCAAGGAAGATGGGGTCATAATAGAATATGATACCAACAAACAGTCCTGATAAATAAAGTTGCTATAAGATCTCTGGAGAGGAAGTGACCATCCAAAAATTAGGCTGCAAAAAATATGTACATGAAGCAGACACACACACACACACACACACACACACACACAAAACAAAAAAAAACAACAACAACTAAAACAAGAAATATAGGCTTCAGACAGAGTAACAAAGAATTTGCTTCTTTAACAAGTTGAATAGTCGGAGTACCCCCTGCAAAATCTGAGGTACTGAGAGTACTGCAACTTTTAGGGAATGCAGCTATAAGAGTTTACAGGTTAGCTGAAGAGATGAAACATCTGGCTATCATGTTCAATGACCACCAGGGAGCAGACACTCTGACCAGTAATTATGACACACATTGACCAACGAGGGACAGACGCTCAACACAGGAGCTGCTGAGCAGCAGTGAATTGGCAGCTGCAGTTCTTGAGTGGAACCAGACAGGAGGGAGCCCGATTCTGGGATGTGTCACCGGAGAACACCTTCTCGCAATCCGAGACCCTCGGGGGATGTCAGAGAGCCAGGACAAGGGACTCCACCATGCACTGGGCCTCTAGTTCTAAATAATTTACCTCGATAGTCTCATCAAACTAAACACAACCGTAAGAGGTAGGATGAGGAAAGAAGACATAGAAAAGTCTAGTAGCTTCCCTCTGGTCACAGAACCAGCTGTGCAAAGAGAGAGATGGCAGCAGCAGTAAGGGAGGTGATTCGGTCACAGTGAGAAGCCATGGTGAGTCCTCTTGAACAAAGAAGGGTTTGCCAGGGGCTTGAAGCCCTCACTGAGTTAGTGCTCTTCATCTTCTTTACTGGGGAGCTGAGCCAGGGTTTTGAGGAGGACCCTGACAGGAAGAAAATGATGTTTTAGGAAGAGTCAGCTGGAAGTTGTATGGACAGCAGACTTTAATAGAAGAAGGTTGATGGCTGAGTGACAGCAATGTGTGATTTGAACTTGACAAAGGTAGTAGCAGTGTGAACAAGGGATGGACACAGGGAACTTTCCATTGTTGAAGCAACAGGAAGAGTAATTAAACTGGCTATGTGGGGGGAAAGAAAAAGAGTGGGAATTACCTATTCCCTCTCTTTTCAGAGCCAATGATCTTGCTTCTTACCCCACTTGAAAAAACATGAAACAATCTAAAGGGATTTCCCACAAGCCCCCATCAGTATATCCACCCATGCCTATCTACATCTCAACAGCATCCCTCCAGCAGTTCTCCTTTCCCCAAATCATTAATTTTCCCTCTGATGAATATTTCCCATAGTACATTTTGCTGTTTTATTTTTTCCCTGATTCAAAAAGAAAATTTAAAAATGTTATGTTTACTGCAGCATTATTTACAATAGACAAGACAGGGAAACAACTCAGATGTCCATCAACAAATGGATGGAGAAGGAAACTGTGGTGTATACATACAATGAAATAAGAAGGAAGGAAATCCTGCCATTTGTGACCACATGGATGGACCTTGAAGGTTTTATGGGAAGTGAAATAAGTCTGACAAAGAAAGGCAAATGCTGTATGACCTCACATTTGGAATCTATATAAACCAAACACATAGATAGGTAGAATAGACTGGTGATTGTCAGGGGTGGGGTGGGGATGGGCAAAATAGGTGAAGATGGTCAAAAGGTAAGATTTCCAGTTATAAGTTCTGGGGCATGGTGACTATATTTGAACTTATAAAAAGTAAATACTTTAATTAAAAAAGTAAAAAAACAAAAAAACAAAAAACCTTTCTTTTGACTCTACTAGTACTTTCCCCTCAAAGTACCATTCTATTTCTCTACACCATTTTTTACAACAAAACACATTAAAAAGTTCTGTATTCATTGTTTCCCATTCACTCTGGAACTCTCTTTAGTCAGACCTCCCCATCCCCATCACTCTACCCCAAAGCTCTTCCATGTGGATAACTGTAATGTTCAATTTTTAGACTTTACCTTACTTCTGACCCTTTATCTTACTACTCTCTTCCCACCCTCTTACACCAGGCATGCTGATAAGTGCTCTGCTTAGCTTCCAGGCCTGATCCTCATTTGTGCCCTTTCAGGTTGGACTCTCCGCTAATCTTATAGCACCCAAGAAAAAGTATGCTAGATATCAGTGGTCATGAGAAGATACTTTCTCCTGACTAATTGTGATAATGTGGTAATTTTTAGATTATCCTGCATATTATAGGTTTCACATTGAGTTGTGATCATGAAAATCTTGGCATCCAGCTTAGAGCTCTTTATAAGACTCTTGGATCTCTTGGAGCAGTATCTTGGTCCACACTTTTAGGCTTATTTATAAAGTTTTAGGCTGGTGAATATTTTCCAGTGAAACTCAGATCATTATCATGCTTATAAGCACGGTGGGCCTTGTGTGTGTCACCATGACATGTGTGCAAGCTGGCATTCTGTCCTGTCCCTGCCACATGCTCCCTCAAGTCCCCTCTGCCCTAAGCGTGCACGTCCTGCATGATCCTGACAAGGTATACTCCCACTCCTCCCACCGCCACCCTTCTGCACACCACCTTGAAGATTATAAATTTATGCTCTGTTTTTCTTGCAAGAATTTATGAACCTTGATTTTTTTCTGTTTCTCCTTAGAGAGTGAGATCAGGGAAAGGAGCCAGCAGAGGAACAAGAGGAAGCTGGAAGCACTCACATATTAATATTTTGAGACAGTCAGTTACTTTCTCTAGGCCTTTGTTTCAAACATCTGTCAAAAGTGGGATGAAAAAAAGTGGGGTAAATATTATTTACCTCTGGAGATTACCTGTGTGTGAAGTGTCAGCATGGTGCTTGCCATGGAGTAAGCACTTGATAGATGGAGGCTTACATTATAACTGTGAGTCAAGTGTTTTTAAAACATATATGAACACTTAACCAGTACCAGGCACCAGGCTAGGCACTGGGGGGATGAACAAAGCAGATCCCATCCCTATTCTTACAGAGATTACATTCCACAACAGAAATCACAAAGGCATGCCAGGAGGACAGGAAGAAGGGGAGGTGACTGCCATGGTTAAAGTAGGGGTCAGAATAAAATTATCCTCCTGCTACGTTCTCAAATATATTTGAGACCCCCCTCAGAGGGTCTTTCTAAACTCTATTGTGCCGTTTGATTTTCCTTTTTTGATTTTCCCTACTGTACCTTTTCCTTATGGTCTAATTAGGGTTCTACTTGGAGTTTTGTGGCTGCCTACATGAGATTTAAAAGAAAAAGACAATAAGGAAATATCAGCTTCAGAGGCCTTATCCTGACATCTGTCTCAAGGAAGTTCCTGTATGAAAAATCCCATGGATAATTCAAGAAGCTATTTCAAAGCCACAGCAGTTTTAAATAGGTGAGAACAAGAAGATAAGGAGGAGTGGGAGGAGAAAGAAGGGAAGAAAAATGAAGAGAATCATTGTCTCTCAGTATAACAGTATAGACATTAAAACTTAAATGCCAATCACTCCTGGCATATGGGTTCAAGAAGGAAAACTCTCAGGGAGTACATGGAATTTGTGCTGCTTTCTACACATTTGGTCACATCAGTTCAAATGTCCAGAGGCAGTAATAAAACACACCTGCCAAAGTACTGAAAATTCCAACATACCTGAAGACTGAACAACCCTATCAGAAAACTTAACTATCAATAAGGTCAAGACTCAAGAATGAGGCTTCAGACAGAATGCAAACACAGCTTCAATAAAATACATAGCCACAGAGTCCTCTCGCCTATGAAGCTAACAAGCAGGCAAGTTACTCATCCATACAAATAGTAATCTATAAAGCAGGGTATTCTCACTTCTCCAAATCCTACAGAGACCTTCCCAAATTACATATGCATTATTAAATAGTTAGAGGGAGAATGGAATGCTTTTAAATAATGAGAGCACCAAATGTTTCCAGGCACTGGAGCATTACAACATCTGTTGTAGAGAAAAAAAAAATGTATCAAACATTAGTAACAAACACTATTATGCCAAACGAAAATATATGATGTTCTAAAGAAGCAATGTGGTGTGGAAAACATCAAGAATATGCTTGGTCTTTTAAAAGAATTGCAAACAAGTCATGGTGACATATTCAGTATAAGACCCATCGTGATTCTAAACATGTTAATGATCTGAGTTGAATACAATGAAAAAAATGTCAGCATCCTAAATATTTGCCAAATAAGCCCAAAAGGGTGGGCCAAAATACTGCTCTAAGAGGTCTGAGGGTCTTAAAGAGTGATAATCTGAATGTCAAGGTTTTCAGTGTGAAACCTATAATTAATATGCAGGATAATCTAAAAATTACCATATTATCATAATTAGCCAGAAGAAAGTAATTGTCTTCCCAGGACCACTGATATCTAGCATATATTTTCTTGGGTGCTATAAGGTTAGAGGAGAGTCTAACCTAAAAGGGCACAAATGAGGATCAGTGCTCAGTGGGGTACTTAGGGGCTCCATAATCAGACCAGGGTTTGAATCACAGTACCAGTATTTACTAGTAACATTTCATTCTCTCATCTGTAATATAAACATAAAAATACCTACCCCTCAGATTGCAAAAATTAAAGCACCTGATGGTTGCCAAATATGGTACCTGCCACTATAATAGTCTTTAGATTTTTATCCATTCAAATATTCCTGCTCTAACCATTACTCAAATGACTTATACTTCCACCACTGGTTGAGACTCAACCCAAAGGATCCCTGTGGCCTGATCCCACCTGCCTTTCTGCTTGTCCCACCGCCTTGACTTTCCAAATGAGCTTTAACAACAGGCAGGCACAGTGCTTTTCTGACATAATGCTCCAGTCACCAATAAGCACCTACTGGTCACACGGGTCTAGAATTTTACTAGGTAAGTCTTTTCTATCCCTTCTATGGCAGTCATTATTTTGATAACCAGCATTTCCTCACATCTGCCAGTCCTTTTTCAGGATGTAGGGGATAATATAAATCACATTCTGAATTATGGATTACATATTTTGGGATCTCCAGAGTTTTGATAGACAAGATCAAGAAAGGGAGAACACACCCAGGAAGTATCACACTCTTTGACTAGAAGTAGTCACATATCATTGATCTACATGAATTCCCCCACAGTTCATTGAATATGAGGGGATTCTTGGATTTGTCCTGGACAATAAAACCTAAATTTTGTAGTCACCAACCTCCTTCTACTGGACCCTCTACACTACTCTGCAGGCCTTTGATCTTCCCTTCTCCTATTTCCCTCAAGGGCCTGTCCACCCGTTCACATTTGAAATCTCCTACCCTATCAGCCTTGGCTCTGCTTTCAAACCCCTGCTTCATTAAGAAAATCATCAGTACCCAGTGAGAATGCCTTCAACTTCTGTTCTTCCCACCTAACATTTCCACATGTGAATCTCTTCTCTTCTCCTACCCTTCCCCCCCCTGGGTGTTCCACCCTCCTGTCTAAGGCCAGTTCTCCTGCAAATATTTTAATTATGGAAGATCTGTTATTCAGAATGCAACAGCAAATCTTGCTTTAAAAGGGTTTCAAGATAAAACTGGTACTGACCTGAAACTGTGACCTTTTGGAGGTAATCTGAGTCGCTATCTGTTTCTGTCAGTTGACTGGGTGGAGGATTAATCTCGAGTTGCTTTCCAATAAAATTCCGACAGGTTATCTTAAAAAAGAAAAAGGAAAAAATATAACTTGGGTATTTGTAGCCCTAAATTTGGCTGGCTTAAAATATTTTTCTTATTTTTCATTTGTCAAACATAAAAAAGAGAGACAAAAGAATGCTACAAATAAAAAGTCGCAGAGACTTTTGAAGGAAAAAACAGCCACATAATTTTTCATATTTCTTTAGTACAGCACAGCTGGAAGAGCATTAGGCAAATTATGTAGAGCAATTAGAATATAATTTTCAGATAGTCTACAAATTTACAAGTCTGAATATATCTCCCATTATGTAAGTTGAGATGTAGTTAAAATATAGGCTGCTTTTCCAATGGCAGATTTTTCCACCTTACTCATAATTAACACAATTTAAACTTCCCTGGTAAAGTTTTTCAGAACTAACTTCCCCTGTAGTGTTTTAAAATTTTATTTTCTAATTGATACTTGGGTGCTAAATTTATAAAATATCTGAAAGCAAAACATTTTTAAACAGAAGGAAATTATTTTGAAAGATCCAAGATCCTCTTATCCCTGTTGCTCCATTCCCATTCCTTGAGCTAACCTATTGCTCCAAATACAGCCCATCCTTGTCCTCTAGTCTGATTAGATGCTGCTGCTTGATTGTCCCCTGTAGGTACTTCTACTATGAGATTCAAATACAGCCTAACAAAATAAAAATTCCTTCCCACAGCCTTATATATGCCTAGTTGACCTAGGCCTTTCCACTTCTCCAGCTTCATTAAACAAAACCTTATTGAGCACTTATCACGTGCCAAGCTCAAGGACTATAGAGCAGAGTACAAAGCAAACAAAAATTCCTGTTCTTATGAAACATATTTTAGTGGAAGAAAAGAGATAATAAATAAAATAGAGAAGTACATTATAGAGAATATTAAAGAGTTACAAATACTATAGAGAGAAGTAAAGCAAACAAGCACAAAAATAGCATAGTGAAGAAAGTACTCACATAGAATATGGCATTTAACAAAAAGGCAAGGTAAAAGTCAATACGGATATTGGGGAGAGGAGGATTCTAAGCAGGGGAACAGCAAAGGCAAAGACGCTGAGGTAGAACTGTCTTAAAGAACAGGGCAACCTGAGGAGGAGTAATAGCAGAGGAGTTACTGGGGGATACACGGGGATACGTTATGTAGGGCATTCAGGCCATGACAGGATGTTCACTTTAACTCTGAAGCAGATGGGAAGCTGCTTTGGGGTTTAAAATTGGGGGATGACATGGTTGACTTAGGTTTTTAAAGGTTGTTCCATCTTCTGCATTGAGAATAGTTTATGAGCTGGAGGCAGAGTTTCAGGGATGTTGGAAGCAAAACCACTAATTAGGAAGTCATTGCACTGATCAAAGCAAATATAACTAGAGCTTGGATCAGAGCAGGGGTTGTGGAAGTAGCAAGAAGTGGTAAGGTTCTGAATACATTTTGAAGGTAGGGGATTCGAAAACCAATTTGAAGTGCAATGTGAAAGCAAGAGAAGGTGTCCCCTGGGTGTCTGGACTGAGCAGCTAGAAGAGTGGTGTTGTTAGTGGTTGAAGGTCAACCTATGAACCAGGAGGTCACAGTTCGATTCCTGGTCAGGGCACATGCCCAGGTTGTGGGCTCTATCCTCAGTTGGGGGTGGGTAGAAGATAGCCAATCAATAATTCTCTCTCATCATTGATGTTTATAGCTCTTGCTCTTTTTCCTTCCTCCCTGAAATCAATTAAAATATATTTTGAAAATTTAAAAAAATGTTGATGACTTAGCAGAACAGGTTTGTTTGAGATGAGCTAAAATTTGAGAAGTATATTAAATAAGAGATAATGTTGATTGGGCAGTCTGGCATTTTAATTAGTCAATTTGGCTAGGCTAACCTATGAAGGTTAATGAAGGGAAAGGGAAGAATCCACTTTTTAGAATACATAAACCCCAACCCAGTTATTCAATCAAACTAATCTAGGTGCTACTATGAAAGAATTTGGCAGATACTAATTAAAGTTCCTAATAAATTAACTTTAATTAGGGAGATTATCCTAGGTGGGCCTGACCCAATCAGGTAAGTCCTTGACAGTGCAGGTGGTCTCCAGATTCTAAATTCCAAACAGCCTCCAGATCTAAAACTGTCCTGGCCCCTGTGGATTCTCCCTGAGTGACTTCTTATGGATAACAGCTTTTGGCCCTACCTGTAGGGTCCTTTCCTGCTCTTGATCCTGACTGACTACTCTACAGATTTTGGACTTGCTTAGTCAGTCCCCATTATAATATAAACCAAATCCTTATAATAAATCTAGAGAGATAGAAGATGATAGATAGATAGATAGATGATAGATTTAGATAGATAGATAGATAGATAGATAATAGATAGATGATTGATAGATAGATAGATAGATAGATAGATATATAGATAGATAGATAGATGATAGATAGATAGATGAATGATAGATCAATCTTACTAGTTATGCTTCCCTTACTGAACCCTGACTGGTACAGGCAATTAGATATGTCAATACAGAATTTAGGAAAAAGGTCTAGAATTGAGATACAATTTTGATAGTCATCATCATAAAGATGATACTCAGACCCAAGACTGAATTAACTCAATGTGCACAGAGAAGACAGGGGGACCAAGAACAGAGTCTTGGGACATACTTAACTTTAAGATATTGGGGAGAAGGGGAGTAAGCAACAAAGAAGACAGAAGAAGAGCCCCTATCTCTCATCTCCAACACTGCAGCCTGGGGCCTTCTTTCTATCCCATCTCAGGATTTCTGCCCTTCTTCCTTTGGCTAGAATGCTCTTTCTCACTGGATGGCTGGTGCTGTCCCATCAAAGGTTACCTGCTCCAAGAGGCCTTGCTGATCAGGCTTGCTAAAGACTCCACCTCCAACCACAGCCTATCTCTATTCTATTGACCAACTTTGTTTCTTTAGAGAACTTCCACTGATTATAAATCTTTTTTATATATCAGTTTACATGTTTATTATCTGGCCCTCTGTCCACTCCTCCAAAGTTAAGTCCCAAAAAGCAAGAATTCAGACTGGATTCTCTCTACATAGAATATACAAGAGGAAAAGATATACACAGGCCATGGGCAACCTTTGTGAAAAGAAGAAATGGCGTCCTTGCAGGGCAGCTGCAACACATAGGCACACAGACAGGTATAGGGGCAGGCACTGGATGTCAGCCCACACAGATGCCAGGGGCCTGTGGGCAAGATTCGGACTATATGAATGCCATGGCTCTGATACTAGCTCTAGACACTGTCCTGACTATTGCCAATGGATTAATCAGCGATGATAAGGACTTATTTTCATTTACCCTGTTATTGAAAATACTGACATACAACTGACTTTCAATAATGTTTTTTATTTGAATGATAAATATGCCTACATGAAACTAGTAACATTTATTTGATTCCTAAATCTTTAAAATGTGTACTAGTAAGAAATCACAACTGCATAAATAATAGAGTCAAACGCACCTTCTCTTTATATTTGGTCTCATATCTTACACAAGGTTGTTGGATAATATCTGGGCCCTCAAACTTGGATATTCTCAGAAGGAGCTGGCGCTGTGCATACACCAGGAGTGGTGTCACTTGCTCTGTGTATCTCTCACTGGACAGGGTAAAAATAAATTTAAAAGCAAACATTAGTTAAAACTTTTTTTAGGGTAGTCTGTCACTTTTAATTGCCTTTACAATCAGTACTTACTGTGAAATTATATTGAATTGAATGGCAAGTGATACTAGTGTTTCCCATTTTTCTACTTGATACAAAAGTTCCAGAGATTTTAATACAAAATCATGGATCCATTTCAAATCAACCATATTTACATTATCCAAAGGATGCTCAAAAGTAAGGCTAGAACCGCCATTATCATTTTTAATATTTCCATAGCAACTTGGAACACTGTATTCTCCTTTTTCTTCCATAATCTGCAAGAAGCACATTAAAAGTGTGATTTCAGATTTTATTACACATTTTAAGTTGAATGTGACATATAAAAGACAATATGAAAAAGACTAAATGAAAAAAAATTCAGAATATTTTTATTACGCAAATGAAACTTCATAATGCTACCTAATGTAACTTTTGTGATGTTAGAAATGTGTTGCTACATCTATGCTGTTCTATAGAGCAGCCACCCAGCCCATGTGGGTACAATTTGAGCTATTGAAGTGTGACTAGTACAATGAGAATTTCAATTTTATCTCATTTTCATTCATTTAACCTTAAACTTAAATAGCCCTGGCCGGTGTGGCTCAGTTGGTTGGAGTGTCATGTCATACACTGAAAGGTCACAGGGTCTGATTCCTGGTCAAAGCACAAACCCAGGTTTAGGATTCAACCCCCAGGTGGGGAAAGTGTAGGAGGCAACTGATGAGTGTTTCATTCTCACATCGATCTTCCTCTCTCTCCCTCTTCCTTCCCCTCTCTCTAAAGGAAATAATAATAATGTTAAATAGCCATATATGGCTAGTCATTACTATATTAGCATAGACGAATGTCTATACTTTTTGTGCATAGTCACTATCTAAATTAGGATATTGAAGCTAATTTTTTGAGGAAAAACAGGTTTTATTATATACAAATGATTAAGTTTCTCTAATACACTGGTTAATTTCATTAGTGTTTAGAATAATATATCCAATTCCCTGATGCAAAGGTCAAATCTATTGAGAAGAAAGTGTTCTTGAAGATTCTCTTTTAGCTGAAGTTAAAGCATTACTGTGTGAATATTGTGTTCCAAGCTTTGGGTGTCCAGAGTATATGTTGAATCTCTGTTATAAAGGTACATACACATTTATGACTAGTATTTTTTTTTCCTGGTTAATGGAGCCTCTTCCCACAATGATATTTCCCTTTTTATCTCTCAAGTGTTTCTTGAGTTGAAGACTATTTTATCTAATATTAATATAGCCTCATCAGCTTTTTTATACCTCTTTCTACTGTTAAATATATTTTTAACAGATATATCTCTTCCTACTGTTTTATTTTTAATCCATCTTTTTCTTTATATTTAGATTCTTATCTTGAGGACAAGTCTAGGTGTCTTTCTTTTTAATTCAATCAGATAATCTCTGCCTTTTAATTGGGATGTTCAATCCATGTATATTTAATACTAAAGGTCTGGTGCAGGAAATTTGTGCATGGGTAGGGTACCGAGGCCTGGCTGCTGATCAGGGCTGATCAGGGCCTTCTGGCTGCCAGTGGGGGCCTTCTTTTGTTCCATGCTGCTCCCTGGTGGTCAGCATGTCATAGCAAGTGATAGAAATCTTGATCTCCCAAACTCCTGCAGGGACACTTTGCATATTAGCCATTTATGTATATGTAGATGGTCACTGACATAATTTGGTTAGATTTCTTATTTTTGTTTGTTTTCTGTTTGTCCCATATGTTCCTTTTCCATTTTACAACTTTGGTTTTTAGCCATATTTCTTTCTTAGTGGTTACTCGAGAGGTTATTAAATGCATCCTTAACTTATTACATTCCACTTAGAGTTAATATTGTACCTCTTTATAACTATGTAAAGTGTAAAAACTTAGGACAGTTTAATTTTATTTACCCTCCTACTCTTTTATGCTACTGTTGCCATATAGTTAACATCTGGAAATTACTCCATGACTCAATGTGATTATGTGTTAACTAAGTTTCATTGTGTTTAGGATATGGCATGTTTGAATTTTACCAATTTTATTTTCTTGCTTTAAAGCATAATGTGTAAAGTTTTAAATGTAAGTTCTACCAGATATAAAATATGTGATCAGTGCTGCGGCCCCACCAGCAGGTGAGGGGATCCCAAGGCAGGTGTTGGGCGTGGAGGCCATGGGGGCATAGGCTTCCAAGGAGACAGAACTGAATTCACATCATCCTGCTTGGCTCCGGAGGATGGCTGGTTATCCAGAGACAGGTAAGATTCCTCAGGGAAGAAACAACCTAAGACAGGCACAGTCACACAGGGGCCATCAGGAGAGAACTTGGAGGTCTACGGAGATAGGGCACAGACCCTCACCCTCCTAACTTTTCAGGGGCCTGAACCCTCACCCCTTTTGAGGGAGGTCTCCTACCCCCATGGCTGCTTCACTTCCATGCCCAGCTCAAATCAGGCCCAGGTAACAGACAGAGACTTGGCCAATAGCAGCTGCCCTCCCACTGGAACAAGACTTGTTAGAGTTGTCTTGTACCCATGGTGTGGGGAAGTGGGTTTTGCTATCTAAATCCAGCCTAGCACCAGGAATGTTCAGGGCCTACTCAAGAAGGCAAATAATCCTGTCCACTAATATTTACAGGGTAAAATAAGATTGTTGTTAGAGTATTAAATCTGACAGTAAAATAGTAGGGTACTATTTTCAGACTAATTTAAGTTGGCTAATTAAAATAATCAAATATTCTAGAGAAATTAATTGTACTGGACAAAAAGTTGCTCCTAAAGTGTTAACTAAAATTTTTATTGGTAGTTCATGTCATGGTAAAATTGCATAACATGTAATGAACCTAAAGCAGTCATATTTTAGTGCAAAAAATAAAATTTAAAAGCTATAAGACTACATTATAAAATTTTTAAAAGCCTCCTAATATTTAAATTTTAAAAATGGGGAAGTAGAAGAATATCATGTAAGGAAAAATATTCTGCAAGTAAATTACATCTAGAAAATTTTTACTTTAGAAAATTAACTTTCATTTATAATGCTAACAGCAAGACACTCATGTAAAACATACATGGTCTCAAAACAATCCAGAGGAAAATCGTTTAGGCAAAAAATGAAAAAGGATCACAAGTCAAATTTATAGAAAAGATTCCTTTATTAACTTTTGGTTGAGAATATATTTGTATAATTTCAGAAAACAACTCCAAGACCATGTGGATTCCTGCAACAAAAAGGAATTGACAGGACTGCTCCAGCCATGAAGATAGAAGAGAAACAGACCAGAGATGGAAGACTATCCTAGCAGTCAGCAGCTGTGTGACACTGCAGATTGCCCAGAACCAAACCAGAGAGGGTCAGACCTGCATTACCACCATTGTCCACCATCCAGAACTGAAATATCATGGTTGACATGTACACATAAGTAACTATTTGACATTGAAATTGGGACCCAAAAGAACTGTTAGCCCAGAAAGTAACTCACTACAGACTGATTCATTTGCCTCTCAGCATAACCATTATTGTTTGTTTCATTTTCAGCTCTTATAAGTGTACTTCTAGTATCACATGATCTCACTCATCAAGGGGAAATAATGAACAACATAAACTGATGAACAAAAACAGACCCAGAGACAGGGAAGCATTGATCAGACTGTCAAACCTCAGAGGAAAGATAAGGGAGGGTGGGGATAAGAGGGAGAAACCAACCAAAGACTTGTATGCAGGCAAATAAGCCTAACCAGTTGTCATGGACAACAGGGGGTGGGTTTATGCATGGGGAGGGGTTTGGGATGGGAATAGAGGGATGAGGACAAATATATGATACCTTAAGTAATTAAAAACATTTTAATAGGCTAAATTCAATTGAAATAAAATAAAAGGTTAAAAAAAACTTTATGATCTCTTTTGGGATCTGTTTCTTTATCAAAAGATTGCTATGAGGATTAAATGCACTAAGGTTAGTTAATGTAGAAGCTGGGTCTTAATAGATGTTACTTTCTGTTCCCTTTAAAAAACTAAATTTTCAGGGTAAGATATTTGTAATTAATAGCTATGCAAGATATATAGTGAACCAAATAATAATAGAAGCAAATGAAATATAGACAAACCAACTAAGAACTAAAGAAAAATATTAATTTCTACTTAGCTCAAGCCGTATGGTACAAAAATATTTGTTAATTGAATACAATAAAAATAATTACCCAAACACTCTTACCTCAATAGAATTGGAATTTTGTAGTTCTATTAACATGTCAATAAGTAGGTCTGCTCCAAAATAGAATGGTAATACAGAGATGCAAAGGAAACCATCTTGACTAACAGGAAATATTTTGCACAGGTCCACTGCTTGTTTAAGAAGGATCTGTAGCTCCCGAGCAAAGTTCCAAAGAGCCCGACAGCAGTTCTGAAGCAGAGTCCAATAGCCGCCACGGTGAGCAAAAACCTAAGGCCATAAAAAACAAACAAATAGACAAACAAAAATACCTAAGACCAACACAACATTCAGAAGACCCTAAAGTTCCAAATGTTACACATCTCTGAACAACTTTATCTTTCTGCAATATTAATGTCAATAGTAAAAATAACACCATTTGTTATCTGCCCCTTATATGTGCTGGAAACTGTGGTAAGGCCTTTGTATGCAGCATCTTAGCTCCTTGTTATAATACAATAGTTCCTATGAAGTAAGTATGTACTAGCATGCTATTCAATTTACAGATAAGGAAATGGGATTATGGAGCTAAGATCATGAATCTACTAAGTGGTGAGCTGAAGTCTGCACTTCGGTGGTCTGATTGCAACACTCCCATTGTTCTAGGGGTTGGTAACGTGGCAGTGAGCAAGAAAACCACATCTGCCTCAATTTATTAGGGGAGACCAAGACTAGAAAAGTAGACAAATAAAAATGTAATTTCATGAATAATAAGTTATAAAGAAATGGACTAGGACTTCACAAGGGGGAGAGAACACATCCTTTTAGATAGGGTGATCAGGAGAGAAGTCCTCTCTAAGGAGGCGAGTTCCTGAATGTTGAGTTGAACAAGTCATGTGAAGGTGATGATAGGGATGTTGGGTAGGGGATAACATTTGAGGCTAAGGCGACAGCAAGTTAAAAGCATGGAGGATGAACCAGAGGACTGAGAAACAAACAAGTTCTCTGGTTTCAAGACTACAGAGGGGAGACTGGATTCAACAAAAGCAAGAGGAGCTGAGTTCTGAGAGGTGAGCAGGACCCACAACTTCTAGGTTCCGAAGCTGGTGGAAAGGAAAGCAGGATGCAGTGTCATGGTCAAGATGATGTGGGTTACTTGACATTTTTAAAAAGCCATTCTCTCTTCTCCACAGAGAATATGAGAATGTAAGTGTGTTTCTTTCTTGTATAGAAAGGGTACCTTTCCTCTCACCTCTTAAGAGGATGAAAGAATCTTCCTCCTTACTAAGAGAAAAAGGAAATTAATTTATTTATAGCAAATGATTCTAATTTGAGTCTCATACCCTATAATATTTAAGAAGAAAAAGAGAACATTTGAAAAGAAACACAAGTGGCCTGTAGAACCAGAGGTCTGGGGCAGAGGCACAGATCTTTCCTGTGGTCTAGAAAGGTCTTCCCCTGCTAGAGGAAAGAAAGAGGTCTATGGTGCCCCAGGAAGGATCAAATTTCCAGAGAGAAACCCGTGTCATCAGAGAAACCCATGTCCTAAGTGTGGCAAGAAAGCAGCAGAGGGGTGTGTGAATATCCATGAAGACTGTGTAAACAGGAACTAAGGCCACCTCTTCTCTAGGCAGATGGATAACTAGTGGTGAAAGGAGCTCACCCCTCTCCCTGACAACTTGACAATGTGTAAGACCTCATTACCATGGCAGGCAAACCTCAAAAATGACTGAAAGAAAACCCAACAAATTTAGTCTTAAAACTGAAACCAAAATTACACATAGTAAGCAAATAAATACATCTTACACACCCAAATTTATGGGTTCAGATTTATGTCTACCACGTTAGCAAAAATGAAGGACCTTACCATTGCTCTCCTACAATGTAAAAATATTTTCATAAAATGGTCCAATAAAATCAAAGTTGATGATCGATCCCTTTCTTTAGCAGTAAGAGCTCCTTGAAAGTCAGGGTCAGAAGCTGTTTGTGTCTTAGAAACATTTTCATCACTCTTTTGGGAATCAATAAATGTTGTAAACTCTATAGCATCTACAGTACAAAAATAAAGGATGTTTATATAGAAACATCTAACTTAAATAGAGAGTTAAGTTCCAGAAAACACAGTAGGTGATAAGCATGAAATGAGTAAGTCAGATAAGAACTGCTATATAATTTTGGAGAAAGGACAGGATTATCATGAACACAATGAATCAGGGAAGGTTTCTAGAGAAGGAAGCACTTAGAGTAGGTCTTAAAAGGTGGGCATGATTCAGCCATAAGGGAAAATTATGAAGAAGAATATTCCAGGCAGGGGCTATGGCCAAGGTATGTCTTGTGTTTTGTTTTGTTTTTCGGGAACAATGACAGGATCGCGCTGTTTTGTAATTTACCCCAAAACAGGCCATTCTCAGGACACTCACACTAAAAGATAAGTAGTATTCCCCAGGATTAGATAGTACAGCAACCTAGGCCACTCATTCTCCTGTTGGTATGGTATAAAAACACAAAGGATTTCTCCTGCTGCAAACCTTTTCTTACCAGTAGAACTCTGCATCCTATATGATAAAGAGGTAATATGCAAATTGACCCTCATACCCTCGCACAAGATGGCCACCCCCATGTGGTCAAAGATAGCCACCAAAAGATGGCCAGCAGGGAGAGGGTAATTGTGGGTAATCAGGACAACAGGAAAGAGCAGTTGGGAGCAACCAGGCCTGCAGGGGAGGGCAGTTAGGGGGAACTGGACTGGCAGGGGAGGGCAGTTAGAGGTGACCAGACCAGCAGGGGAGAGCAATTAGGGACAACAGAGCTGGCAGGAGAGTTGTGGGCAATCAGGCCAGCAGGGGAGCAATTAGGTGAGATCAGGCTGACAGGGGAGTGATTAGGGGATGATCAGGCTAGGAGCCAGCAGTCCTAGATTGTGAGAGGGATGTCTAACTGCCGATTTAGGCCCAATCCAAATTGGGCCTAAACTGGCAGTTGGACATCCCCCAAAGGGTCCCAGATTGTAGAGGGTGCAGGCTGGGCTGAGGGTCATCTCCACCCCACCCCCCAGTGCATGAATTTCATGCACTGGACCTCTAGCTAAATAAGTCTCAATAGCAAAGTATTCTATTGCTAACTATTGCTGACTTCATGTAGATCTTAGATAGGGAGCTAGTTTTAACAAAAATCAAGAAACTATGTATAACAATCTACACATAAAACTCAAGATTCTTTCTCGGCTAGAAAATTTACTTGCAAATACTTCAATATTCATAGTATGACATACAGGTACTCGTTAAACTTAATCTACACTCTAGGAGAAACTAGAAAGCATGTCAAGTACCTCAAATATGAATCAACTCTCCTGAGGCACTGAGCCAGCATACAAAGTACCTTTTCAGCAATAAGTTACATAGCACTTAAAATACCATTATTAGAAATCTAGGTATGGGACATTTAAAAGCATAAAAAAAACATAATTTTTTATTTGTGAAGTGAGAGGTATTCAAGGTAGGTGGATTGTTTAGAAATAATGTCATTAGTGCCAATGGAGAGCCCTGTTCACCTGCATCTCTCTACCTCTCAGAGCGGCCCCTGTCACCTGGCCTGATGACTATATTAGTTGGTTCTGCCATCAGAATAGTATTGCAATCATCTTGGAGTAAGCTCTCACTGAAGTTGCTAGTTGGAGATCATAAGTCAAGAATAGACTTCCCTGACTTAAAATCGGTTGTATAAAATAGCTATATAATTGCTTCATGTCTGCTTGCATCAGTATGTTTGGTGGAATTTATTCTAAAATTTACTTCCACTAAAACATAACCTCTTGACCACTGGGGGCTACCATCACTTCTAAAAGAACATTATATTTGCTCAACAACCAAACTGTTTTAGGTCAGAACACAATATAGGTATTTCCAAATATATATATATATGATACCAATATAGGTATTTCCAAATATATATATATATTATATATATTTGGAAATTTAGTATATATACTAAATTGAAATTTTTAAAAATAAGAGTCTCCTTCAAAATGTTACAACTCACCTAAATTCCTGGGTCATTGGGAAATGGTGCATATAATTTTGTGTGTCTGCCCGGTGTGTATGTATGTGTGTGTGTGTGTGTGTGTGTGATTAGTGAATAAAAATCTAAAGGTAATTTGATAATATGTTTTTTTAATATATTTTATTGATTTTTTTTTTTTACAGAGAGGAAGAAAGAGGGGTAGAGAATTAGAAACATCAACGAGAGAAACATTGATCAGCTGCCTCCTACAGACCTCCTATTGGGGATGTGCCCGCAACCAAGGTACATGTCCTTGACTGGAATTGTACCTGGGATCTTTCAGTCCACAGGCCAAAGCTCTATCCACTGAGTCAAACCTGTTAGGGCGATAATATGTTTACTTATTTTACCTGATGGTAAATTCATCCTCCTTTTTTTAGCTGTATGAAGGAAGTCAAGCATCACTTTATAGTTTTCTAGAGTCAATTTTCCTGTTGGTAATACTGTTCCTGAATTATATAATGAGAATATACTAGGATCACATGACCGGAAACTGCAAGAGGGGAAAAAATCTTATTAAAAAACATTGTAAGTAAAATTGAATTAAATATGTCAAGTACAACCTACTTTAATGTTTTAAATATTTCTCTGTATGTTGCTGCCAGAGAAATTTCTTATAGCCCTGCTCAAAAACTCTTAATAATCTCCCACTGTATATAAATTAAAGTACAGACTTAATAGACAGTTACGACTCTCCATGACCTGGAACTAATCTACTTTGCAAATTATCATATAACACTCCTCTATCATATACCTTAGATTTTGGGTTGACCACTTGGGGTTCTTATCTTATGTTTTTCCTACCTGGGCACTAACTCATGTTTCCCACCCACCAGGAAAGCCTATTTCTATATCTGTACATTTCTAAATCTTGCCGAGCTATCAAGAGACAGGCCAAGTGGCCCTTCCACATTTGATCTTTCCTGTAGTCTCAGCCAGAGTAAAGTGACCCTCCTGGGAACAAAGAAGACTTTATGAGTATTTTGTCTGCTAGCATTATCTAGAATTATCCATGAACATTTGTGATCTATCCTCCCAGATTCTAACTTATATATCCTATTCATGCTTACATGCCCACTGCACCTATCTCAGGATCTTGTGTCTAATAGATGCTCAAAAAATCTTTTCAACAGCTGCATCACCTTTTTAACAGCTGCATAGTATTCCGTTTATGTATTTATCTTCTATTTTTATCTCCTATAACACTTCAGCCAAAGACATTTATTAAGAGCTCAAAAGTGTCTTTTGAATTAATAAGAGAAACTCTATATGAGAATATATTATCTGTGTTTATAGAAGCTTACAATATATTTGTGGAGGCTTAAAATATCTCTAAATGAAATAGAGATTTGCCTAATGCCCACTAATATCTACAGTTATTATGCAATTAATATTAAATTCACTAGGAATTATATTTTCTCCTTTTACTGAAAGCTTTATTGAATAAACATAGTCAAGATATATGCAAATTAGTACTTCCTAAGCACTTATATCTAACTCCTGTTTGGGAAAGATTCTAAGATAAGAAATATATCAATGAACAAAAATTAAATATATCAATTGCCAAGTAAGACAGAATAATAATTTTAAAAAGATAGAAACACACTGTAAACCTCCTTAAGTTATTATCAACATTGAAGCCCTGGACACACAAATACAATCCATGTTCTTGAAACTTCAAAAGTATTACTTATTGATAATATACTATACCTGACCATTGTATGTGAAACACCAAATTTCATCTTCATACGTTCCCCTAGCTTTATTAAAAGCAGGTTGAAGTGTGCATTTGCCAGATACAAGTTCATCTGAGCCTTCCAGGGTATCTCTTCAAGACATATTTGACGGAACCTCTTCCTTCTAATATAATTAAATATTAGAGGATTCAAGTTTTCTACCAGGATTCGATGTGCTATTTTTCTAATATCCACTCTCTTATTTCTGCCAAGGGACAAAGAAGTTTTGAAATTATACAAACTTTCAGATATTTGAAGAGAAAAGATTCCAATTTGTACATAATCAAGAAGTCACTTGGCTGCCCTTATGCAAATATAATGTATTTATCTTTAGTATTGCAATCATCTTGGAGTAAGCTGATTTACTTAGAACTAAAAATGTAAAATAGGACAATAAAGAAGCACAAGAATGAGCACAAGGGACAGAGTCACTACATATTGTCTTCAACTCTCTCTGATGTCTATGTCCTAACCTCAAACCAAACAGAGCTTTTCTTTTCTATAACTAAAAGGCCACTGAGATTAGACAAATAAATTATAACATAATTATTTGCATTCATCAACTAACTTTAATATTAAACAAGAAATTCGTTTCTCTGTGTGGTTCCTTGAAAAAAAAAAAAAGCAAACATTTTTCTAACTTTAGCTAGATTAGAAGGAAATAAAACATCAGTCATAATCCTATCAAATATAAGGGTAATACGCAAATTAACCATCACTCCATCACAAAGATGGCAATGCCTATAGCCACAAGGTGGCAGCGCTCAGTCCTCTCAGCCTCACCAGAGTCCCCCAGCCCTGGGGGAGGATGGGGGGGCTGCTGCTGAGAGTGGACAGCGTGAGCAGCCTTCATCACCACGGTGACAGAGCGACTCTGGGCAGCGGCAAGGAGCAGCTGGGGTGGGATGCTTGCTTCATCACCATGGCAATGTCCAGGCCACAGAGGGCTTTTAGGGGACAGGGGGGCTGGCACGCAGCCTCTGTGGCCGAACCCACCCCGGAGAGAATGCAGTGGGCCCACCTCACACAGAAGCGGCGCACTACGGTTCCCACAGGCTGCCACAGAAATGGCGGGCAGCCTACTGTGCACAATATTGCGCAATGGGCTACCAGTGATAAATAAAGTAAGTTCATAAAACCATATTCAATATGCTCTGGAACAAAACTAATATTTCAAAATTTTTCTAGTCAGTACATATTTTAAGTATAAAATACATTTGTTTAATATTATTCCCATCAAAATATCAAAGAGCTTTTAGCTCTCTAGTTAAGCGGTATTCCTCTAAAACCCCAAATAATGGGTTTCAAGTAAATGTTTACTGAATAAATTAAATAATAAATGAATACCTTTCTTGTGCTGACAATTCAGCAACCCATGGATTTCTGGATAAAAAGTCTCTTAGAGTTCCCCTAATTTTCTTTTTTCTTTTTGGTATTTCTGTAGTCTTAATACAGGAAAAAACAAAAATGTTACAAACAAAAATTAAGTTCTGAATACAATATTATAATTAACTCATACTCTAATGTCTATCTATTGAGATTAAAATACAGTGATTTCTTTATTATTATCTCACTTAAAATCTCACTAAAAATTATTATCAAAAGTAACAAAAATATCCCTGTAGACAAGAAAAAATATGAGTATAAAAATATCCAAATGAGCCCTGGTCGGTATGGCTCAGCTGGTTGGAATGTCGTCTATATACCAGAAGGTAGCAGATTCAATTTCTGGTCTGGGCACATACCCAGGGTGCAGGTTCAATCTTCAGTGGGGGCACATGGAAGAGGCAACCAATTGATGTTTCTCTCTCACATCAATGTTCTCTGTCTCTCCCTCAAATAAATTTAAAAAATTAAAAAATGTATTCATTTGAAAACTTAAGAATTATATAGTTATAAAATTATGCTTGTATTTCCTTCTGTTTCATGTTATAATAAATTATAATGCTGCCAATCGTCTGTAGATACATGTATCTCTTCATTTCATTTGCTCAAAATTCAAAACTTATGAAACTTACTTTCGCAATCTCCATTATTGCAGCTTTATACTTCTTTGCAAATTTATCTATTTTCTGACCCAAAATATTGTCCTTATATTTCATTTTTTTCATTCCAACTAGGGACTCATTTCTCCTAATACAAAAAAAGGAAAAGTTTGTTAAATGAATCTGCAAGAATTTGTAAAACTACCCCAAAGTAATAAATCTTTAATGAGTGTTGTCACTAAAATTATGCAAGAAGAATTTTTAAAATTGTTTGTGTCCTATGCATAGACTGTAATATTCCTGGTTATCAAGGAATAGTTGGCCTCTCAAAAGAGCACAATGTAAATATACCATAAAATTTGATTTAGAGCTGGCATGTGATGCAGAAAAAATAGAATTGCACCAAAAATAAGACATGTACACTTCATTATAAAACTGAGCAGATAACTACATAAAAGTGACCCTAGACAAGCTACCCTGCTTCCAACAGATTAGTCTTTTTGGTTCCATCACCTTCTGGATACCAATAAGAGCTAAGCATTTTAGATTACTATGTTACTAAACTCTCTCCCTTCCCCCAATCACCTATAGGGAATCTTAATGTTGTTTTTTTTGTTGTTTTTTTGTTTGTTTTGTTTGTTAGTTTGTTTGTTTTTTGGGTTTTTTGTTGTGTGTGTGTGTGTGTGTGTGTGTGTGTGTGTGTGTGTGTGTGTTTAAATCTGTCATGGACCCTTATGGCCCACTCTCCAAACACTTTAAAGTCTCTCAATATCCCACCCTCTAATGATAACTAGCACCTATTTTTCCTGAAATTTGTATGTTTCCTAAAATTTATATTTCTTTTGGTAAGTACAACTAAACCCTGCTGTAACATGATAAACAGGATCCAAAGCTTGAATTGAATAAAATGTAGGGTCATATCAATGCAAGGCTAATGAAATGACCAGGTGAGCCTAGATAGCTAGTTCTAGGTGTTACAGTTCTAAATTCATCATGCTCCCCCTGATAGTTTGGCCTCTTGTTTCAATTTTGATGATGATGAGCCTGGATCTGTGGTTAGTTGGAGCTCCAGCCCAGCTGCAGCAATTAAGAGTCTACCAGTTAGTGTGGTATTCATTTTAGCAAATGTTTTGTTTGTCTCAACGAGGAAGACTGGACCAGTGATGGATGGAATTGAAGATCCATCCTGTGTAACAGACATCTTGAGACTGGTTGTCATTTTCATGAGACTAATCAACTTTGCCTCTTCCTTACCTCCTCCCTATCCCACTCCACTAGAATGCTTGAACTGGTCATTGTATTCTACGAAAAAATGGAAAGGAGGAAAACAAGGTCTTGAATGTACACCTGAGCTACTGTCTTCCCAATCCTCTCAGCATTCTCCTCCATGCTCAATTAGAACTCTCATCCACTAAATGAATTAAATGGTTCATAGAATGCTTCCTCTTAATTTTGACAGCTTTTTATTTATGTTGTATTATAAAAAAAGCATTTATTCATTTTTATGTAGTCAGAATTACTGATCTTTGATTTCATAGTTTATTCCTTATTTGATTACTTATATTAGTTCATGTTTCTGACTCAAAACATTGAGTCACAATGGCTGTCTACTATTATTTAAAAAAAAAAAAAAGTTATCCTTTAGCTAATAGTATAAATTTCTCCTCTTACTCTTTTTAATTTTTCATATATTTTTATTATTCTAGCTTATTCCATATAAACTAATCAGATTAGAATTACATTAAATCTATAAATTAAATTGAAGAAAACAAATCTTTACAATATTCCATTTGCCCAATAAGCAATATATTATGTCTTTCCATTTATTCAAGTCATTCCTTTTAGTATCTCTTAGTAAGGATATTTGGTCTTCTTTATATTAACCCAAGCCCTCTCCTCACAATTCCTACTAAATTTAATCTTGTACTTCACAAAAATGGATAATTTCTCTATTGTACATTTTAATTGATATAGGAAAGCTATTGATTTTGCAGGTTTACATCTAACCATCCTGTAGAATGCTATTATTAGTTCAGATAGTTTTCAATTAATTAGTTTGTTAAATTAAAAAATAATTATTTGTGCTCTTGCCTGGAGGCTCAGTTGGTTGGAGTGTCATCTTATACACAAAAATATTGCAGGTTCGATCCTTGGTCAGGGCACTTATGGGAGGTAACTGATCGATATTTAGATCAATATTTATGTCTCACACCAATGTTTTTCTCTCTCTCTCCCTTCCTCCCTAAAATAAAATTTAAAAAATACATCCTTGGGTGAGAATTTTAAGTATTATAATTATTAGCAAATATCAATCATTTTCTTTTCATTTTCAATGTACTTTATTGTAGGATTCATTTGACACGCATTTTGAGACCCTTTTATGTGATAATTACATAAATTATAATCGTAATTTCTATTTTAATGCATTGGAAAGAACTTGCAAAACAATGTTAAGTAATTTAAGGAATAATAGGTTTCTTTGTTGTAGAGCTTATTTTAACAGAAAATATTCTTCTAATCCTAATTTGCCAGGAGTAATTGCTAAATTTCACATGACTTTGAGCATCTACTAAAGACTCCTTGACTACCAGTGGTAACTATATATTTTTTCTTTATTGATCAAGCTATTACACATGAGTCCTTATCTTCCCATTGACCCCCACCACCCCCACTCATGCCCTCAGCCCACTGGTGTCCACTGGGGCTTATATGCATGCATACAAGTCCTTTGGTACTATATTTACAGATTTACTACTCCTATATTTGTATTGAGAATACAATTTATATTTCATTGCTAAATTAATAGGCTAATATATTATTTTGGATTTTTGCTCCTATATACTGCTAAGTAGAAACCACCCATAATTTTCTATTTTCATTGTCTTTTCATAAAACTGTATCAGAGTCTGTTGTGATAAATTCATTAAGAGACTTTCTACCCATATTTTGAAGCAGCTTTATGTAAAATAAAAATTATTTGTTTCTTTAAAATCTGAAAGACTGCCCATCCATGGCGGTTTAGTGGTTGAGCATTGATTGACCTATGAATCAGGAGGTCATGGTTCCAGCATCTGCCTGAGTTGCAGGCTTAATCCCCGATTGTGGAGGACGTAGCAATCGAGGATTCTCTCTCATCTCTCCCTTACTCTCTGAAAGCAATAAAAATATATTTTAAAAAATAAATAAATGAAATCTGAAAGAACTATCCTAAAATTTTTTGAGTTATCCAATTTTTTACAGCTTCAATCAATTTTAAATTAAATTTTCCCAGATAATTACCACTTTCAACTAGGTTTTCAAATTTATTCATATAAAAATAGAATTACTGTTAGCTAATATTTCTTTAACCACTTCAAATTTATTATTATTTTCTCTTGGATTACTTATATTTTGCTTTTTCTTATTATACCAGCCAAAAATTTACATAATTTAGTTATAACTTCAGAGAACCAGCTCTAGCAGTTCTCAATTAAATTAGTTTAAAACCAACTTATAATTGATTAGTTTCAACTTTAATTTTCTTCTTTCTGCTTTCTTAGATTTATTTTATTTTTCTAATTTTGTGAGTTCAGTAAAAGTTCGTTCAATTTTATTTTTCCTGTTTAGTAATAAAAGCTTCTAAAGCTAAAAATGTGTTTCTAACTGCTGCTTTGAGTACAATTGATATTAAGGTTTCTTATTATCATTGTTTTTAAAAGGCTCTATACCTTTAGGTAGATTTCTATTTTTCATCCAATAATTTTATATGCCAATAATTTATTTTTTATGACATTTCAATTTTATTGTACTGTAAGAGAATGTGGTCTTTACAAATTTTAGTCCGAATGATCTGAGCTTTGTTTTTCAATTGACTTTTTTTTTAATTTAATGAATGCTTTAAATTGACTATATATATTAAGTTGTTCTTAATTAGATTAGGTATATTTTCTATGACTTTTTTATTTCTTTTTTAAAGTAGTATGTTATATTCTATATTATCATGTTTCTGTCTTTTCAGCAGTTATTTCCATAAACTTTGACTTTTTGTTATGTAGAACATAAAAGTTTATGAAATATATTCATTGTGACTTATAAGCATTATTGGTAGAATCATCCACTTTGAGTGTGAAAAAGATGGCATTAAAACTAATTAACAGCCGAACCAGTTTGTCTCAATGGATAGAGTGTCGGCTTGAGGACTGAAGGGTCCTGGGTTCAATTCCAGTCAAGGGCACATACCTTGGTTGCAGGCATATCCCCAGTAGGGGGTGTGCAAGAGGCAGCTGTCGATGACTCTCTCTCATCAATGTTTCTAACTCTGTATCTCTCTTCCTTCCTCTCTGTACAAAATCAATAAAATATATTTTTTTAAAAAAATAATTAACGAAAAACCATTCAAATTGGAAAGAAGGAAGTAAAACTGTTATTCGCTGATGACATGATATTATACATAGAAAAGCCTAAAGACCCCAGCAATAAAACTACTAGATTTAATAAACGAATTTGGCAATGTAGCAGGATATAATATTAACACCCAGAAATTGATGGCATTTTTATATACCAAAAGTGAACTCTCAGAAAGAGAAACTAAAAATACAATCTCATTTACCATTGCATCAACAATAAAAATAAGATACTTAGGAATAAACTTAACCAAGGAAGTAAAAGACCTGTACTCAGAAAGCTACAGGATATTGAAAAAAGAGACAGAGGAAGATATAAACAAGCAGAAGAATATACTGTGTTAATGGATTGGTAGAATCAACATCATTAAAATGCCTATACTATCCAAAACAATCTATAGATTCAATTAAAATACTAATGCATATCTCACATATCTAGAATAAAGACTCCAAAAACTTATATGGAACCAAAAAAGAACTCAAATAGCCAGAGCAATCTTAAGAACAAAATTAGAGGAATCATAATACCAGATATCAAGCTATACTATAAAGCCACTATATTCAAAACAGCCTGTTACTAGCACAAGAACAGGCATATAGATCACTGAAACAGAACAGAGTACCCAGAAATCAACCCAAGCCATTACACTTATTAATATTTGACAAAGGAGGCAAGAACATACAATGTAGTCAAGACAGTCTCTTCAATAAATGGTGTTGGGGAAAATTGGACAGGTACATGAAAAAAAAAAAATGAAACTAGACCGCCAACTTATACCATACACAAGAATAAACTCAAAATTGATAAAAAGTTCATATAAGTTGTGAAACCATAAAAATCTTAGAAGAAATCATAGGTAGTTGACCAATTGCAGAGGGAAGTTTGGGTGCAGAGGGTAGGGGGGAGCAATGAGGACATCTGTAATACTTTCAACAATAAATTACAAATTTAAAAAAAAATTAACAAAAAATAACATTCTTTAAATATTGCCAGGATAATTGATAAAACTTAGAGGGGGTAAAAAACTAAAATTTAATCTAAATCCTCATACCAAAAAAAAAATCTATATGAATTAATACATTAAATAGAAACTATAATATCATAAAGTTGGAAGTAAATACAGCTGCATCTGTGTCTGCTGCAGTATGAGAAAGTTTCTTTGTTAAAACTGTTAAGCATGTGAACACAAAAGAAGACAGATATTACTATCAAAGCAGAAATCGATGTGTTGCATCTGCCCTTTGTCTACTCTTCCTGACTTGGAGAAGATTATCCTGAAACATCTGTTCAGCCTTAGAACTGAAATCTTTACCTTCAGTTGGAACATGCTTATACCACTCAATTTTCAACCTCAGGTCTTTTATTATACCACTGGTCAATGCTTCTAAGCCACTTTCTCTATTTTACTCTTTCAGAATATCTATTTTGCTTAGATTGGACCTCCCTGGTCAGCCCTCCAAATTTCACTGCCCACTGATAATGTCTTCTAATTTTTTTTTGGGGGGGGGGGGTATCAAGAATATTACTTACAGCTTCTAAACATCTCATTTTGGCTATGTGGTGTGTTTGCTGTTGTTTTTTTAAATGTAATGGAACTTTCTAATTCTGACCAATGTTCTTATTATCTGAGCCTGCTTCATTTAATGCAAGCAATTTCCTCTTTTATGTTTTGAAAATATGAAGCGCATATATTCCAAGCATTTGTTCCAATAATAGAAGTGCCTATTTTAGGAAGACTATTTTCCTGTGTATTTTTATGATAATGTTTCTCTTCCGCTGCCATTTTTTAAATAGATTCCATGTTACTAATGCTTCCCATTACTAAAATGAGGTAGATCTGGGCATAGGGGTGAAAGTAAAACCCAGCTGTTGGAACAAAAGTTGGGTTCATTTGGCCTCTCTCATAACTGGCATGAAACACTGTAATTTTATTTGGAGGCAAAGAGAATCATTCAGGCTCAGAGAACAAGGGGAATAGCTTTCAGTTTTACTACTTCTATTTGAGGAACTCCTCGTTCACATCTGCGAATGAAACCCCAAGGAATGGCTCCGCTTGCTAATGTAAAGGAATCAGAAGAGCATGTAAATGACCAGCACTGGACCCAGAAGCCTTTATGAGGAGCTGATAGCCCAGAGATGTTATTATCCATCTTGAATCAATAGCAAAAAGGCCTAATTTACTTCCTGCTGCAAACATAAATATACTCTAAATCTTATGCCTTAGTTGGGTTATATAAATATATTTTATGTTTACTTACTTATTTTCTTACACACAGTGACATAAATCCTATCTACAAGGTGGCTGTTTTGTCTATATCGTATACTCATTTTCATCTACCTTATATATCTTTATGTGACAATGTTACTCATTTTTTAAGTTGTTAGTAGCAATAAAACAGATACTACAAATACCTTTTCAAGAAGTCACTGACAGGATTTGTAATCTCCACCATAAGGGAATATTTTTCATCGTTTAGACATTTCAGCATAATTTGGGAAAAAAATTCCAGGAATCTAGGTCTCTGTTTAAATTTCATAACTGTCAAAACAAGGAAGTTCATACATATATAATTACCAATACACTGTTGTTAGTGATGAATGGTTACTATTACTAATACACATTTTGTTCTAACAGAAAAAATTTATTAACCTGTTTTTTAGATTTCTTATTTTTTTTAAAAAAATGTAGAGTAAATGTGGTGAGAACTACTATTTTCTAAAATCAAATAAACCTTTCAATCTATATTTCATTTATTTTTCAAACAACTCAGTGTTAAGAAAGATTTCTTAAAAGTTCCTCTCATGTATGACTAGTTGGAAAAAAATTACAGAATAACTAGTTATCCTATTTTTATTATATTGCACTCTAAGTTAAGCAATAATGTTACTGTTTCTTCACAGCTGAACTTAAGGATCAATTAACACATTTTTCAATCCTCTAGTTTTTATTAAGTTTCATCTACTACCCAAATAAGCCACCATCAAGTTTCTGTCTTCCCAAACTTTAAATCAGGCTCCTATTTCAGTCTCTTTCATCACTTGACAAGCAAGAGTCTGAATTATTTTCAACAAGTAAAGACCCAAATCTTCTGCCTGGTTAGACCAAGCATGTCAAACTCACCGCCAACAGGTTGCATGCCCCAATAAGGTATGTAGCCTGCCCGGCCGCGAGTTTGACATGCTTCAGTTAGACCTTTAAGTAGTAACAACAAAACCTATGGAATGAATGATCTTCAATAATAAGTTGAGTGAAGAGCATGTACACATTTAAGTCACCTACCTTCTTTCACAGCACCTTTGACCGACCAATTTAAAACTATAGGGTAAAGAAAGATAGGGTCCTCTGATCCTGAGAGTTCAGCTGTAACTAAGGTTAAAAATATTAATAATAAATAATACATACTGTTTAACATCAATAACGAAATAGGAAAATTCTTTGGAGGAGACGAAAAATAGGGGGGAACCCCAAGTATTCTTTCTAAATTATGTGCCTTAAAAGAATCAATTATATCATATTTTAGAGATTAAAATTTTCAATAATTTCAATTATTTTCTTTTCATTCCCCCCACCCAAGAACCAAGGAGTCTGCTACCAAATAGCTGAAGAGTTTCCAAGGCACAAGTTTCTGTTATTCAACAGCTGTCATATATCAGCAAAGCCCAGACTCAGAAACCCACCAATTATATTAACTCCATTTTTATAAAATTATCATTTAAAGACAGCAAAGCATAGAATAATGAACAGCACAGCCAATGGAGCCAGATTGCCTGGGCTCAGAATCTAACCCAGACATCTTTAAATTATGAAACCTTGGGAAGGTACTCAGCTTCTGTGTGCCTCAGTTTTCTTATCTCTAAAATGGGAATAACAACAGTAAGTTCTTCGTATAATGGTTATATAGAAATTATATGAGTTTTGATATGTATAAAACACATAGTAGTTTCTAGCACATAGGAAACAGTAAATTAGTAACATTACACTGTGCTTCCTGGTAGAATGTTAGGTTTTTTGTGTTTGTTTGTTTTGATAATATGAAAAGAAATAATTCACATTTCTAGAACACTTTACATTTTAAGGAATTACATGTTTATAGGTACCCAGACAATTACAGCTTTCAATAAACTATCTTTACTGGTTGTGTGAATAATAGAGCATTGGGTTCCATTCATAAATTCAGCTTATAAACACCCAGATATCACTGAGACACACAGTAAGAGAGGTAAGTTAGGGACACCGAAGTCTACAGGTATGGTCAGTTCCCCAAAGACTATGGGGCCAAAAGTGGAGCCTCCCACTTGAAAGAAATGTAGGTACTCTCTGGAAGATCTGAAGTACCTGCTTTTTAAAAATGTGATAATAGTTATCACCACAAACTAAATCAATTGCTTACGCAGACTTCCAAATTGCAAACTCCCAAAATTCCAATCATTGTGTTAATGTATTACTATATAGCACAATGATCTGAAATTAAACTAATCTTTCACTTGAGTAGACAGTGTTTCAAATCACACACACATTAACACCTCCCATGCTGTCCCTTTTTATTTCTCAGTTACCCTTTGCTGTTAGAGCAGTGTTTCTCAATTTTGCACTCTCCCTCCCCAACTTATTTGGCAACATTTGCCTCCCAGTTGGCTGTCACAGCTGGGGGAAAGGGACGGGGAGTCTTGTGTGCTATGTATCTAGGACAGAGGCCAGAATGCTGCTCAACCTCCACAATGCCTAGGACAGTTCCTCACCGCCATTATATGGCCCAAATTGTGTCAAGGTTGAGAAGCCCTGCTTTAGAATTAGAAGAGACAGGCTCAAATCCAAGCTAACGATGCAATCCTAACTAAATCACTTACTCTTTATGAGTCACGTCTGTAAAAAGCAGTCTGCAACCCCTTATTAACAGAATATTATTAGGATTACAAATTTAAATTTATTATATAAAAGCCCTATGTAAACTTTAAAGAGTTTACCCAAATGCTAATCTCCCCTTCATCCTTTTAACAAAATATTGTCTTATTTAAATATAATATAATATAATATAATATAATATAATATAATATAATATAATATAATATAATATAATATAATATAATATAATATATATATATATATATGCTCAACACAAGTATGCAGAAAGAAAACAAAATGGCTACATTGCTTCGTCAATTTGAGAAGGTGTGACTCCATCAAGAGCAGCTGTTCATTTATTTTTTCAGGTGATAATGTCTGCTGTGGCCTCTTGGTCCTAGAAGTCTTCGTAGAACCCTAGAAACAGTGGTTACATCTCAGGATGCACTTCAACATGTTTCAGCAATTGTCATTTTCTCATTTTCAAATAGCATTCTTAAAATTCTGTTTCTGTATTTATAAATAAAACCATGATCTCCATGGCTAAACAACATGAATTAATAAATGCCAGAGGCAAGGGGGGGAGGGGCCTCACCGGGGACTGTCCTGAGGCAAAGCCTGAGTGCTACGCAGGGGCTGGATGACAGGCTCTGTGAGAGAACACTTGGTGGGGGAAAAAAACCTTCAAATCGCCTCCAGCTTAATCAAATCCTCTCTAGATAAAGCAACCCCCTTGAAAAAAAGGATTGTGGCTAAAAATGTTATCCAGTTAAAGGTTTTTGTGGCAAACAAATGCTTCCATGGCAATTCAACATATAACAGAGAAAGAAACGGAGCTACTCTAACTGATACAGCCACAGCCGTCAGCGAGGAGCTTCAGGTAATTCCTAGCTCCTCAGAAACCTGATCAACTAAGTGACAATTCAAGTTTGATTAACCAAAGCATTTAACCATATAGTTTCCAGAAAAGGCAATAAAGCAGGCTCTAGTAAGCACCAAGCTTGAGAGACATTAAAAAGTTGTCTCAAACGTTAGCAGTCTTCTAATAAAGATAATTTAGGTATGACAGTGAGTTTGGGAAATCTACTTTGAATGCTGAGAAAAGCTCTGACATGTTCTCACTACACTCAGTAATGCACCCAGGGTAATCAGATCTTCATTTTAGGAGACTTTACAAGGGCTTTTAGTCCAATGTCCAGCTGGGTGCAGGAAGCTCGCTACCAGCCATAAATGATGATCAGTAGGAGTGATAGGGAGCTTTCCAGTATTCTAGCATGAATTAATTTTTTTTAATCACAAAAGAAGTCGAAACCGGTTTGGCTCAGGGGATAGAGCATCGGCCTTTGGACTGAAGGGTCCCGGGTTCAATTCCGGTCAAGGGCATGTACCTTGGGTTGCAGGCACATCCCCAGTAGGGGGTGTGCAGCATGCAGCTGATCAGTGTTTCTCCCTCATCGATGTTTCTAACTCTCTATCCCTCTCTCTTCCTCTCTGTAAAAAAAAAATCAATAAAATATATTTTGGGGAAAAAAGGGGGGATCAGCTCTTCACTATATATCACTTTTCTTTTATGTAAATATAACAAATTAAAAACTGTTTTGAATATGTTTACTAATAACACACGATCTCTTAAAAGACTCAACTAAATATAAGCTTAGAGATGAGGAACAAAAAACAGTTACCTCCTCTTGTGTTTCTTCTTGCTCAGCCATACCAAATAGGGATTTGCATTCTGGCGTGATGTCCAACATCCTTTTTCCATAATTTATAATAATTACTGCCAGGTCATGTTCCTTCCATGAACGCAGAATCTAATTTAAAATAGTTAATAAACCATCTCTGTTGGAAACTCTTGATGCTCAAGTGTCTTACATCATCTTTCATAAACTCGACAGTCCCATTAATGTTTTGGGTCTAAGAATTACCATTTCTGTTAAGGAAAACTGAAAGCTAACCTCCAGATCATATGGCCCTAGAATTAAAACTGCTCGATTTTATTCTTTTTGAATAGGAAAAAATAACAGGAATCTCATCAATAATGAATACCCTGTACCTCTGGGACATATAGCCATATACGTTTGGTAAGTTAACTACTCAGAAAATGTTTCCACTTAAAAGATCCACATTTTTTTAAAAAAAATCATTCTGCCAAAACCAGTTTAGCTCAGTGGATAGAGCGTCGGCCTGCAGACAGAAAGGTCCTAGGTTCCATTCCGGTCAAGGGCATGTACCAGTCGGGGATGTGCAGGAGGCAGCTGATCGATGTTTCTCTCTCATTGATGTTTCTAGCTCTCTATCCCTCTCTCTTCCTCTCTGTAAAAGATAAATTATATATATATATATATATATATATATATATATATATATATATATATATATATATATATATCATTCTTAAAATCCACATAACTATCACCTCTTGTCCTGAGTTGCTTTCCATGTGAAATGGCAAAATTACTAACAATGGTGTTGGGGGAAGGGCATTTACAACTATAAATGCATGACAAGGCACTCTGGTAGTGGGCTGAGCTAGAATGAAGCTGTTTTGGGCAGATTCTCCATGAACCCCAGGAGAAGCAGACACTAATCATAAGAGGTGAGTGGCCCACTCTTCCACTCCCATCCATATTTTCCGGTCACTGCTATTCTTTGCCTTCTCTACCTGGTCCTTATCTACCGCTCTAGTGTAATCTTTGACCACTCATCTTCTTGCACTTTTAAGTTTACAAAATATTGGCCCAAGTGTAAATTCTGACTATGGTTTCAGGACTTCATGCTTTCTTACAGCTGAGCCATTTCCCAGAACAGATTCCCCACCTATTAGAATAATGTCAGGGTTATTAACGTAATCCAGGGTTATTAAAACCTGGATTCTAGCATCAACTCCAAGAAAACTTCCCTGGCCAGCAATCTAATTTGTAGGAGCCTGCTGCAGTGAAGGGTCACATGAAGGAAACATTCACTGTGAACCCCATAAGGCAATTCTCTGTGGTTAGAAATAAGTTCATATGCATTTGTTATATGTAGATGAGGTCTGTCAAGTTGAATAAGTAAGTATTTACAATGAGGAACAAGTGTTACTTCCCATTCGGGGAAAGGATATAATAAGTAACTGAACAAGGAAGTGAATAGCTGCTTAAACCTGATAAGACTGACTTCATGCAAGGTGTAAGAACTGGAAATACTTCTGTGGGACCAGCACCATAGTGGTATAAAGTAATGCTGACTGTGGAACAAAGGATGGGAAGGAAAATGGTGAAATAGCATTTGAAAAGGTGGATGGGGTTAGTCATTCAAGGCCTTGAATGCCAGGCAAGGCAGTCCAATCTTATTATAAAATTGATGCAAGAAGGAGATAGTTTTGTTATTAGAAAACACAAATGGCGTAATGTTTGCTCTCTCCTCAACTTCGCTTTCTGACATATTTAGGTCCTCTGTTGATGGAGTATTACACAATTATCTCTCCTTGTTATAATATGCCAGTAGAAAATACTAAATGAAAAAGAACATTTCAAATCAAAAGAAAAAGAGAACCAATTCTACTTAACACATCAAATGAGCAGAAACAAAAAGACTAGGCCAGATGGTTAGCATAATAATTTTTTAACAATGGCAAAATAATGAAACATTGAAGACTATGTGTCTCAGAAGTGGCACTTCATGTTGCAATTCTGGCAACTTTGGGGAAAACTACTGCTGCTTGTAGAAGAAAGACTAAACCATCTGAAAAGAGTAGCAATTTTTTCAAAGTGGCAGAGAAAAGAAACTGGCATTTGACAAATTGGGCTTTATAAGAGAAAATCCATATAAAAATGTGTTTATATGAAATGAACACTTGAAATCTGGGACTGCTGGTCATGCTGGAGGAAGTTTCTGGAATGACAAGTCTCAGCATATCAATTTCAATTTTGGAAGACTAGTTCTAATAGCAAAATCCTATTTATAGCAAAATCTTAAATTAAAAAAATCCTGCCCTGGCCAGGCAGCTCAGTTGTTAGAGCATCGTCCTGATACGGCAAGGTTATGGGTTCCATCTCTGGTCAGGGCACATACCAGTAGCAACCAATGAATATATAAATAAGTGGAATAACAAATCTCTCTCTCTCTCTCTCTCTCTCTCTCTCTCTCTCTCTCTCTCTCTCTCTCTCTCTCTCTCTCTCTCTCCTTCTCTAGACATATCCTATCCTCAGATAAGGATTAAGAAAGATTTTGACTAATCGACTCTGATTCTTTCTCTTGCCTAGTGGAAGCAGGATTGGCTCCTTGGACTAAGTGCCCATTGAGATTCTTAGATAATCCTCTTCCCTTCTCATCCTACAGTGTCCCCTTTTATCTATTTCTATTGCTCCCACTGAGCCTATATATTAATGACTCCTTGGTCTTTATACATATTTGGCCTCTTCTGAACTCCAAGCCTATAGATACAATCATATGATCATATAATGGACACCTCTTAGAATATCCTATAGGCCCCCAAATTCAATATATTCAAAACTCATTATCTTTTCTCCATTTTTCACACAAAATTGCTCCCCATCAACACATAGCACTGTATTCACCCCTCTGCCCAGGGCAGATAACTGAATTGTTGTTGACTCTTCCCTCTCCCTGTTTTATCCCCCTGTACTCAATAGGTTTCTAGGTTCTCAATGCTCTCTCATTAATAACTTTTTAAAATATATATATTTTATCGCCGAAAATGGTTTGGCTCAGTGGATAGAGTGTTGGCTTGTGGACTGAAAGGTCCCAGGTTCGATTCTGGTCAAGGGCATGTACCTTGGTTGCGGGCACATCCCCAGTGGAGGGTGTGCAGGAGGCAGCTGATCAATGTTTCTCTCTCATTGATGTTTCTTTCCTTCCTTCTTCTCTGTAAAAAAAAAAAATCAATAAAATATATATATATATATATATATATATATATATATATATATATATATATATATTATTGATTTTTTACAAAGAAGAAGAAAGAGAGATAGAGAGTTAGAAACATCGAAGAGAGAGAATCATCTATCAGCTGCCTCCTGCACACCCCTTACTGGGGATGTGCCCGCAACCAAGGTACATGCTCTTGACCTTGACTGGAATTGAACCTGGACCTTTCAGTCTGCAGGCCAACACTCAATCAACTGAGCCAAACTGGTTAGGGCTCATTAGTAACTCTTGAATATTTTCCGTTCCCTCTTCCACTTTTCCACAGTAGCTTAATTTATCATCTCCCACCTTCTAACTCATTCCCTGCCTCAGGTCTTACCTACTACCCACACCCCATCCCTTTAATGATGAGCTGTTACACAAGAATAATTCTTTTTTCTAAAATGCGAATCTCATTATATCATTTCAGGATTTGAAAAGCTATCTACTGTTCCTCTTATTTAATCTATCTGCTTTTTGTTTTGATTTGTTTTTTTTTAATTCTGTGTCCTGTTGAGAGATATTTTCTCTTACTTCAAGGCCAAACACCCTTGAATCCCTTGGGATTTTATTTTGTGTATAGTATGAGGTAGGGTGCTGGCATTGTTTATTATCAGATGAATTGTCAATTATACCAGCACCTTTTAATAAATAAACTATTGTAATAAACTAGAGGTCCAGTGCTTGAAAATTCATGTACTGAACGGGAGGTGGCAGCCCAACCTGCCCCTTCTCACAGTCCAGGAGTCCTCAGGGGAGGGAGGTGACCTGGCGATCAGGGGAAGGTGACACTCCCATCACACCTGTGCTGCTGCCACTGCCAGCAGTGCAAGCCTTATCCAGCCCTGGTTACCTAAGCCTTGGGCGGCCCTGGGCAGCTGGACAGCCACCATCCAAGGCTTGCCTGCACTCCAGGCCAGCCCTGAGCAGCTGGGGGACTGAGGAGACTGGGGGACTCTGAAGGTAGGCATGTGGTAGGGCTGAGGGAACCATCTTGTGGCTGTGGGCACCACCACATTGAGGGCCTAGAAGTCAATTAGCATATTCCCTCCTTATTGTCTATGGGTGCCACCATCTTTGTGGTGGTGTGAGGGTCAATTAGCATATTCCATCTTTATTAGATAGGATTATTATTTTCTTAATGAATCAAAATAGCACTTTTGTTATATATTAAGTTCTGTAGACCTGGGTCTGGTTCTTGCTGGATTCTCTATTTTTTTTTTCACTGACATTTGTCCATTATTATACTAACACCACTTTTTACTGAAGTGGATTTATGGTAAATTTTAATATCTATTGAGGACTTTTAAATTATCCTAATCAGTTTCAGAGAAACCCCATTGGGATTCTTATTTGGAATACATTACATTTAAATATTATTTTAGGAAAGATTTACATTTCTATGAGAGGAAGTCTTCCTGTTCAGGAACTTGGTGTGACCTACCATATGTTCAGATCTTTTCTGTGTCCTTTGGTAAAATTTCACAGTTTTTTTACTTATGTTCTTTAACATTTTGTTAAATTTAAAATATTGCGCATTATAAGTGCTATATTTTCCCCTCTCCATTTCTAACTTGCTACTGTTAATTTTTTTTTAATTCTATAAGTATTTTACATATAATCACTTTATAAATTCCCTTTTTCTTCTAATAACTTTTGACTAGATTCTCATGAAATTCTCTTTTTACTTCTAGTAACTTTTTACTAGATTCTCATGGTGCTTTGAGACTTCTACAATTATAAATAAATTATACTTTTCTATTATAAAATTAATTTCATATTCTTATCTATTGCATGAGACAGAATCTCTACAAATAATGAATCATACTTTTAAGAGTCAGTATTTCCTGTGCCTAATTTTTTTTAAATGGCTTCAGAAATTTGTCATTTAGTAAGATAATTGTTGTAAAACTTTGGTAAATGTCTTATCATTACACTAATTCCCCCTTACCTGAGGTTTTGCTTTCTATGGTTTTAGTTATTGTGATCAACCTTGGCCCCAAATATTAAATTTCTCCAACCATAGACATCATGTATTCCTGGCATCCAACCATAGACCTTGTCTTGGCTCAATACCCCAGGATCACTCCAAGCTGATGACCCTCCTTCTGATTTATTATCAGAAGGTCAATAGTAGCCTCATGCTACATCTCAGTGCCTAAGTCATTCACCTCACTTCATCTCACTCATCATATAGGCATTGTATCACCTCTCATTATCACAAGAAGGGTGAGTACAGTACAATTAGATATTTTGAGAAAGAGAGAGACTATATTTTCATAACTTTTATTATAATATATTGTTATAATTTTTCCATTTTATAATTATATATTGTTGTTCATCTCTTACTATGTCTAACCTTATCATATGTATGTATGGGGAAAAACATAGTATATATACGGTTCAGTAGTTTCAGGCATTCATTAGGGATCTTGAAACATTTTCCTCACAAATAAGGAGTGACTACTATATTCAATAGCTTCCTTTAATTCCAAAGTTATTTTGAAATTTTATTAGGAAAAGTTGTTAAGTATTATCAAATGCCTTTGTATCATTTTTATATAACTTTATTTTTTATCCTTTAATTTGCTGTTGTAAAACATTCAAATTTTGTTTTAATTCAGAATTGATATTTATTACTTGACAATAAGACTGTCCTAAAACCAGAAAATCCCCAGAATCATAAAGGATAAAAGAAGGGTGGTCAGATAGAGCAGAATTGAAGAACACTATAGAATACCCTTTTTCCTGAGGAATAGAGAGACAGAATCACCTATGAGAGGGAAATATCATCGATCAGCTGTGCCCTGCAAGCCCCCACAGGGGATCAGCCCACAACCCAGGCAGGAGCCCAAGCCTTCTCTCCCCCTCCCTGCACCTCTGCCTCTGTTCTGGGTGGACACTCAACCACTGAGCCAGACTGGCTAGGCTGAATTCTTCTTTTTCAGATGTGAAAATTGCTATTCCTCCTTTATTTTTATTTGCATCTTCCCAGTACTTTTATCTAATCATTTATTTTTCAACCAGTGTTTGTCACTCTGTTTTATGAGTGTTTCTTGACATGAAATACATTTAAATCTGACTTTTTAACCCATCTGCCAAATGGGTCTTCTAAGTCCATTCACACTTAGTGAAGTAATTAATATACTATATTTTATTCCTTCCATCCTATATACTCTTTTTCCTTCTAACTTTTGCTGAGTTAGGCATTCTTTTTCCCAGTCATTCTTCTGTTCATTTTTCCTTCCTATCAATTTAGAAGTCCTACTGTGCTGTAAATTTCTATTCATAGCTACATATTCCTCTGGACCATCTTTGAATATATTTATTCTATCAAAAGAAAGTAATGTTATAATATATGTATTTTATTCTATATTTTAAACACACACACACACACACACACACACACACATTCATGCATCAAGATTCTCTAACTGCTCACCCCTCTCTCAGCCCCAAAGAGGATTTAAGTTTTAATTCTAGGTTACTAATAAGTTTTCCTTTCAAGGATGATTCTTCTATTTCAAGAAACCCTACTTAGCATTTATATTAGAAAGTCCTAGTCACATCATTATTATCTATTTAATTTTAATAATACGTATATTGTCAGATTCATTGCTCCCATTATTCCTCTTTTCTTTTGTCTTTCCCTATCTTGGGATTTCTGTTCTGAGCCAACTGTCATTTGATAGAGTATTTCCTCAAGTGTTTTCCTCAGATAAGTACACAGGCAGAATACTTTTTAAATGCCTGTACTTCTGAAAATGTTTATTTTGCCCTGAGAAATGAATGGTATCTTTCCTGGTTATTAATTCTTAGACCCTCAGGATTTTACAATGTTGCTCCATCTTAATTTTAGTGTCACTGATAAAAAAAAAAAAGTTTTAAACTAATTAATTCTTTTCCATTGCAAATAACCTATTCTTTGAGTCTCAAAACTTCAAGATTTGTCCTTATCCTTGGACTTCAGGCATTTCACCAGAATATGACTACACATATGTTCTTACATTTATCTTGCATAGGACCTATTATAATACTTCAGGGAGCCTATTATTTCTCCATTTGTTTCTTTTTTACCTCCAAAACTCCTTTCATTTAACATTATGACTTCTGAGTTTATCACTAAATAATTCTGTACTATAATACATTTTCAGTTATTTGGTGAGCTTCCAGATTTGACTCAAGAAATACCATAACCAGAATCTGTTTAATTTTTACTGAAAAGTTAAATTTGTTTGTTCACTGACAGATATTCTTGTTTTGTGTTTTGATCACCTAATGGCACTACCTTGAAAGTTTTATGTCTTCTTTTGCTGTTGTTTTTAAATCATCTCTGGTCTTTTCCAACATGGTGAGAGTAAATGGCACAATTATTTTAGTTCTGGTCTGTTCTTTCCTCTTGGGGTTCTAAGTTTCCTTTAGTGAGTTATTACTCTCCTCATCCTGCTATGGCTTATGTTCCCTTGGCATTTACACAGGCCAGGTCCTAGATGTCTCTCCAACAGTGTAAGTCAGTGAGTGATGGAAAGAATATGATTTTCTGCTCCTGAGGTCAGGCCATAAAGGGCTGCAAATCATTACTTCTTTGCTAAGGTGGAGGTTAGAGGCGTCTCTGTTGCTTCAGTTCCATAGAAGCAAACTTTGTCCCAACCAAAGTGATGGACCAAATCAGTCCCCTCCGCCCCCATACAGTATTCTTCCAGATCCCTGCCCAAATCAGAAAGGCCCTATGAGCACCACATAAAACATGCAGGCAGATACAACCCTTCTTTGAGGAGATTCACTGGATTAAGTCAACCAAACCTTTGAAGAAGCATACAACGCTTGTCTTTGAGCCAAGCAATGAGGATAAATAAGCCTACCTCTCTGCCTCTGCCCCTTGGTTCTTTCTGGTTTCCAAAATGCATGAGGTACCATAGAATGCCTTCTTTTCATCCCATTCCTCCCCAAGGTACACCCTCCATGCTTTACCAACTGGCATGCCTAGGCTACTTTTGATCTAAAATGCTTTCTGGATATTAATTTTTAAAGTAATTCCTATAAAAGTAACTTCACTTTTTGAATCATTACTGCTCCTAAATTTTATGATACAAGACAAAGAATAAGATAAATACCTTTGTTGTGTAGAAGAGACAACAAGCTATCATATGCTGTATGCTTTCAAAACTTGCCATATTTTTCTTTGAGTGGATGACATTTGGTAGTCCTTGCAAAACCACCATACACTTTATCAAAATCTAAAAAATAAAAACGCAACAGTTTGCTGAAAATATTATCCTTACACATTATAAAATATTCCATTCAGATCAGGCAGGTTTTAAGGCATTAAATTTTATTATCAATAAATTGTTTATCATGTATAGAGGAATATTCTTTGAAAGAAAATTGGTATCAATTTTCAGATCAGTCCTTCATCTAAAATAACTTGAAAACCTGTGGAAATAATAAGTACATGAATAACTATAAAACAAATCATATTTTGTCAAGTGTCATAAAAGATATAGACAGAATGTTACATGGATATAAAAAGCACTAAGATCAGATCCAGTCTTAGGAGGTCCTTGAAAACCCATATGGAGAAAGATGTGCCATATTAAATATACTGATACTAGGGTCTTGAAATACTAGTTTCCTTCAAAATTAAAACCAAATATTCATACTCCAGGAAAATAATTAATTTTGATGTTTACTTCTAGTCTTCTTGCTATAAGTAATACTACCATCAGAAAAGTTGAATTAGGATTGCATCAATCTATTTTTTATTCAAATTATCCCAAAGGACAAATTAATATATGGAAGTTGGTCTTTTGGGGGTTTGTTAATTGCTTCAGACTACCATTCCAACAATAGTATTACTATTGTCACAGTACACTTACAGGTTTTTAAATGCTTCTTTACTCCCTTCCACCATCATCCTCTTCTGCCCTACCAGATCATGTCCACAAATCATGTTAACATTAAGTTGTCATTTTCTCCTGCCTCAAATAATTGTGTGTGTGTGTGTGCGTGTGCGTGTGTGTGTGTGTGTGTGTATGTGTATAAATACTAAATGTACATAATAATAGAGTTATGTTAGGTTACAAAATAAGATTTATACACACTTTTGTGAACTGTGCATTGCTCCTTCAACCATGTCTTGTGAAAAAAATCCCTCCAAGTCTACAGGTTTAGCTCCAATTCATTATTCCTAATACTGCATAATTATTTACTGTGGATCACCATCATTTAGTCAGCCATTTCCAGAATCTCCATGTTGCAGTTTTAGAATTGAGATTTGGCAGTGTGGTCATCTTCCTGCTACTTCACTTTCTGTCTCCACCAACAAGAGTAGCACAATAAAATAAGTACCCTTATACAGGCTCAGTTTCCAATATGAGAGGCACTTGAGCTGCCAGCTTTGAGATGAAAGCCAATGAGGAAGAGGCACCATCCTCCTGGGCATAGTATACATTCTAAGTCTGTGACAATTACGTGGTACTGTGTCCCCAGTAGGTAGAACACATGGATCCAGGAATGAAGGGGTGAAACTTGGAGTAGCATCTCTCCAACTGGTGATTTTTTAAAAAATATATTTTATTGATTTTTTTACAGAGAGGAAGAGAGAGAGAGAGAGAGCCAGAAATGTTGATGAGAGAGAAACATCCACCAGCCGCCTCCTGCACACCCCCCACCGGGGATGTGCCTGCAACCAACGTACATGCCCTTGACCGGAATCGAACTCGGAACCCTTCAGTCTGCAGACCAACACTCTATCCACTGAGCCAACCCGGTTTTGACATCCAATGGTGATTTTATTCTGTGGGATAAATTACTAATAGAAGGATTGCTTTGTCAGGTAGATATATTTTAATTTCACTAAAATGTTATTCTTTGGGATAAATTACTAGTAGATGGATTGCTATCAGGTATATTTGTTTTTAGTTTAATTAAAATTAGATTTAGTTTAATTAAAATTAGATTGCTTTACCAAATCCAAAGCCTATAACAATTCACATTTCCCCCATTAATGAAATGAGAATGCCTTTGCCCCACATCCTCACTAGCAATAGGAGTTACAGATATTTTCAATCCTGCCACTGATATGAGATTTTTCACTTAATGTGCACATATATGAATGTTCAGAGTTTGGGCAGCTTTCATATGTCTCTCAGCCAGTTGGATTTGCTTTTCCGATAAACTACCTATTTGTATCCAGTGCCCACTTTTCTGTTATAATAGCGTCAATTTGTAAGACTTTTTGTTATGTATACTTATCCTTCATCAGTATTAGATATATTTTTTCCAAATCCATAAATTTGTGCTATTTTTATTATGGTCCCTTTTTTCACACATAGATTGATGTACATACAGTCGAATATGTCTTTTTCTCTTGTTGTTTCTAAGAGTTCTGTCTTGCTTAGAAATGATTCCCCAATCCTGGATTGCAGAGGTAATCCCCTGAAATTTTTTGTCACATTTTTTGCTTAGTTTGGTCGTTACAATATCAATATTTTTAATATGGTACAAATAGAATCAAACTCAACTTTCTTTCAAATGAATATCTCGGTGTTTCACTACAACTTACTAAAAATATTCACTCTCCACTAAATTGGGATGCCAATTCTGCCATACTTTACATTCTCATACATATTAAGGCCTATTTCTAGAATCTTCTCTCTGTTCCACTCATCTTTTCCTATTCTAAATAACACACTCCTTTCCTAAAGCTTTCATCACACTATAAGCCATTCTGAACTGTAACCAAAGGCATCCTGAGTCAGTGGGATCCTAAAGAATGACAGTGGACTATCCTGAACTCAACCAGCCTGAGCCCCAAGCACAGCTGCTGATCCTAACGTATTATAGATTCTTTGCTAGACCACATTATAAGGCATGCATTGATATGGTTAATGTTTTCTTTTCTACACTCTAGGAAAGAAGTATTAGACGTTCCCATTCACACTGGGCAGATAAGGATATACACTGAGAGTCTTGCCCAAGAGCAATAACTCTCCCACCTTCTGACATAATATTTTATGAAAGAATATGAACTTTCTGGGTGATTCTCAAAACAAAACATTGGACCACTATATCAGTAACATTATGTCAGTCAGACCTAATGAGCAAGAAATGGCAAGTGCACTAAAGACCTTAATACGATGCATGTCCTCCAGAGGGTAGAAATAAACCCTATTAAGATTTAGGGGCCTGACACATTAAATAAATATCTGAGACACCCCCTCCAAAGTAAATCTGACATCTGACATCTATCATCCCTTAAACAGAGAAAACAATGACAGGTAGACTCCTTTGGATTCAGGAGGAAGAATATTCTACACTTGAAAATACTGCTTCAGTCCATTTACAAGTGACATGGAAGGCTGCCAACTATTAGTCTAGATGCTGGATTTTGGAGGCCTATTTCTTGAGCAGCTGAACTACTAGATGTAGGGAATTCGGGAGGAGGAGGCATGTCTATACTCCAGTAGAGCCACTCCAAGGTGAATATTTGGTAACTTATTTAAGCTGTCTGATTAATTTCCTCAGTGGTGAATTTAAAATTTTTACATTTTGTATAAGTTCACTGACCACATCTTGGCTCTCAAAATCTGAGCCAATGATGATGACAATGATGGTGATGATGAGTAACTTTATGCACCATCAGCAGTAAAATCTTCCTTCTCTTCTTATTTCCTTGTCCTAGGCAGAATTCTAAAATAGTCCGCAGGTCCCTCCCCCTGATGTGTAAACTCTGTCTAATCCCTCCCCCTGAGTGGAGGTAAGACCTGTGAAGGTAATGGTGCAGTCACTTTTATGACTGCATTTCATTATATAAGACTCCTCGGGCATAGCAGAGGAGACTCCCCTGCTGGCCTTAAAGAAACAAAGTGCCATGTTGGGCAGAAAACAGGAGCCAAGGACCTCCTATCACACAATTGCAAGAAAATTAATTTTTTCAACAACCAGTGAGCTTGGGAGAGGACCCTAAAGCTCAAATGAGATTGCAGCCCTGGTTTCAGCCTAAGACATTGAGCAGCCCAACTAAACCACATTCAGCTTCCTGGCCCACAGAAACTGTGATAGTAAATGGGTGTTCTTTTAAGTCACTAAGTTTGCGGTGATTTGTGAGGTAGCATGAACAACTAATATAATCCCTTCAGCCAGGATATCTTCTAACTTCTCCATCACTGAGACATCAAGCATATTTTCATCCAGCAATTTCCCCCCCAGGTGATAGCTTTAACAACATGCTTTGAATAAATACTGTTGCTTCTAACATTACAAGAACACAAAAACTAAAATGAAATTTAAAAACCTGGAAAAATATATTGCCAGTATTTAAATATAGACAGCACTGGGGCTGATTATTTTCAGAGAAACACATTTTAAGTCCTTATTTATGTCTGCCCAGACATATCATTTAAATTATTTAAATGTTTTTCAGTTAACTCATGACATTTCATAAAATACTTGTTATTTGTACTTGATAAGAGATACATTGTTTTGTTTTATTTTATTTTCCAAAATGCACTGCTGAGTTGCCTTTGTAAAAATACCCTTATCTGGAAGGAGAAGAGGAAGAAATACCCTTACCTGTATGACAGGTACCAAAACAATGTTGTGATAGATTATAGGAGCAAGAAGGCCATAGCATTGAGTCACAGCTTGAAGAGCATAACTGGAATCATTTAGGTAGTTGCTAAGTTCCAATGCCACTAACACTCTCTCACATTCAGTTAGTCTAGCAATCTGTAAAGAAACAGGTATTGTTACGAAAATTAAATATCAGGTACTTCGCTAATGTGTCTAAGGAAAACAAAGGTAGGAAATATGATCCCTATGGTTTAACAGATGAATGTTCACATAAAGAGAAATCTAAATTCAGGAACAACACTAACTCTCTAATAATGCTACACAATGATAACAAAATTTTATAATTGAACTTCAGAATTTTTGTAAAACAATACAAATACCACTAGTAACAGAAAAAGAACCAAACTTTGTAACTGGTAAAATAAAATCTTGGCTATGTTTTATTGTAAGAAAAAAAAAACAGTTGTTGCAAAAGCATAAATTATAATAAATAATTAAAATATAATTTCTCTGGTATATTGCCCCCACTTGATTAACAGAGTCCCATTTCCCTTCTGAATTTGTGAGAAAATAGCAAATTTTCAGTAGAGCAAACTAATCCCATTATAATTCTCCTACGTAAGTAAAAATGATAGTAAAATGTGAAGATAGGCTTTTGTGATTAAACGATACTTAAAAAGAATAGGAGTCTTATCTTACTCCTCTTTTCCCTTTCCTGAGGAAGATTTCATTATTTTTCTGTGTATATACATACAAGATTATGTACAAATAAAACTGTATGAATAGCAACCAGAAATTTCCATACAAAAAATTATTATTCAAATACTAGCCTAGCATTCTGGAAATCATTGAAGTACTTTAAAATTGTTTTTCTTTTCAGACTGGATGCTGAAAGAAGAAACTAAATACGATGTATAGTAGGAACAGATTGATGGTTGTAAGTGTTTGAGCTTTGCAAGACTGTGCACCTGCCTTGGACAAAGAATCATGTGTGGGCTTTTTTTTCACTTTCATATTCATAAAAACTAGTACAAATTCACATAACAAATTATTGATTAAGAGATGAATAAGGGCATGAGTAGAAAAGAGCAACTGCAAAAGAACCTAACAGTCAGACTGGCATGACTCAATGGTTGAGCATTGGATTATTAACCAAGAGGTCAAGGTTCAATTCCTGGTCAAGGCACATGCCCAGGTTGCAGGCTCAATCCCTGATAAGGGGCATGCAGGAGGCAGCTAATCAATGATTCTCTCTCATCACTGAAGTTTTTATCTAGATATCTCTCCAAATCTCTTCCTCTGTAAAATCAATAAAAAATATTTTTTAAAAACAACAACCTAACAACAACAAAAAATGGCAAAACTCTCCATATATCTAAGGTGGAAAAAGTAACTTCAATCTAAAGAGGAAAAAAAATATAGGATTGTTATTAAAAGCAATAGTGTAATCAGGTTGTGGATGTACATAGAACAATGTTCATAAGCTCCCTGAGACTATCAATAGAACAGAGGTTAAATTCTTGCCTCTGTACAGGAATGCATTGTTATAATTAAAAAAAGAATTTGGTAATTGACATGTACCAGCATGAAAATATGTCCAAGATCTATATTATAAAAACCCAGTGGCCCTAACGCTATAATGACCAAAGACTGGCACAGATGAGTGGGGCTGTAACTGCTGCAGGACGTACATGATTTCGCATGCCGGGCTTCTAGTATATTATAAAAATGTTTAAAACCAACGTGCAGAACAACAAATACATCATGATCCCATATAAATTGGAAGAAAAGAGAAAAGATAAACCTGTGAATCCTACAAGGACTATCAAATAAGTCAGCACAAACACACAAGGCTTCTCAGTCCATTCAACAAGCCAGGACTTACATTCCCAAAAAATATGAAGTTGAAACATCAAGAAACAAATAAAGGAAAACTGGCACATTTTCAGTCATTTTAATTCACTTACTTGTTGAGCAGGAAAAATCTCATTGCCTTTGATATTATCACAGAAAAGATTTTCTTCTTTAATTTTAATGTCACTTGTTACAAAAATATTTCTGAGAAAAAGGTATAAAAGGATTGAAGAAGTCTCTGCCAAAATATCTGAATATAATCTGCAAAAAGGAGTAAATGACATTACAAGTTTAAATATAAAAATGATTTATCATGTGAACTTGCCTTTTTAGATTGATTTGTTCTTAGTATCTACACAATGATCCCAAGTCATGGAACAGGTACTCTGGTACCTGTAGGGGACATGAAGAAAGCAGCTTGATCTCCAGTAGGGGACATGCAGAAAGCAGCCAACCAATGATTCTCTCTCATCATTGATGTTTCTATTTCTCTCTCTCTCTCCTTCACCCTTCCTCTCTGAAATCAATAAAAATATCTTTAAAAAAATAAAATAATAAAAGCTTCTTCTTAGTTTACATCCTACCCTGTCTCTCTGTAGTGTTCTATTATGCAGCTCTTCAACTTGACCTTGCACTTAGCATTCAATACTACTGGCGTGTTCCCCATGGTGATGCTCTCACTGCCTTTGAAAGTATACTTTCCCAAACTTTCACCTCCTGGTCTGCTTATTTCCAATAGCCTCCCTTGGTGCCATCTCTGCTTCTGTCTCTTAAATGTATGCATACCCAGGATTCAAATTCCAGCCTTCTATTTTTCTGCTAAATAGTCATTCCCTGTCAAAATTTCAATGATCACCTCAATGAAAATTTCTAAATCTGCAACTCTAGCCTTGAACCTCTCTCCTTAGATGTCAGCACTAAATATCCAACTACCTACCTGATATCTCATATCTACAAAGATGTCCCGTTGGAAAACTAAATAGTTTAAATCATAGTCATTATCTTCACCCAAAAACGTGTTCTACCTGTCCTATCATGCACCTTTAGTAAATGTAATAGGCCTCCCAGTAGGGTAACCTTGGAAATCCCAGTCAACTTTAATTCCTTTCTCTCCCTTATTTTACAAATGACATGAGATATTCTCTTTCTCCTCTAAAAATAATTCTCCAATCCATCCTGCATAGTACCTAGGACATAGCAAATGCTAAGTCTACATTTTTTTAATTAAATGTAATTATATCTAAACCTGAATAAGCATCATCAATGTCTTTACTCAACCAGAATTTGCATTTTAAGCTCGTTGTCTTTGATTCAGAAGTGAAGGGTTTTGTGTTCTTATTAAAGAAATTTTAGGCATTAACAAGCAGGTGACAGAGAATGCTGTTTTTCAAAGTGGTTAAGACAACCTGAAATCATACCAATCCTAATTTCTTAAACTTGTCTTATTTTTTTTCTTTTTAAAAAATATATTTTTATAGATTTCAGAGAAGAATGGAGAGGGAGAGAAAGGAACATCAATGATGAGAATCATTGGTCAGGTACCTCCTGCAAACCCCCTACTGGAGTTTGAGCCCACAATCCGGTCATGTGTCCTGACCAGGTATTGAATCGAGACTGCCTGGTTATAGATCAACGATGCTCAACCACTGAGCCATGCTGGCCAGACAAACTTTGTTCTTTTAAGGAAAAAAAAAAATGGCTGTAAAGCAAAGTATGGCCTGTGGTTTTATATGTGGCTTCTACTGGCCCAGTTGTTGATAGTGTAATGCTGGGAGCTCATCAAGAAAAAAGAAAAAAGAAAAAAAAAGCATTTTTATCCTAACAGTTTACCCACCTATCAGACTCAAACTTTAACCTGAATTTGGCCTTTCTCTGTTATAAAACTCTCTGCCCTGGCTGGTTTGGCTTAGTGGATACAGCGTAGGTCTGTGGACTGAAGGCTCCCAGGTTTGATTCCTGTCAAGGGATGCCTGGATTTCAGGCTCAATCATGCAGGAGGCAATCAATAATTCTCTCTCATTGTTGATGTTTCTATCTCTCTCTCCCTCTCCTTCTGAAATCAATAATGATATATATACATTTTTTTAAATACCCAATGCTATTTGTGTTTTATAGTAAAATTGACATTACCTTGGTTAGTGTTTGGTATTTTTTTACATAACTTTCATTAACTTATATTCAGAATCCATCTATATGGTACAGTATTTTTTTCTGATTCTAACAAAGAAGTTTCTAACAAGGACTCAAGACCCTTGAAATGTATGTACTCATTAAAAGCTAATCAGAAAGTTTTATATGAGCTATCTTAACATGCAATTACAAATAAATTAATTCTAGGCTTCACACCCAACTTTTAATTTCAAAAAGCAAATTAATATTTTGAGAGAGTGTTTCTAATTACTTTCTCTGTGTAATAGTCATCATATTGCTTAAACAAACCACAGACTGTTCATTGCGAGGCGGTGAAGTGACAAAATAATCCCAGGCTGGTGAGAAAACTTTCTTAGCCAATTCATAGTTACCAATCTGATAGGCAACCTACAATAGAAAGAACATTATCTTATGCAACATTTTTATTTGTGAAATGTACATTTTAAACAAGAATTCCAATAGGGTCTTATAACATATTAATTTCATATACAGTCATTCACATTTGCTGCTCTGGTTTTCAGTGCCACAGTAAGGTAATGATAGCCATCGGCAAGGGAGACAGACACATTTTAAAATCTCTTTTATTTCTGAATTGCATGGAAATTTGAAACTCTGTAAGGATGTTTCAAATTCTCATAAGGAAAACAAAGATCAGATCTGAGCCAAATTAATTTCATTCCCATCTATCTCAGCAGCGCACTCCATTTATTATAGACACTGTTATAATGAACAATCTGTTCCAAGAGAAACAATCAGATTTCCCAAACCAAAAATATGAAATATACTTCATTCTTTTCTGCTTCTGACTGACACTTTTGGAAGTTTTGTACAACAAAGAGTTCACAGCTGAAAAGAGTGAAGAATAAAACAGAGACGCTTCCAAGAAGCCATGATATATTTTTAAATTTAACACATTCAACTTTAGCAAAAACTGCTTTTACTCATACAACTGAAACATTCAGAAGAAAAAAGTCATGAACTTACCTATTTCTTTAGGTAGAATATGTTTCTTTAAAGATATTTCTAAAAATCATTCTATTTTTATGTGTATAGCAATGTGAAACTTCACCACAAATGATATGCTACTTCAAGTCCTTGATGGAAGCAGGTAAAATGTAAAGTATACTAGTAAATTCATTGAATTAAATATGTAAATGACATGCTGCTAGGTTATATTCCACACCAGGGAATAATTTACAGATCTAGAACTTTTTAAATAAGCCAGGTCAACATTCAAAATCAACCAACCAATAAACTTCTTCAAAGATGAAGATGCTCTCATGAAACTGTAATCAAATTATAGACACAAAATACTTGAAATTACAGAAAAACTACACATGATAACATAATAGCTGTGGAGATTAGTAAAGAAGAAATAAAGACTTCTAGGAGGAGGCAGGGCTTGAACTGACCCCTAAGAAGAGATAAGATTCAGATGATCATAGTTTAGGCAGAATCTGAAAAAGGTCCAGTAATGGAAATCATCGCATTGCAGTTAGGAAAGACTGGAAAGGCAGGCCAAAATTTGGGGGAAAGTGGGCCATATGCCGAAACCAGTTTGGCTCAATGGATAGAGCATCGGCTTGGGTCTGAAGGGTCCCGGGTTCGATTCCGGTCAAGGGCATGTACCTTGGTGGGCACATCCCCAGTAGGGGGTGTTCAAGTTGCAGCTGATCGATGACTCTCATCAATGTTTCTAACTCTCTATCTCTCTCCCTTCCTCTATGTACAAAATTAATAAAATATATATTTTTTTAAAAAGAAAAGAAAAGTGGGCCATATGATTGGACAGGTAAAGTGGGACATGGTGTCAGAAGGTCTTGAAAATCAGGTAGAAGTATTTTAAAATGTCAGGCATTATTGTGCTGATTCCTCACCATATCTCTATTAAGTAAGCTCTATTATCATCTATGTATTTCAGATGAGGCATTGCATAGTTAAATAATTTGTACAGAGCCTGACACTCAGTAAAATCAGTGGAGCAGAGACTTGGAGTGGAAACTGAGTCACTTTTCTGGGCTGCATTGATCACATAGAAGATTTGGATTAAGTGGTCACTAAAACACCATCTAATTCTAAGATTTCCATGGGAAATAATAGCAGTTGATGTATAGTGGGGTTGGTGAAACTGTAATTGAATGTTTTTTTTTCCTTTAAAAAAATATATATAGTTTCTTGAAAAATAATGTTATTTATTCAATTAGTGAACACTGTGAAACAAGATACCTTGATAAAACTATATATATATATATATATATATATATAAAAGCCTAAGCAACCAAACTGAATGATTGGTCAACCTGTCACAATGATGTGCAATGCCTACCAGGAGGCAGACGCTCAACATAGGAGCTATCCCCTGGCGGCCAATGTGCTCCCACAGCGGGAGCACTGCTCAGCTGACCAATGGGCGCCAGATGCATGGCTGGTGAGCATCTCCTCATGGCAACTGACTGGGCACAAGCCTGCACAGACTCAGCAGAGTCAGGATGAGCGGGAGCGGCAGATGGGAGCATCAGGTGGTGTTGCCCTGCAGGGATCAGGCTGAAACCAGCAGTCTAACATCCTCCAAGGGGTCCCAGATTGCAAGAGGGCACAGGCCAGGCTGAGGGACCTCACCAATGCATGAATCCATGCACTGGGCCTCTAGTGGTTTATAAAATCATGAATCTTTGTGAGTAAACATAAGAGTGTGATGATATGAGCATGTTCAAAGATGGCTAACTGGTAGTGATGTGCAGAACAGATGATAGAGGGGATGAGGTTAAAATGAAAAAGCAGCACTAAAGACTCATGTAATGATGGATGAAGTATAGTATAAGCTTCAATACATGACCTTCATCTGGCTTCTAGAACACCACACTCTTGATTTTCTTTTCACTGCAAAGGCCACATTCCTTTTAAGTTGCCTGCACAAGCTCCTTCTCTTTCCCCCAGTCTCTCTATAATTGGCACACTCTAGGGTTCAGGCCTTGAACCTCTCCTCTTTTCTGTCTGCACTTTTTTCCTTGGTGATGTCATCCAGCTCCATGGCTTTGGCACATGACTACTCTCAAAACCCTCTCCTGCCCTAACCTCTGTCTCTTCTAAACTCCAGATTCATACATCTAACTACTCAACAATTCTCTCTAAATATCCAGTAAGTCTAATATATAAGAAATACCTAATAGTATCTAATATCTTACCTCAACATACATACCCCAAGCTGAATTTTGGATCTTCCCTACCACTATCGACATCACCACAGCCTTCCTCAACTCAGTTAATATCAACTATATCCTTGCAGTTGGTCAGCTAAATATCTTAGAATCATCTTTCAGTTTTCTCTTTATATTAGTTCCATCAGCAATTCTTATTAACTTCTCCTTCAAAACATATCCAGATTCTGGCCACTTCTCATCACATCATCTACTATCACTCTGGCCAAGCCATGTTCATCTCTCATTGAATTATAGGAATAGAGAGGTCTCTCTACTTCCACCCTAACCCTCTTGTGATCTATTTCCAGTATAGCAGTCTTTAGTGTGAGCCTTTGACAATATAAGTCACATTATATCATGCCACTACTCAAAACCCTCCATTTCACTCAAAGTAAAAGCCAAAGTTCTTAAAATAGCCTAAAAGTCTTTTCATGATATACTCCCCTACCCAGTCATTCAGCCTTACTTCTCTGACCAATCCTTCACTCTCCATGGGTCCCTCTGCTCTAGCCATATTGGCCCCCTTGCTATCTATAAAACATACCAGGTGCACTTCTGAAAATCTTAGGGCTTTTCCCCTAGGTCCTTCTGCAGAATACTCTTCTTCCAAGAGTCTTTCCCACAACTGTTTCAAGTCTCTGCTCAAACCTCACTTTTTAAGTAAGGTCTTACCTGAGCACTCTATTTAACACTATAATCAACCTTCCATTTCCCCATTTCACATTTCCAATTCCTTTTACTATACTCTACTTTCTATTTCCATAAAATTGCCTGTTTCCTCTGGTAGAAGGACACAGCAATCTGTTTAACTAACATTCCTGATCACTGATTCACGCTCAAGTTTTGAATAACTCGTCTGGAGCAATGCTGGCACAGAGTAAGCACTCAGTAATAAGGTGTTACAAGAAATAAATAATGTGTTGAATGCATCCTTTTCCAAAGAAGAGGATACCCAGAGGTTGCACTGTACTGTAACACAGTTGACTGGCCCAGAGTGAGTGCCTGACCTAAGCTGAGTGTTGTATAGCCCCCACTTCAAAGCAAGATGGACCCCCACCCTAAGTTTGGATGACCTGGACTCCCTTGGAGAATTTGAGAGAAAATGTATTACTCACACAAGACTCCCAAACAGAGTTTGGCAGGCACACATAGGTCTGGGCTGGCTTGGACAAAGCAAAAGAAATGAGTTGGCCCTTGATTCGTGACTGGGAAGCAGGAATAAGGAAAGTTCCTGTTACCTGGAAGGTTTAAATTTCCTGTTGGCACCAAAGATAAGGTAAGCCCACAGACCTCTCTATCAGCCTGCCTTACGGTGCGGCCAAAGGGAAAAAGAGGGGAGAGGTTTACGGTGGTCAAACATCAAAAAAGAGCTCAGATGCTTTGTTGCATTCGGCAAGCCAGAATCCCTCTCCCGGGAATTTGGAATTAAGATTAGAAGGCAGCTAGCTGGTCTCTATTTACAGTTAAATTTGAGGGATATATAAAAATTAACAAGGTGCTATTTTTCCTCCAAACATAGAGAGGTAAAGAAATAAATCTTTAGAGAAAGAAAAATAAGGCATATTTAGAGAGAACTGAAGGTATAAAAGCTAGAGCTTTGCAGCCTTCCCATGGTGCATTCCCCAAGCCAGGCTGGCTCCCCTACTTACAAAGTCTTAACTAAAACCATAAGTCGAAATTATCTAAATAAGGGTTGTTATATATATTTGAAAGGAAGGAGAAATGACATCTAGCATAGAACCTGGCACAAAGCAGACAGTGAATAAATAATTAATCAATAAACAGATGGATATAGAAAGAGTAGTCATATTTAGAGGATGAGAGGGAAGAGTTGAAATTTCTTAAAAAGCTTAAAAATGGTGCTGTTCATTATATTCCACAAATGAGTGATATCATGTGATATTTACAATTTATAGTTATAAAAGTCCTGGGAATATAGCATATGGAATATAGTCAATAATATTGTAATAATTACAGGTGGATAATTATCAGGTGGATACTTGACTTATGGGTGAGATCACTTCGTAAAGTATATAAATGTTAATCACTATGCTATGCACCTGAAACTAATATAAAATAATATTAAATGTCCACTGTAATTGAAAAAAATGCTGTTAGATTCTAAAAATTAAATAGCTATATGTGTCTGCTGGCTACATTTTTTTTTTAATGATGTTAACTACCTATTTACCTGATAGCTTTTTCTTTTATTATTTGAATAGTCATAGGCAAACCTCTATTAATCAAATAATTTCAATGACTTCATATATAAAGTGGGGGAAAAAGTATGAACTTTTATTTCCTCTTCTCCTGACATCATTGTGCTTTCAGACAAAGCTTTCATGTCCCAGCATCAAATTCTCCTGCCAACACTGATCATCAAGACCCGCTGCACACCACCAAACCCAGGCAGAGAGAAGATGGGAGAGGTGCAGGCTCTAGAATAACTGGGCACATGTTAGACATCGAACACATGACTTCCTTGGAACCTGGGAGAGCAATAAAAATGCATGAGCTGGCTCAAGTGTCAGGCTTGCCATCTGCTACCCAAGTAACCTTGGGTAAATTAACCTCCCTGAGTCACCTTTTCTAAAATTAACTGGGACTGGCAGAGGAAGAATCAAATTAATCTCAGGCTCCTCAATATAAAATGAAAGTGATAATATCCCTCAAAGAGTAATTATAATAAAGGGAATAATGCATTTTTAAATGCTTGTCACACAATAGTTTTTGATAGTCCACGTTTCCTTTGTTCAACCACCCATAGTGCCCACTCACTATTGTATTTAATATTAATTCAATAATTCTGCAGTATATGGCATTTTGCATGTATCCATTTTACAGAGAGGAAAATGGAGACCAAGAAATTTGTCTAAAATTCTGCTTACAGACTTCTAATTTTATATATTTTATATCACATTATCTATCTTTTCCCAACTTAAAGGGGAAGAATAAAAAGAAATTAGCCTTTAAAGAGAGGGAAATTGGAAAATACATCATTCATATAGATTCCTCAAAAAAAAAAATTTCAGATAGCCTGAATTAAGGGAATATCTAGTAAAGATTCACCTGAATTTATTAATGTCTAAAGAATAATGTTGAGCAAAAGTGTAACCTAAAATCACAAGTCCATGTTAATAATTGGCAGTTAGTGAAATATCTCCATACCTTACTATAAGTATATTTATAATATTTTTAAAGAACAGACTATCCTGAAATTAAAAACCACTCTCATAAAAATAGATCACAATTACAAGAGAAAGGTCTATTTTCTTGCTAGAACCTTTAAACTTTTGTAAATAAGGAGATTTACTGAGAAAATTTTGTTTTAGCCACTTAACATTATGAGGCAGAATGCTCATAAACTGTCATAAACTGAAGTACTGCAAATATGGTATCAATAAAGGCACACAGGTCACTGCTTTATGACATTTCTCATTATTCCAGTGGTATAGCTAAGACTTAATGTTATTAATTTTCAATGAAAGTTCTGCCAAGTGAATCCCAAGAGTCAACCCACTCCCTGGAGAAAAATTAGGCCTTGATAAAATATTCTGTTCCTCTTTTTGAAATAACTCCATCACTGGAAATTAGGGAATATATTAGATTCCAAAGAAATCAGAAAACTATGAGCCAATATGACATGCTAAACCAATGCTAGACAAATCCTAGCAATTCTCTCAATGTAATTTTCTTTGAAAAATACGATCATATCAAAAGCCACTAAAATATTCGCTTATAATACTAATCAACTATTAAGAGAAAAAAAATAGCACAATAGAAATGTAATAAAATTTAGAATAGCCATCATCTCTAGAGTCAATAATAGGTTTAAAATTAGATGCTTGAGACTTAGGTCAATGAGTCACACTCTTCTTAACATCTTTTTCACTGGTGATATGCTCTAAGTCAGGTAACCATTTCAGCAAAAATGTTAATTCATTAACCTACCCACAACTAAATACAACAATAATATTTACTAAGTTCCTACTGGGTGACAAATGCTCTGGTTAAACATCTGACATGAATATCTCCACTTAATACTCATACCAGCCGGGACCGGTTTGGCTCAATGGATAGAGCGTCGACTTGGGGACTGAAGGGTCCCGGGTTCGATTCTGGTCAAGGGCATGTATCTTGGTTGCGGGCATATCCCTGGTAGGGGGTGTGCAAGAGGCAGCTGATCGATGACTCTCTCTCATCGATGTTTCTAACTCTCTATCTCTCTCCCTTTCTCTCTGTATAAAAATCAATAAAATATATTTTTAAAAAAATACTCATACCACCTCTAGGAGGCAGCTTCTATTATTCCAACTTCCCAGATGAAGGTTATTGGCCCACTATCACGTGCTGGTGTGAGGAGCTTGCATTTAAACTCAGCTCTGCCTGTCCCTATTAGCTCAGACATTTCACTTCTGTAAATCTATCCTAAGAAAGTAATCGTGAAGGCAGCAAAGATTTATATAAAAAGATATGCATCACAGCTGTGCTTATAAAAACAAAGGACTGGAAGGTATTTAAATTTGTCCAACAACGAAAAATTATGAAACAAACTATTATCTAGCTATAAGATAGATAATACCATGCGGTTGTTTAAAATTATGTTTTAAAAGAATAATTTAATGGAATGGAAAAATGTCAGTTATATGCTAAATGAAAATAGCAGAATGTACAATAATATGTATACTATGATTAAAATTACATAGACACAATTCATATGGGTATATATGCATGTATAACACCCATTTATATAAACACAGATGAAAGTATATCTCTGGTTCTCTCCACATTGGCACTACTGACATCTTGGACTGGATAATTCTTTGTTATTGGGGCCTGGCACTGACCTTTACACATTGTAGGATGCTTACAGCATCCCTGACCTCTCCCCACTACTTTGTTTCCTCGAAAATAAGACATCCTCCGAAAATAAGACCTACTTACAGATTTCCTTCTGAGTGAACTATAAGGCATCCCCCTGAAAATAAGGCCCCACCTAGGCTAAACATGAGAGATTTGGTTCACTTATTCTGAAAGAAATGGAGTCACAAGAAATTCACCAGGAAATTCAGGAATTGGATGGTTATAATGATGTTCCAGAAGATAATGACATGATTGTCATTGAATAAATGAGTAAATTCTTGATACTGTAGGATTCACAGTTTGTCTGGTTTGTGTTGACAACTACCGTACTACCGTACCATATACAGGTAATAAATTTCCTTTATTTTCATTTAACAATAAATGTGTACCATATTCTTATTCATGGAAAAATAAGACATCCCCTGAAAATAAGACCTCGTGCATCTTTGGGAGCAAAAATTAATATAAGATACTGTCTTATTTTTGGGGAAACAGGGTAGATACCAGTAGTACCCCTCTCATTGTAACAACCCAAAATGTTTCCAGACTCTGCAAATGTCCCCTGGGGGCCAAAACTGCCCCAGGTTAAGAACTGCTTCTCTGGATGATAGAATAACAGATAACATTCTTTTTTTTTCTTTTTTCATTTTAGTAATTTCCAAAATTTCTAAAATTAATGTGTTATATGTGTAATCCAGGTAAAAGTGTTATTATAAAAAGCAAACTCATAAGAGAAGGAATTATTCCTATTTCATGAAATTAAATTGCAATGATGGAAAATATATATTAGGAGCTTTAGAATATCTGCTATGATTTTTTTTCCCCTCCATCAGAAATTACTTAATAACTGCTCAATGGAAAAACACATAAAGAAAAACAAATGAGCAGAAATCTCTTCTACCTGAGTCAGGAACATCCGAGCAGTAACAGCAGAAAGAGGTGGATAAATCAGAATTGGTTTAGTTGTCTCCCCAACAGCATTACCGACAAGCTTCCCGTTAGAAGAGTAAGCAGCAATTGCAAAGACATATTTTTCATTGGTTTCTAAACCTTTCACTTCAAAAATGCTTTTACCATCAGCTGGTATCTATTAACAAAAAACATTTCAAGTTATGTATAAAAATTAAAGTAATATAAATTTAAGTATATAGTTAAGTAAACCTTACATGTAAAAAAAAAAAAAAAGCTCTTCATTTACTATTTGATTTTAGTCAGATTCAAGAAGTTGAAATTAGAGAAATTAACTGAAATGATAATGACTTCCTAAAGGGAAAAAATCATCATTCAATATGTTCAGTAAGATTTCTTGGCATTTAGATTTTTTCTTCATGTGACATACCGCCTCTCCTGAGTTTGGGAGACGATTATTGTTTAGTCTCACTTTTCCATGGCTCCCTTCTGCTTTGCAGCCCAAAATGCGGTACCACGACACCTGCCGAGGAGAAAGACAAGCCCAGCATCTGTCGTCTGTTTAATAAGGCATTCAATTTCCTTTATCAGGATGTGGCAAAGGAATGAAAATGTAACTATGCAAGTTTTAAAACATGGTATCCAGGTTTACACAAGTACTTAGGTTTAATCTTTTAAAAAAAAATAAAAAAGGCAAATATAGGCTAGTTTACCTGGGACTAACAATATTAAAATATTATTCATTACTTATTATTTTAACTACTACTAATTGAGCAGTTCCTACCTGCTGAGTATTGCTAGGAAATTTACATATGCTTTCTAATATTCACAACATCACTATAAGTTGGGATTACTTTTGTCATTTTGCTTTACAGGAAATCAAGACACAGAGATGTTTAATAACTGGCCCAAGATCAGATAGTGTCAGGGAGTGACTCCAAGGATGACTTAATCTTATTGGGGAAAAAGACCAACACTGGGATGATTTTCATATTTTATTAAATAATAGATGACAAAAAAGTAAATAGAAAAAGAAGCAAGATACTAAATCGTATTATTTGATGTGAAATATAAAAATACCTGTAAAAGAATAAAAGCCTGGAAGAAACTGTTCGTAAATAAGAATAGTGGAAGATTTGGGGTAATAAAGTGGTAAGATTATGGGTATTTTTTTTCTCCTGTGCATGCATTTTCTGACATCCTTTTATAATTCTTAAATATAGGCATAAACCAAAAGCAAAATACATATTCTACTAAAACGACCAAACTTAAACTTGATTAAATGCCTAGACAATGGCCCTTTTGCCAAAATGCCAAAATAATGGAAATTCTTTTCCGTAATGAACTATTCTCAATATAAGGGAAGGGAGCAAGTTGATATCTAGGGACCAGCATTATTGGGCACCATACTGACCGGGGGTTAAGAACAGAGGAATTGTCATCATTGTGGCATTCCCTTTTCCCCATAGATTCCACTTCACAACATCTCAACTCCTAAATTACAAGGGAACTGGATGACAAGCGAAATGTAAACTTCTCTAAGAAGAAAAGGCTTCTCATAGCTTAGCCTGCTATCTCTTCTGGGTCAACAGAAAAATCCTAATTGTGTCTTGTCTATACAAGTAGTTCTCAACTCAGACTATGCAGCAGAATCACTTTTTAAAATACGCTTTTTAAAATACACTTTTTAAAAAAATTACATACACCCAAGCCTGCATGGCCTCAGTGAATAAGAATTTCTGGTGCAGGTGGCCAAATCTTTGTGTTTCCAAAAAAATTCTTCTCAAGTGATTAAGGATCCATCTACAAAGGCAGGAGAACTCTAAGGACAGAGAGCCCTGGCGGAACTTGGAAGCTGGAGGATGGGAAAAGAAATCAGATGAATCTCACACAAAAATGAGAAACTAACTTTCCTTGACCACCCATGCAAAAAAAAAAATTACCATTTTTTGTAAAGAGAAGAAACAGAAAGTTTATGCTTATGATGCAGACCATTATTGCTCTAAGCTAAGCTCTATTTGTCAACTGGAATTTGAAGGGTAAAATTCTCTCTAAAAGCATATTTATAAGCAGGCTTCATATTTTGTTCCACAGATGAAAACATCTTGGTTTATATAATTACTTATAAGAAGCAATGTGTGATTAGAATCTACATAAGAGTAATGACACCATAAATAAATCATCACTTCATCATTAAACTTCAGAAGTAAACGTGTATAAATAGCATCAGCACTTTCAACTATTAAAACAGATTTTAATGAAACAAATACCTTAACAGTGGTTTTGATCAAACAAAACATGGCTGAATCCTCAAACCAGTAAATGTATTTAAGCCTATAGCACCATCTAGTGCTGCTCAGTAGGAAGCAGAAGGTAATTTCCAAGAGTATACAAATCTGCTGATGTATTATATAACTGAATATAATGTGGCTCGGCCAGCATGGCTGAGAGTTTGAGTGTTGACCTATGAACCAGGAGGTCACAGTTTGATTCCTGGTCAAGGCATATGCCTAGGTTGTGGGCTCGATCCCCGGTGTGGGGCATATAGGAGGCAGCCCATCAATGATTCTCTCTCATCAATGATACTTCTATCTCACCTTCTCCCTTCCTCTCTCAAATCAATAAAAATATATTTTTTAAAAACAAACAAAAAACTTAATATAAAGTGGTAAGTGATAAGTCCAACAACTACAAGTCAAATATGGAACGCATGTCTTTCTATTTCTAAGCATTATGAAATAAACTAGTCACTAATTTGAAATACTTAAAAATAAGATTTTGATAAAATAAACCAAAACATTGGAAAATAAAAGTATCTTGGTAAATTATCCAGTCATAGTTCTTCACTAAATTTCTAAAATCAGTGACTCCCTATTCTTTCAACAGATCCAGAAAAATCCAAAGTTGAACTTTAAAATGGCTAGCAATCGGAATAATGCATTTATTATAGCGCAGTTAGATGTAAGACTGACGATACTTCTATTTCCCCAATTATAAAGCATTGAGAAGATCGTTTTACTTCTCACTGATGTCCACCTACCAGCAGCCTAAAGCTCCTCAAAGACTAGAACCATATTTTGTTTGTGCTTATTTTTATAACTCAGTTACCTTACACTGCTTGATAGATGATAGATACTCAATGCTCATTGGAAAATTTTATTAAAAAATAAAATTAAATCATGTAATCATGGTTACATAATTTCTTTTAGCAAAATTTACTACATATATTTAATAAGATAGGAGGGAAAAAGTTAATATACCAAGAATATTACATAATATTTCATTTAATTTTCACAGTAAACATATTTTACAAATGAAAGCATAACAAAACACCTCATGAAGTATAATCAGATTTCCAGCATTTCCTAATGCTGGCAGGTGGAGCTGGAATTTTTAAGTTTGCCTCTGACTTTAAAGCCCATACCCTCCCCACTATAACCAAGTCAATGTAAGCTCAAGCAGATGTCCTAAAGAGAATCAAAGACACACTATATTTTTTATATAACATTAAAGAGAATGTTGTTGATCATCCAAAAGAAGAAAAGGTAATATTTAAAATATAAATTAGGTAGAACCAAATGTTTGTGAGGAAATTAAAATCTCAAGTTATAGTAACATTTAGGCTGAGTTCCAAGGCATTGGAGATGAAAAAAGAGCACATCCTTCAATACATACATAAAAATGTGTGATTTACAATACAGCTGAAACTGTCATTTGTATGTTTGTATTAAAATCTTCCTCATTTACTTGGAGGAACTTTGGAAAGAATGACTCAATTCACCATCCCCAAATATCATCTCTATCATTGGCTCTGAGTGTGTCATCTATCCTCTTCAAGTGTCACACTAGAATGTCAGTGTATGACTACTAGTATGTCATGGTAATAACAAATGATTCTCTACTGTTTCTCTTTACTATATACGTGGGTATAGCAGGTCAATAAAGAGCATAAAGGGGAACAGCATAAAAAGGAAAAGATCATGAAGAAACTAAGAACAATTACTACATCAGAATATTAATCCAGTGTTCGGTGCTTACAAATAAGACTAGTCAGGCCCTAAAAGCAACAAAAGTATCAATCATTATAGTCATAAAAGTGCTTGTGTTGCTTTGCCTGAAGTAAAGATCATGGTGGACAACATACCTTATCATCGGAAATAAATGAAGCAGGTTTCAATGTCACAGAACAATGAGTTCGGGATAGCAGGATAGGTGGAGGAGGGATTCTGCTTTTCTTTTTTGTTGAACTTTCCATATTTTTCTGATACAGATATTGAGCATTTTGTCTTACTTCAACCTTCTCAATTAAAGAATATGCTTCCTATAATAAGGTGTGAAAACAAAATATATATTTCAAGAGCTTTAATTTCACTTATATTTGTAGTGATGTTAAATAACACTATCTTGCTATATATAGTTCTTTGAGTCTTGGTGGTATACAAGCACTGAGTGATTTTGCAGAAAATAAAGAACCAGCTACTAAATAAGGCTAAGTAAAAAATAGTTATTAAATAAGGCAGTAGTGTCATATATATGTCTAATTGGTTTATCATTATTATATTTAATATGAGACATTTCATTTTTAATCAAAACCTCTGGATATCTATTATCAAATTTCATTGTTATTAAAAAGTTCATTATACAATTATCTACATTTATACCAGTGAACTGTACACCTACTCTTACTGCAACTTGAAATGTAACTTTCAAACAATGAGACTATTGGTATATGCTGTTTTTAAATGAATATTATTGAGAAATTCTTCCTCTTAGCAAGAAGAAATAGAACAGTTAAAAACACTTATTCTCTGCCGAAACCAGTTTGGCTCGGTGGATAGAGTAGGCCTGTGGACTCAAGGGTCCCAGGTTCGATTCCAGTCAAGGACATGTACCTTGGTTGCGGACACATCCCCAGTGGGGTATGTGCAGGAGGCAGCAGATTGATGTTTCTCTCTCATCTGTGTTTCTAACTCTCTATCCCTCTCTCTTCCTCTCTGTAAATAAATCAATAAACTATGTTTAAAAACAAAATAAACAAACAAATAAAAAACACTTATTCTGTATACCTGAAGGAAAGGCAATAAAAGGAAAGAAAACATAGAAATCAGAAGATCTAAATGATATTCAAAATAAGACTAACTATATCAGCAATAATAATACATGTAAATGGGTTAAACTCTTTTAAATTAAATTAAAGGGCAAGAGCACTCTAATTGAGCTCCAAAGCAGAAAGCTATGCAAACATTCAAATTCAATGAATGATAAAGAAGAAATAGCCTTTCCAACATATAGTACTGGGATAATTACAGTAAACATTTACATGGACCCCTACATCACACCAAATACAAATATTAACTCAAAATTAGTTACAGATCCAAGTGTAAAAGCCAAAATAATATTCTTAGAAGAAAATGCAATAATTCTTCATGATCTGGGATTAGGACTTCATTAAATTTAAAAGGTTCAAATGATACCATCAAAAAAGTGAAAAGACAATTGACAGAATGAGACAAAATATTTACAAATATTACATCTGATAAGAGGCCTGCATTTAGGATATATAAAAAAAAACTGTTAAAAATTCATATTAAACAACAAACAATCCCACTAAAAAATGGACAAAGGTTTTGAATGAACATTTCTCCATAGAAGATATACAAATGGCCAATAAAGCCATGAAAAAGTTTACATTATTGGTCATTAAGGATGAAAGTATAAAATCAGCAAACTGACTCAAGAAACAGAAAACTTAAACACAGAAATAATGATGGAAGAAACTAGAAAATATATCCCAAAAATACTTCCCACAAAAGTGTCAGGCTCAACTAATTTCATTTGAAAATATTTCAAATATCAAGGAACTAATAATTCCTATGCCATTTTAAAAGTTTCTAACAACAGAGATAGCTTCTTGAATAGTTTTACAAATTTATTATAACTTTTGATAACAAAATCTGAAATATGACTGCACTTAAAACAGAGCAATCTTCTTATGGTATAATATTGAATCATGAAGAAATAGAAAATATGAACAGTCCAACAACAAGTAAGAAATTGGTCAGTAATAATTAAAAAAAAAATCTCCCACTAAAGAAAAGCACAGAACCGGATAGTTTCACAAGTGAATCCTACCAATGATGTAAAAAATAATTAATGCCAATCCTTCTCAAACTCTTCCAAAAACTTGAAGAGAAGGGACATTTCCAAATTGATTTTACAAGGTCAGCATTACCCTGATACTAAAGCCAGAAAAAGACACTAGAAGAAAATTACAAACCAATATTCCTGATGAACATAGATGTAAAAATCCTTAACAACAAACATTTGAATGTTAACAAAACATTCGAAAACCATATTTTACAGTATATCGAAAGAATCATACACAGTGAATGAGCAGGATTTACTCCTGGAATTCAAGGATAGTTCAATATAAATAGGATTCAAATCAATAAATGCAATACAACACATTAAGAAAATGGGGGGAGGGGGTGATCATTTCAGTAGAACCCAAACAAAATTTGACAAAATTCAACATCCTGTTATGATAAAAACCTCTCAACAATTTGCATATGAAAGAACGTACCTCAACATAATAAAGGCCATATATAACAAACCCACTGCTAACATCACATCGATGGTGAAAGGTTGAAAGTGCTCCCTTCAATATCAGGAATAGGACAAGGGTGGCCACTCTTATCACTCCTATTCAACATGGTACTGGATATTTTAGCCACAGCAATCAGGAAAGAAAATGAAATAAAAAACATCCAAATCACAAAGGAAGAAGTAAAATTGGGGAAAGGTGAGATGCTGGTCAAGGATACAAACTTTCAGTTATAAAATGAAATAAGTTTTAAAGATCTAAGGTACAGCATTGTGACTATAGTTCATAATACTGTATTGAATACTTGAAATTTATGAAATAAAAGATTTTTAGAGTTCTCACACACACACACACACAATAAAAGTAACCATGTGAGGTGATAAATGTGTTAATTAGCCTGACTGAGGTAGTCATTTCACAATAAATATATCAAATAATCACATTGTACCTTCTAAATATATTACCATCTCATTAGACAATTATACTCAATAAAGCTGGGGGTGAGAGGCAAAGTTTAATAAACTCGGAGAGCTCTTTCTTTAAGCAGGAGAAAAAAATGCTAATTTTAGCCCACGGAGGAAATCGTGAAACACTAAAAGATTTATCAATAACATCCAGGAGGAGATAGAATGCCACCTTTCCTTTTTATTCTGAAAGTTCTAACAAATTTAATAAACACTAGAGAGAAAATCCAGAGGATGAGGAGACAAAATGTCAAATGCACTTCTCTCAGATACAAAACCTGTGCTGTTTCCCCTACAGAAGACATGATAAATTTAAAGCTTTCATTTGGAAAGCTGGACTCAAGCTCAAAAGAAAGGATAAGACTGGAGACAGGATCTGGGAGTCATAAGCATCAGAGTGATATTTAAAGCTAAGTGGGTAAACCCATCCCCAATGGGAGTGCAGACTATAAAACTGTAGCATCATACTTTTTCCCTGAAATAACGAAGCTTGGTCTAAACTGAGGTCAGAATTAACTTCTCATTTTTTATTAGAAATGGTGGACATAAGGTCTAAAAATCATTAGTCATGATTAAAATTTATTTCTAGCAATACATGGTGTTTTAATTCCACTTATTCTGTGCCAGAAGACCTTGAACATTTTTCTACACTTATAGTTCAGGAGTCTTAGCCATCTGCACAGGACAAACATTTCTTCTTGTGAGAAGAGTGATATATGATAACTATGCTTCCAGAGCCTATGTGTCAGAGACCATACATGTTTACCATCAAAAGCTACTTGTTTAAATATATTTTTATTGATCTGAGAGGAAGGGAGAGGGGAAGAAAGATAGAAACATCAATGATGAGAATCATTGATCAGTTGCCTCCTGCACGCCCCCGTTCCCACCCCAGAAATCAAGCCTGCAACCCAGGCATGTGCCAGGACCAGGATTTGAACCGTGACCTCCTAGTTCATAGTTTGATGCTCAGCCACTGGGCTACACTGGCCAGGCAAAAGCTAATCTATGTACACATGGTGCTTGATGTAACTGTTGCATCACAGAATGAATAAACCAGTCAATCAGGGAGATAAGATGGCGTCTGTTACCCTCCATTATCTCCTCTTTTCCACTCATTCAATCAAACTGGGGAGGGAAGGGGGGGGGCGCAGATTGAAGAAAATGGATGGAAAATGGTAAGGGCCAGAAGCCGAAGGGACTGTGTCATAAAAGACTATGAGAAAGTCAAGTTCCAGTTCAGCCCAGAGGACGCAACCAGCACGGGGCTGGGCAGAGGCTCATTCCCCCATCCACCCTCTGCCACAGACCACAGGCCAGCCTCGGCCCTCTGAGAAGGCAGATGTGCCCACAGAGCAGGGCTCCCTGGAAAGGCAACAAGTGGCAGTTTGATAAGAAAGAGTTGAACAAGGTAAGTAGGTTCCTCAGATAACTGTGGGAAAATTCTGAGGGAAGAAGTTCCTAGTTGAACAGAAGGAAAATAAAATCTATTATATTTTGGCCCTGGCCAAGTGGCTCAGTTGGTTGGGGCATTGTCCCATACAACAAAGGTGGTGGGTTTGATTCCCAGTCAGTGCACATACCTAGGTGGAAGGTTTGATCCCTAACCTGAGGCGCTTACAGGAGGCAACCGGTAAATGTATCCCACATGTGGATATTTCTTTCTCTCTCTCTCTCTCTCTCTCTCTCTCTCTCTCTCTCTCTCTCTCTCTCTCTCTCTCTCTCCCTCTCCCTCTCCCTCTCCCTCTCCCTCTCCCTCTCCCTCTCCCTCTCCCTCTCCCTCTCCCTCTCCCTCTCCCTCCCTCTCTGAAAATCAATAAAAACGTATCTTCAGGTGAGAACTTTAAAAAATCTATTACATTTTGAAGATTAAATGTTCATGTGCCTTCATTTGCATCACAGGCTGTGGAGACTATGATTATTCAGGTGGCAAAAAAAAAATCAGTAAAAATCAGCCTAAGAAAAGTTATGCAACATAAGGAAAGGGACCAATGCTTTAAAAGTCTAGAGCCATTTCCTTCCTCCGGATTATGTTTGGAGCCTGAAAATATGCCAGCACCACTGGCTCACTGGCCCTGGTATTAACACAGACTGCTTTTGACTCCATCTCAGTTGAATAATCAGATGCCCTGGGCTTTCTACATTTATTCCCAAAATTTGCCTCAGCATTCATGCTCAGCTGAACCAGCTGGAAACGAGCATCTTCTGACTTGACACTAGCAGCTTCTCCCTGCATAACCTCGACCCCAACTG